TGGCCGCCTCGCGCGCGGCGATCGCCGTCGCGGCCCCGGCGGCGCCGCAGAGGCCCGGCGCCCTCGGCGCGGCCGCGCGCGCGCAGAGCGGCGCGCCCGGCGACCCCTTCGCCACGCTCTCGGCGGCGCCGCGCGCGCCCTACGTCGGGACGCACCCGCTGCGCAAGGCCACGCCGCGCAAGGCGGCCACCGGCGCGAAACCCGCGGACGGCGCGCCCAAGGCCAAGAACCGGCCGACGATGGCCGAGGTGCCCAAGGCGACGCGGCCCGTCTCGCGCAGCACCTGGTCGTCCTCGAACCCGGCGAAGGCGACCGCCGCGAGCGCGAGCCGCTTCGTCACCATGCCGCCGCGCAGCCAGAAGAAGGGCCCCGGCGGCGGCTCGGCGAAGCCGCGGTCCAAGAAGCCGCGCGTCGACTACGAGGCCATCGCCAAGGCCGCGGCGGCGGCGGCCGTCCGCGAGGCGCGCCGCGCGCACCAGGCCACGGAGGAGGACGACGACGCGTCGTTCGAGTCCGAGGAGCTCTGCGAGTCGTCGTCGTCGTCGTCGTGGGACGGCGAGGACGAGTAAAGTCTTCTGCGCGGTCCGGTCTTGCTTCCGTCGTTTCAGAAGTGGCCGAGCCGCGTCGAAGCATCCAGCGCCCGCCGACGCGCAGCCAATACGAGCCTCCACGAGCACGCGTTGCTCCGTCGGCCCGCCGCGAACTGCTCGCCGCGTGCTCTTCCCGCCCCCCCCACCATCCAGCGCCCGCCGACGCGCAGCTGATCCGAGCCTCCACGAGCACCCGCCGCGGCCCGCGCGGCCAAGGTCGCGGCGCCGCTTGCTCTCCCTTCCGCCGACGCGACTCGACCCACAATCGAGCCCGTCCGTCCCCCCCCGCCTCCCGCCGACGCGGCTCGACCCACAATCGAGCCCGTCCATCCTCCTCCGCCTCCCGCCGACGCGGCTCGACCCACAATCGAGCCCGTCCATCCTCCCCGCCATCGGACACGCACCGATCATTCCGCGCGCCTGTGTAGCGCGAACCCCCGCCCCGCCGAACCCGCCCGGTCATGACTAAAACTCAGAGACACACACGCACACACGGGGACGCCGCAAACGCGCTTGAGCTTGAGCTGCTCCACGTCGCTCATCAAGTTGGCGAAGCTCGTGCGCCGGTGCTGCCTCGCCTGGGGCGGCGCGGCGACGGCGGCCTGCAGGGACCTGTGCGCGGGGGCAGGTCGCCACGGCTCCAGCAGACGCGGTCGACGACGACGTCGAGGAGTAGTCTCGCGCGGACGGCCCGGGCGTCCACGGCGTCGCGCGGGCGCCTCGGGCGTCCACGGCGTCGCGCTTTGGACGCCGGCGCCGTACGCGAGCTGCTGGGCGAACGCGGCCATGACGTCCGCGGACGTCGAGTCGCCCTTGGGGATCGCCGCGAGCGTCGCTTGCAGATTGCGAAGCTCCTCCCGCGTCTCGTCGCGGTCCGAGGCCGTCTGGGTCATCGTGTTGCTCTTGAGGTCCTCGACGTACCTGGGGTTCGCTTTCGGGTTCACTTTCGGATTCGGTTTCGGGTTCGATTTCGGGTTCGCTTTCGGGTTCGCTCTCGGGCTCTGGCCCCGGCTCGGGCGGCGGCGCCGGTCCGAGCTCCGGTTCGGCTGGGGCTCCGGTTCGGGCATGGCGACGGCCGCGCCGACGGCCGCGCCGACGGCCGCGCCGACGGCTGCGCCGACGGCCGCGCCGACGGCCCTGCCCACGCCGACGGCCGCGCCGACGGCCCTGCCCACGGCCGCGCCGACGCCGACGGCCGCGCCGACGGCCCTGCCCACGGCCGCGCCGACGCCGACGGCCGCGCCGACGCTGACGGTCGTGCCCCCAGGCCCGCGGACACGCGGAAGAGAGGACTGCCAAACACTCAAAGTGAAACAGACGCTGCGACGCACGCGGCGAGGTCGTGCTTGACCGTCGCGAGCGCGTCGCCGGACAGCTCGCGGCCCGCGGCGGCCCGGTCCTTCAGCACGGCCAGATCCTGCTTCATGTTCGCGTAGGACGTCCGCCGGTGCTGCCGGGAGACGGCCGGCGCGGCCAGATCCTGGCGAAGGCTCGCGAGCTGATCCCCCAGGCTGCTCAGCACGTCGTCGCGCCGCGAGCTCTTGGAAGATTTCGAGCTCTTCGAGGATCGGCCGGTCCGCGGCGGCGACCGGTCCCGCGCGGCCTCGACCTCCTTCAATTTTTCGGTAAGATGCTTCAATTCCTCCCTCATTTCCGCGACGTTGGCGTCGTCGAAGTCGAGACCTTCCCGGGGCCGCTCCTCGTTGATCTCGCGGACGTATTTGGCGATCCGCGACTTCAGCCGGTCGTCGGGCTCGCCGCGGTTCCGCTTGAGCTGCTCCAGGTCGGACGTGATCGTGGCGTAGGTCCGGCGCCGCTCCTCGATGGCCCGGGGCGGCGCGGCGATCGTCGCCTGGAGGCTCGACAGCTGGTCCGAGAGCTTCTCGAGCGCCGACTCGTCCGCGGGCCGGGGCCTGTGTGGATTCCAAATCTTCAACCCGACTTCAATGTGCGCGTAATCGAACGGTTTGGACCAGACTCTTTCGCTGTGCTTCGAGAACTTGACGAGAGCAATCGATTCGTCCAAAAATCAGCCAAATCGACATCGATTTGATCGAGATAGAGAGTTCTGAAGTTTGGTGGGGACCCCCAAACCAGTGGGTGGAATCCACACTGCCCGGGGCGTCCGCGGCGACCGCGGCGACCGCGGCGACGCCGGCCGCCGGGCCTGCGCGTCCCGCACGTCGGCGAGCTCCTTCTGGAGGATGCGAAGCTCCTCGCGCATGGCGTTGGCGTTGTCGCCGTCGAACGCGTCGGGCTTCGCCTCCTCCCTGAGCTCGCGGACGTACGTCGCGATGTCCTGCTTGACGTAGGCCAGCGCGTCCTCGTCGACGCCGCCGCGCTTCTTGAGCTCCACGAGATCGGCTTTCAGAGCGGCGAAGGACGACCGCCGGTGCGCGCGCGCGGCCGGCGGCGCGACGAGCTCCGCGCGCAGCGACTGCAGTTCCGCGCCGATCATCGCCAAACCGTCGTCCTTGGACTCCTCCGCGGCGACGGGGATCGACGCGACGTGATTTTGGAGCGCGCCTGCGTGGGAGCGGTTGAAAAAGGTGGGAGAGACATTCGGCGCCTCGCCAAGGCCGTCGTCGGTCGAAGTCGAATCGCGGGGCGGTTGAAAAGGTGGGGGACAATCACGGTCGGCGCCTCGCTAAGATGCTTGAAGGCATCGCACGCCTTGGTGTGCGAGCGCGACTCGTGAGGCGAGTAGCACTCATCCCGTTTGAAGTGTCGACTTGGCCGGCGCCGGCGACGCGCGAAGCTCGGCGCGCATCTCGTCGACGTCGGCCGTCGGGTCCGACTTGATCGCCGAGCGCAGGTCGTCGACGTAGGCCTTGAGATCCTCGGAGACGTGGCCGAGGTCCTCGGAGACGGGCGCGAGGCCCCCCGTCCTCGCGCGGTCCTTCTTGAGGTCCTCCAAGTCTCGCCTGTGTGGAATTCAAATCTTCAACCCTACTTCAATGTGAGCGTACAGTTTCGACGCAAGCTCTTCGGCTGTGCTTCGAGAACTCGACGAGAGCAATCGATTCGTCCAAAAATCAGCCGAATCGACTTCGATGTGACCGAGCTAGAGAATTTTTGGTCAGGACCACCCAAACCAGTGGTTGAATTCCACACAGAGTCTCGCTTGATGGCGACGTAGGACGTGCGCCGGTGCCGGTTCGCCGCGGACGGTTTCGCGACGTCCTTGCGCAGCTCCACGAGCTGGTCGCCTGCGATCACGGCGCGGTGGGAGACGGGGGCGGAAACGGCGCGCCGGAAAGGGTGAAAGACGCACCGAGCTCCGTGAAGCGTCCCGGCCGCGCGGCGTCCTTGTCGACCTCCTTGAGCTCGACCACTGCTCGTTGTAACGCCGTAAGCTCGCTTCTCAGCTCGTCGCGGTCCGCGGGCGCCTCGGCGTTGGCCAGACCCCGGCGCAGGCTCTCCGCGTAGCTCGCGAGATCCTCCTTGGCCGCGGCGACTTTCTCGTCCGTCGCGTCCGTTTTTAGCGATTGCAGATCCTGGACGACGTTGGCCATGGACGCGCGCCGCGTCTGGCGCACGACGGGCGCCGACGTCTCGTGGCGGAGCATGGCCTGCTGCATGCTGGAAATCTGGGTCGCCAGAGTGCTCAAAGTGGAGGCGAGCGCCGCGTCGTCCCGCTGCGGCACCTCGGACGCCAACGCGCGCAACGATCGCCTATGAAAAACTGGGTGAGAACTTTTTTTTCCACCACAACACGGTTCGTCCTCACAACTCGGCCTCCATCTCCGCCCGGTCCTCGGCCGTGTCGCGCTTGAGCGTCTCCGCCAGCTCCGCGGCGTAGCGCGCCAGGTCGGACGTCACGGTCTTCGCCGCCGCGTCGGACACGGCCTCGCCCTTGGCCGCGCGCTTCTTCAGGCCCTCGAGATCCTGCTTCATCGTCGCGAAGGTCGTGCGCCGGTCCTTGGCCGCCTTGGGCTGGAGCGCCTGCTGGATGTCGACGAGCTGCTTCGAGACGAGCTGCAGCGGGTCGTCGTCGTCGTCGTCGTCGCTCTCGCTCGACTCGGACCGCGGCGTGTCCTGGCGCTTCTGCGATTCCTTCACGTCGTCGAGCTGCCGCTTCAACAGGCGCAATTCTTCCCTCATCTCTTCCTTGTCGGCGTCGTCGTCGGACGACTGGCTCTCCGCGGCGAGCGACGCCGCGACGGTTCGGACGTAGTTCGCGACGTCGGCCTTCATGGCGTCGACGAACCCCTCGGGCGGCGGGTCGTACTTGGATCGATTGCGCAGCCGGTCCAGATCCTTCTTCATGACCGCGAGCGTGCTCCGCCGCTCGTCGCGCTTCACCTCGCGCGGGCTCACGTCGACGGCCCCGAGCACCTGCGCCTGCAGCGTCGTCAGCTGCGCGTTGACGCTCGCGAGCTGCTGGGCCGTCTCCGGGTCCGTGGCGACGCGCTCGTGGATCGCGCCGTGGGCCTCGACGAGCTGCTGCCTGTGTGCCAGAGGTTCCCCCCCCCCCACCAAACTTCAGAACTCTCTATCTCGGTCCAATCGAAGTCGATTCGGCTGATTTTTGGACGAATCGATTGCTCTCATCGAGGTTTTGAGGCACAGCGAAAGAGTCCGGTCTAAACTGTTCGATTGAGCGCACATTGAATTCGGGTTGAAGATTTGGAATCGGTTGGAATCCGCACTCGCTGCCGCTTGAGCGCGCGCACTTCGGACTGCAGGTCCGCGACGACGGGCGACTCGCCGCGCTCCAGGTTCGCGCGGATGTCCGCCGCGTAGACGTCCAGCTCCTTGCGCAGGCTCTCGATGGTCGCCTGCGCGTTGTCCGACGCCGTCGCGGCCTTCAGCTTTTCCAGATCCGCCTTCATGTGGTTCAGCGTCGACCGCCGCTCCGCGGGGTACATCGTCGGCCGCGGCCGGCCGTGCGCCGCGGGCAGCGCCGCCTGCTGGAGACCTACGACGGCGCGCGGTGAGGACTTTTCCGGGATAAAACGAGACGCAGAACACGACTGCCGAGCTGCTCCGCGAGCTGTTCCAGCGCGCGCGACGCGGCGGAGTCGTCGGGCCGCGGCATGGAGGCGACCTCCGCCTTGAGCGCGCGCACCTCCTCGCGCATTTTCTCCTTCTCCGCGTCGTTCGTCTCGACGAGCAGGCCGCTCCGCAGGTCCGCGGCGTAGGCGGCCATCTCGGACTTGACGCGCTCGAGCTCGCCGGCCGTCGCGCCGCGTTCGCCTTGATCGCCGAGCCGGTCCTTGTTGCGCAGCATGGACAGGTCCCGCTTCATGACGTTGAAGGTCGTCTCCCTCGCCCGTCGCGCCTCCGCGGGCTGCTGCGCGGCGACCTGGGACCTGTGTGGGAAACAACCAGTGGAACGCCCTGTCCAGCAAAGACTTCAAACCTCTCTAGCTCGGTCACATCGAAGTCGATTCGGCTGATTTTTGGACGAATCGATTGCTCTCGTCGAGTTCTCGAAGCACAACAGAAGAGACTGCGTCGAAACTGTCGCATAAGCTCACATTGAAGTCGTTTTGAATGTATGATTTCCACACTCCCTGGGACTGGAGCGCCTCGAGCTGCCGCGTCAGCGCGCTCAGCTTGCGCGACGCCTCGTCCGGCTCCTTGGCCTCCTCGACGCCCGGCGCGAGGTCCTGCTGCGCGGCGGCGAACTCCTGGAAGAGGCTGCGCAGCTCGTCGCGCATCTCCTCGCGATCCTGCTTCGTGCCGCCGACGACGCCCGCGTTGAGGTCGTCGGCGTACTGCTTCAGGTCACCGCGCAGGCTCTCCACGGCCTGCTGGCGGACCGCCTCGTCGTCCATCCCGGGCCGCTTCTTCAGCATGGAGAGGTCGTGCTTCATGGCGGCGTACGACGTCCGCCGCTTGTCGCGCGTCGGCGCGCGCGGCCGCGCGACCTCCGCGCGAAGCGATTCCAGCTCCGCGCGCATGGACGCCATGGCGTCGTCGTGGGTCCGCGCGGCCTCGTCGTCCGCCGGCTGCGAGCGCGGCGACGAGCGCATCTCCGCCGCGAGCTGGCGAAGTTCGGCCTTAATTTCGTCCTTCTCCGCCGTGGAGACGGCCCCCACCAAACCGCTCCGTAGGTCCTCGGCGTACTTCTGGAACCTGGGACGACGGCGCGGTGTACGAAGTAAAACAGGGGAAAGAACGGCGCCGGAAACGCGCTGGTCCTTCATGGCTTCCACCTGCTTGCGGACGACGCCCGAGTCCGAGTGTCGGAGGCTCTTGCGCGAATGCCGCGTCGAGTCCAGCGAGCCTGCGTGGAAATCAAATATTCAAAATGCGCGTATTCGACGGTTTCGACGCGACTTCTTGCGCAGTGAGAGAAAACGGCTCGTCGACTTCGATTCGACCGAGCTGAGAAGTTTAAGGTCGGGACATCCCAAACCGGTGGCTGATTTGCGCACCGGCGCTCGCTCTCCGACGCGTCGCTCCGCAGCGGCGACGCCGACGGCGACGCGTCGGAGACGCGGCGCTTCCGTTTCAGCAGCTCCAGGCCCCGCTTCATGGCGCTGAAGGAGCTCCGTCGGTGCTGCCGCGCTTGCGCGGGCGGCGCGCGGAATTCCGCGGATAGCGCGTCCAGTTTCGCCTGGACCGCGATAAGGGCACTGTGGTCCGCCGCCCCGTGATCCGAATGGGCGTGCTGCGCCGCCGCGTCGGCCCGGGCGTCGTTCAGCGCTCGTTGGAGCACCGCGATTTCTTCGCGCATGCCGTTCCGCTCCGCGTCGCTCGCCGCGGACGCGTCGGCCCGCAGGTCCTTGACGTAGGTCTCCAGGCCGCTCTGCACGGACCGCACGATGGACTCCTTCGAGACCCGGTCGTGCTGGTTGTGGCGCAGCTGGGCCAGGTCGGCCTTGACGGACGCCAGGCTGCTCCGCCGGCCCGGCCGCTCCGTCTGCTGCTGCGGGAGCTGCAACTGCACGACGGGCGGCGGCTTGCGGAGCTCGGCGAGGACAGGAGCGAGCTGCTCGGCCAGGAACGGCTGGATGCGCGCCTCGAGGCTCGCCGCGGACGGCACGGGCGCCTCCGCGAGGCGCGGCGACGCCGCCAGTTGAGCGATTTGCGACTGCAAGGCGTGCAACTCGCCGCGCATCTCGTCGCGGTCGCCGCTCGCGACCATGTCTCGTCGTAAATCGTCGACGTAGGACTTGAGGTTGCCCTGGACGGCGTCGAGCGCGTCCGCGGACAGGTGCTCGCTGTTCTTCCGCCGCTTCAAATCCGCCAGTTCCGCCTTGACGAGCTGTAAAGAAGACCGCCGCGCCAGACTCTGCCTCGGTTTCGGCGGCTCCTTGGGCTGCAGGTCCGCTCGCAGAGCTTCGAATTGCTCGACGAGGTGGTCGTAGGCGTCTTCCGTGCGCGGCGAGTGGAGCTGGTCCTCGCGCATGTCCTGCAGCTTCTCGTGGAGCGCCGCGACCTCGACGCGCATGGCGTCGCGCTCGTCCGTCGACGTGCGAGTGAAGTCGGACCGGAGCTCCTCGACGAAGCGCTGGAAGTCGCCGCGGACGGCGTCGAGCGCCTCGCGCGGCGCGGCCTCGTGGCGGCTGCGCAGCGCCTCGACGTCCTCGCGGAGCGCGACCATCGACGGCCGCTGGCTCGACGACGACGGCCGCCGCTGCTGCTGCTGCTGGGTCACCATGTCGCGGCGGAGCTGGGCCAGCTGGTCCGACAGTTCCAGCAGCGCCGGGTCCGCCTCGCGCTCCCGCGGCGACAGGAGCTCCTGCTGCGCGGCCGTGACCTCCGACAGCCGGTCGGCCAATGTTCCCAGCTCCGCGCGGATGATCTCCCGGTCGCCCTCGGCGGCGTCGCCGCGGATCTGGTCCACGTAGTCGCGCATGGTCTCCTTGAGCATCTCCGCGGCGTCGGGCGCGTTGCGCTGCGCGGATTTCAGCTGGTCCAGCTCGGCCTTCATGACCTGGAAGCTCGCGCGCCGGTGCGCCGTGTTCGGCGACGGCATGGCCTGCTTGAGCTGCTCCGAGAGATGGCCGAGTTCCCGTTGAATCTCCAGCATCGCGGGCGTCGGCGCCTCCGCGGGCAAGTCGGGCCGCGGCGACTCCTCGCGCATCTCCGCGATGGACAGCTGGAGGGCGCGCAATTCCGCGCGCACCTCCGCGGCGTCCTGGTCGCCGCCCGAAGCCTCGTCCCGGAGGTCGGCCAGGTACGTCGCCAGCTGGTCTTTCACGGCGGCGGCGACGTCGCCCGCGCGGCCGTCGCCGTCGTCCGTCCGCGCCTTCAACGCGGCCAGGTCCGCCTTGAGCAGCTGCATGGACGACCGGCGCCGGTCCTGGCGCGTCGACGCCTCCGTCGACGTCTCGCTCGGGTTCCGCAGCATCGTCCGTTGGAGTTCCAGCTTCGCCAGGAGGCCCTCGTGCCGCGCGGCCGTCGCGGCCTTGGCGCGGTCGAAGTCCTCGCGGAGCGCGACGACGGCGGCCTCGGCGGCGCGCGCGGCGCGCGCGCCGCCCGCGTCGGCGGCCTCCATGCGGTCGAGCAGCGCCGCGTGCCGCTCCGCCGCCGCGTCGTGCGTCGCCCGGAGCGATGCCTGGAGGTCGTCGATGGCCGCGCGGAGGCCGTCGCTCTCGCGCCGCGTCTTCAACGCCATGGCCGCCTCCATGGCCTCGTACTTGGCCGCGAGGATCGCGTGCGACCGCTGGAGCGCGCCGGAGACGTCCGCGTGGCTCAGCGCGAGCGCCGCGGAGTCGTCCGCGGCCGCCTTGCGCAGGTTCTCGACGTCGACGCGGAGCGCCTCGAGCGCCTCGGGCGCGACGACGGGCGTCGCCTCGAGCCTCTCGAGGACCGCCGCGTGGCGCGCGCCCGCGTCCCGCTCGAAGCGCTCGAGCTCGCGGGCGACGAGCGCGTCGCCCTGGCCCGCGACCCGCTCGAGCAGCCGCTCGCGCTGGCGCGCCGCGTGGTCGTGCGCGTCCTTGAGATCCCGCCGCAGCGCGCCAAAGTCCGGCGCGGACGTCGGCGCGGACCGGAGCGTGTCGAGGATGAGGTCGTGGCGCCGCGCGGCCTCGTCGTGGGCGCTCGCCAGCTTCGCCTGGATGCCGTCGAGCTCCGCGGTCACGCGCGCGTCGCGCGACGTCAGCGCGTGCAGCGCGTCGTGCGTCTTCGCCACGGACGTCGCCAGGCCTACGGGAACGTGATCTCCCGACGACACATGCTCGAAAAAGACGCCGCGCCGCGCCGTCGAGGTCGCGCCTGAACGCCAGGGACGCGTCCTCCACGGACGCGCGGACGCCCCCGGCCCGGCGGCGCCGCTGCGGCGTCCGCGCGAGGTCCGCGTCGTCGGGCACGCGCATGGGCGCCGGCGCCTCGACGACGTAGCCGCCCGGGTCGCCGTCGTCGAGCGCCCGCCGGAAGTCGCCCGCGAGGGACTCGACGGATCGGCGAAGCCCCGCGATCGCGTCGCTCGGCTGTCGCAGCCGGTCGTCGACGCTCTTCGCCAGGGACGCCAGGCCCCGCTGCACGGCGTCCTCGACGCCCGCGCTCGCGTGCGCCTGGGTCCTGCGCAGCTCGCCGACTTCCTCCTGGAGCTGGTCCAGGAGGCGCCGCGACGCGCCCCCGGCGTCGGGCGGCCCCGGCGTCCGCGGCGTCGCCGCGTCCCTCAGCCGCACGATCTCGCCGTCGAGGCTCACGACGCGCTGCTGCAACGCGGCGACGAGCTCGGGCATGCGCGGGTCGCCGTGGCCGGCGTGCGCGAGCTCCGCGGCGCGCGACCGCGCGGCGACGACCTCGGCCGCCGCCGCGTCGCGCCGCCCGCCCTCGCGGAGGCCCCGGACGTCGAGGGCCAGGGCGTCGAGGCGCCGGCCGAGCTCGCCGTACCACGCCGGCGGCCCGGCGTCGCTCGGCGCCGCGGCGGCGACGGGCAGGGGCCGCGCCTGGAGCACGTCGCTCTGGAGCCTCCGCAGGCTCTCGCGGACGTCCGCCAGCTCGCCGGCCGCGTAGGGCGCCGCCGGCGGCGGGTAGGGCGCCGCCGGCTGCGTCGCCGCGGGCTGCACGGTCGGCGCGACCTGCTGGCGCACGAGCACCTCCTGGAGCGCGCCGCGCATCGCGGCCATGTCGTCGCGCGTCGCGTTCCGGTCCCGCTCGTCGCGGTCGCGCTTCATGGCCTCCTGCATGTCCGCGACGCTCTTGACCAGCGACCCGAGCACGGGGTCCTCCGGCGGCGCCGCCGCGGCCTCGGGCCGCGCGCGGAGCTCCGTCCGCAGATCGTCGATCTGGCCCTGGAGGCCCGCCTCGAGGCGCCGCGCGCCGCCCCGCTCGCGGCTCCGCCGCGACGACGAGCCCCGGCTCCGGGCGCTCCGGTCGTCGCGGACGGACGCGCGCCGCGATTGGCGCCGCGTCTCGCGGCGGCCGCCGGCCGCCGGCGACGCGTCGGGCGCCGCCGCCGGCCGCCGGCCGTCGTCGCCGAGGGCCGCGGGCGCGACGTCGTCGTCCTCGTCGTCGTCGGAGAAGGCCGAGTCCGACGACGGCGGCGGCTTCAAAGCGGCCCGGACGTCGTCGCGGAGCGCGCGGCAGACCTCCTCGCCTGGGCAGCACAAGAGTGATTCAACGTCGCTTCAACGTGGGTGTTTCGCGCGCGCGCGTTACGGAAAACACATCCACGCTTCGAGAGCGCTCCGAGAGATGATCGCTCGTCCAAAAATCAGCCGAAACGAGTGGAAAATGGCCGAGATCGGAGCCTTTGAAGTTGGGAATTTCGCTCTCTTGTGCTGCCCTGCTACTCGCGGAGGACGCCCATCTGCGCGGAGAGCGCCGCGGCCGCGGGGCCCTCGCCGGCGAGGTCCGCCGCGTTCTTCGCCACGAGGCCGTCGACGCGCGGCACGAGCTCGGCGACGGCCCGGGACAGCTCGCGGAGCTCGGCCCGGGCCGCCGCGGCGTCCGCGTCGGCCGCGGCCGCGAGGTCGCCGGTGAGCGACGCGACTTGCGCGCGCAGCCGCTCGACCTCGGCCTCGGCGGCGACGGCGGACGCCGCGGACGCCGCGGACGCGCGCCGCGCGTCCTCCGCGGCCGCGTCCTCGAGCTCCGGCGGCGGCGGCCGGACCGGCGACGCGGCCGGGACGAGCGCCGGCGCGGCCGCGGGCGGCGCGCCGGGCGACGGCGCGCCCAGGTCGCGGGGCCGCAGCTCGGCGAAGGGGCGGACCCCGGCGAGCGCCTGGTTCAGGCGCCGCATGGACTCGGCCGCGCGCTCGCGCGCGCGCAGCACCGCGCGCTCCTCGCCCGGCGCGAGCGACGACTCGAGGCGGTCGAGCTCGACGTCGTCGCCGCCGAAGCGCGGCACGACGGGCGGCAGCGCGGCGCCCCAGGCGTCGAGCGACGCGACGCCCAGGCTCGGCGGCTCGGGCAGCGGCGCGCTGAAGCCGTCGCCGAAGGACGACTCCTCGTCCTCGCGCATCGCGCTCAGCGCCGACGACGACCGCTGCGCGGGCGGCGGCCGCGCGTACGCCTCCCGGGCCTCGCGGCGCGGCGGCGACCGCCGCGCGGGCGGCGGCCGCGCGTAGGCCTGCTCCGCGGGCGGCGGCCGCGCGGGCGGCACGCCCTCCTCGACGACGCGGCCCTCGCGCGGCGGCGGCGACCGCGGCGCGGCCCGGAGCCCGGCGTCGTCGTCCTCGTCGTCGCGCGGCCCGTAGCGCGGCGGCCGCGCGCGGGTCGACTCGCGGCGCGGCGCGAGGACGGCGTCGGGGCGGCCGTCGCCGCCGTCGTCGTCGTCGTCGACCTCGGGCACCTCCGCCACCTCGGGCGCGGGTCGGCGCGGCGGCTCCTCGGGCGGCGGATGGCGCCGGCCCCGGCGGCGGTGCTTGAGGGCCTCGAGCTCGTCGGCCTCGTCCCGCTTGCGCTGCGCCTCTTCCAGAGCCCGGCGCGTCGCGTCGTGCTCCTTCGCCATCGACGCCTTGAGGGAGACGTCCGCGGACGACTGCGGGAAGCGGCGGTCGAAGCCCACGCGTCTCCCCGCGCCGTCGTCCGTGCGCACGCCGTCGGCGACGGCGTAGGAGACGCTCACGGGCACGTCGCGCCGTCGCCGGTCCTCCGGCGACCGCAGGCCCGCGGCGCGCGGGTCGTCGCCGGCGGGAGGCGCGGACCGCGGCGGCCGCTCGCCGTCGCGCGCGCGCGCGTTGCGCAGGCCCGCGGCGTTCTGCAGCGCATTCGGGTCCTCGAGGAACGTCTCCGGCCGCGGCGGCGGCGGCAGCGGCGCGCCGCTGTCCTCCTCGTAGCGGAACGCGACGCCGTGCTGCAGCGTGCCGAGCCGCAAAATGTCGCCGTGGCGCACCTCGCGCCAGCCGCCGAGGAAGTGCCGCTCGCCCACGAAGGAGCCGAAGCGCGAGCCGGCGCCGTCGGCGCCGCGGTCGTGCAGCACGGCGCCGCCGCCGTCGAGCAGCTCGAGCTCCGCGTGGTAGCCGCTCACGGACCGCGGCGCCGCCTGGACGTCGTTGTCCTCGGCGCGGCCCAGCGTCGTGCTGCGCCCGCCCAGCTCCACGGGCTGGCCCGCGTTGTCGCCCAGCGGCCGCAGCCGGCAGCCCGTCGGCATGGCCGCCGGCGCCGGCGCGGCGCAAGACTGCTCGTTTGAGCTGTTTAGCACTCGTCGATTTTGCGGGCAGCCTTTGGTTGAAGCGAGGCACCTTGGTCATTGCCGGCATCGTGCAGCACGCACGCTATGGGGCTGCACTCGCGGGGCTCCGTCCGATAGCAGGCTTGCTCGCGGACGTGCGAGCATTGCTCGCGGACGTGCTCGCATCGCCATGCGCCGGCTCGGGCAGCAGCCGCCGGCGCCCGAGGAGTCGTGCCGCCTCGTGGGCGGCCTCTTCGAGGTCTTCGTGCAGACGTTCCTGCTAATCAGCGCCCTGGCCTCCCTCTGGGCGAAGCGGCGCTGCGAGAAGCCGAAGCGCGTGCGCGTCGTCTGGCTCTGCGACGTCGCGAAGCAGTGCGTCGGCGGGTCCTTCGTCCACGTGGCCAACATGGTGGCGAGCGCGTGGATCGCCGGCCGCGACGCCGGCGGCGACCCGTGCGCGTTCTACTTCATCAACTTCTTCGCGGACTGCACGCTGGGCTGCGCCGTCGTGGCGCTCGTCCACGGCGCGACGCGCAAGTTCGTTCGGAAGCTGGCGCGGGGCGCGAGGACGGACCTCGACGTCATCGGCGACTACGGGAGCCCGCCGCGGAAGCGCGTCTTCCTGGCGCAATTGGCCTGCTGGCTCTGGGCCCTGGCCATCAACAAGGTCTTCGTGGGAATCTTAGTCTACGCGACGCGCGTCCGCGCCGCGGCCTTCGCGGAGCGCGCGTTCGCGCCGATGCGCGAAAAAGACGCGGACTTCGAGCTCGTCTTCGTGATGATCCTGGCGCCCTGGGTGCTGACGACGCTCCAGTTCCAGGTCTTCGACCGCTACCTCAAGGGCCCCGTGAAAAGGGACGGCGGCCTCGTCGACGACATCTCGGAGATCCCGCTGCTGACGGCCTTCCCGACGCGCGTCGCGAAGCGGCCGGCGGACGTGCTCACGTTTTAACGTGATGCGGTCGCGAGTTCGTTAGAGTGGTGCGCGAGTCGCGTCGGCCGTCCGCGCGGGCTGTCTTGGGGCCCGCGGTCTCTCTTCGGGGGTCGCCTAGGCGATTCGGAACGAGTCGACGGTGAGCGCCTTGTTGAGCGAGTAGGCGACGGGCGCGTCGCCGTCGATGGCCGTCACGGAGGCGATGGGCGCGTCGTAGTAGAGCGACTTGGACCGGAAGGTCACGGCGATGGGGAAGAAGTCGTCGGCGTCGCGCGCGTTGATGTTGAACTCGAGCGTGCCCTGCTTGTTCGACCCGTCGACCATGTCTAGCTTCCAGTCGAGCACCTCCTCCTTGGCGTCGTGCGTGTGGGAGCCGTCGACGGAGACGATCTCCGGCGCGTTGCCGCAGCCCGGGATGCGGATGACGACGTCGTAGAGCTCCATGGGCCGCTTGAGCTCGTACTCGACGTTGACGTTCATGACGCCGTCGCCCTCGTCCTCGGGCCAGCAGTTGATCGTCAGCGGCACGAGGGCCTCGTCCGTCGTCGACAGGGACCAGCGCACGACGCCGACGGGGCGGCCCACGGGGAAGCCCTTGGACGCGTCCTTCATCATCACGGCGCCGTCGGCCTCCCAGTCCTTCTTCGAGACCTTGGGGTGCACCTGGAACGTCGTGCCCGGCGCCGCGGCCTTGTCCGCGATCTGGACCTTGCACAGGGCCGCGCCCTCGTCGTTCGCCGTGAGGGACAGCGTGCCCTTGAGGTCGAAGGACTCGAGCGCGCCCTCCTGCGAGAGCGCGACGGTCAATTTCTCCTCGACGATCAAGGAGATGGGCTGCGCGGCCGTCGGCGGCGGCGGCGGCGGCGCGGCGGAGGACGACGCGGGCTTCGACGGCGTGAAGGCCGGGGCGATGGAGATGCCGTCCTCGGCGGCCATCTTGTCCATGAGCGACGACTTGTTCTTCTTGCCGCCGAGCTTCATGCTCTTGACCTGGACGACGGGCTCCGGCGGCGGCGCGGGCGCGCCGTAGGGCGACTCGCCGTAGGGGCTCTCGCCGCCCATGGGCGGCGCGGGCATGCCCATGCCGCCCCCAAAGTCGCCGCCGCCGCCGCCGTAGGGGTCGTCCTCGAACGACCCGCCGCCGAGGCCCGCCATGCCGCCGGGGCCGACGCCGCTCTTCGACGCCTCGCGCTGGCGGCTCTTGATGACCTTGGACATGTGCGCCGCCTGGTCCTTGGCGCTGTCCATCTTCGTCTTCTTCACCATGTTGTGCAGCTTCTCCTCGTGGCTGTCCATCTCGAGGTTCGTCCGGATCTGCCGCAGGTCGATCGCCTCGCGGTAGCCGCCCGTCGTGATGACCTCGTCGAAGGCGAAGACGAGGTCGAAGGCCTTGTCGCTCAGCTTCTCCTCGCTGTGGCCCCCGGCGATCTCGGGCACGACCTTGCTCAGCAGCCGCAGCGTCTCGAGGTCCTCGACCTAATCAGAGGTTTCGTCGCGGTCCGCGCGCGCGGCGGAAAATAGGTGGAAAAGACCCCGGGGCACGCACGATGTTCGACGCCTTGTTCGTGATGAGGAGCAGGTAGATGGACTCGACGGGCTGCCAGACGTAGCGCACCGAGTCCGTCTCGATGAACGTGTGCTGCTTGTTGCCCGTGCCCATGAGCTTGGGGAACGCCGCGAGCAGGCCCTCGACGCGCAGCCGGTTCATCTCCACGAACTGGCGGGCGAAGAGGCACCGCCCATTCTTCGTGCACACGGACGCGCTCAGGACCACCATCCTCGACGAAAGCCGGAAGTCAGCCGACCGCGCGGAGCCGAGGACACCTCACCCCGTGGCTTACCACGCACAGGGGGATGTGTGCTCGGCGAGCGCGGCAGCGTCGACAGCCGACCCGAGGGGGTCCCGCGGGGCGCGGGGCGTCGTGTGGGGCGCTTTGCGCAAGCCGACGGCGAGGCGCCGGTCGTCGCGCACTGCGGGCTTGCCGGCTGCGCCCTCGAAATCTAAAGCCGGGGGTATTTATTGCCACAGCAAGGGACGCCGTCCCGAGTCCACGGCACCCGTCGACTTTAGAAGCAAAGGGCCACGTCCGACGTCGTCGATGGCGGAGAGAGCGGCTGTGTCGCCGGCGGCCGCGTTTGCGCCCCGGTGGCTCTCTTTCGACGGTATTGTCTCGAGAAAGCAGAGTGAGAGAGGCAGCTTGCCACGCGTAGGCGAAGCCGCCGGACCTTTCCCGCGCGGCGAGACCAAAACGCGACTTTAGACGCCGCGGAGGGGCTGGTGGCTTTCAATGCCCGACCGTTCAACGTTGGTGCAACGAGGCGAGCCGAAGTCGACCACGCTCGAGCGGCTCGTCGGCCTTCGCGCAACCAGCGGAGCACGAGGTCTGACGCTCCGATGCTCAGCAAGTTCGCGCTCCGCGCGGCGCCGGCCCTGCGCCAGCCGGCGCGGCGCCAATTCATGCTCTTCGGCGAGGGCCCGCCGAAGGGCTTCGGCCAGTTCTTCCCCAAGGGCGCCGGCAAGGGCTCGGGCTCGTCGAAGACCGGCGGTTCGTCGTCGAAGAAGGCCGGCGGGGCGTCGAAGAAGGCGTCCGCCGGCGGGGGCGGCTCCGGGGGCGGCTCCGGCGGCCCCGGCGGCGCGCCCGAGCTCGGCCCGCGCGTCGTGTCCGCGCTCGCGGCCGTCGGGCTGCTCGGCGTCTGGCTGAGCTCGCGCGAGTCGAGCGGCACGGAGATCAACTGGCAGGAGTTCGCGACGGTGCTGCTGGAGTCGGGCGAGGTGGACCGCATTATTGTGACGAACAACAAGGTCGCCGAGGTGCTCCTGCGGCCCGGCGCGCGCGTCGGCGGCGCCGTCGGCGCGGCCGCCGCCGGCGAGCGGCCCGTCGCCGTCGACGCGGCGCCCGAGAACACCTACGGCTGGCAGTCCAACGGCGGCGCGCCCGAGGAGCCCAGCGCCGAGGAGAAGCCCCCGGGGGGCTTCCAGCGCTACCCGCGCATCGGCGGCAGCGGGCCGACGTCCGCGCCGAGTTACCACTTCGCCATCGGCTCCGTGGAGATCTTCGAGCGCAAGCTCGAGGCGGCCCAGCGCAACCTGGGCATCGAGCCCCGCGACTTCGTGCCCGTGCAGTACGTGAGCGAGACGAACTGGGCCGCCGAGGGCGCGAAGTTCCTGCCGACGCTCTTGATCATCGGCGCGTGGCTCTACGTCATGCGGTCCGTGGGCGGCGGCTCCGGCGGCGGCGGCGGCGGCATGTCCAACATCTTCCGCATCGGCCAGTCCAAGGCGAAGAAGATCAAGAAGGAGGACGTCTCCGTGACCTACGCGGACGTCGCCGGCGTCGACGAGGCGAAGAAGGAGGTCATGGAGTTCGTCGAGTTCCTCAAGGACCCGGAGCGCTTCACGAAGCTCGGCGCCAAGATCCCCAAGGGGGCCCTCCTCTGCGGCCCGCCGGGCACGGGCAAGACGCTTTTGGCGAAGGCGACGGCGGGCGAGGCGAACGTGCCGTTCTACAGCATCTCGGGCTCGGAGTTTGTGGAGATGTTCGTCGGCGTCGGGCCGTCGCGCGTGCGCGACCTCTTCAAGGAGGCGCGGGCGAACCAGCCCTGCATCATTTTTATCGACGAGATCGACGCCGTCGGCCGCCAGCGCGGCCGCGGCGGCTTCGCGGGCGGCAACGACGAGCGCGAGAACACGCTGAACCAGCTCCTCGTGGAGATGGACGGCTTCAACGAGTCGTCGAACATCGTCGTCCTCGCGGGCACGAACCGCGCCGACGTCCTCGACAAGGCGCTCACGCGGCCGGGCCGCTTCGACCGCCAGATCACCGTCGGCGCGCCCGACATCAAGGGCCGGAAGCAGATCTTCGAGGTCCACCTCAAGGGCCTGAATTTGGCGGGCCCGCCGGCCGACTACGCGGGCCGCCTCGCGGGGCTGACGCCGGGCATGGCCGGCGCGGACATCCAGAACGTCTGCAACGAGGCCGCGATCGTCGCCGCGCGCCGCGCGGCCGAGTCGGTGTCGTACGCGGACTTCGAGGCCGCCGCGGACCGCGTCATCGGCGGTTTGGAGTCGAACAAGATCATGACGAAGCAGGAGAAGGAGATCGTCGCCTTCCACGAGGCGGGCCACGCCGTCTCGGGCTGGTTCCTCGAGCACGCGGACCCGCTTTTGAAGGTCACGATCGTGCCCCGCGGCTCCGGCGCGCTGGGCTTCGCGCAGTACCTGCCCAAGGAGATCGCCCTGCGCACGCGCGAGCAGATCGTCGACGTCATCTGCATGGCCCTCGGCGGCCGCGCGGCGGAGGAGCTCACCTTCGGCGACGTGACGACGGGCGCGTCCGACGACCTCCGGCGCGTCACCCAAATGGCCTACGGCATGATCCGCGACTACGGCATGTCGGGCAACGCCCGCGTCGGCCAGCTCGCCTTCCCCCAGTCCGGCGACCCCATGGAGCAGCGGCCCTACAGCGACGCGACGGCCCAGGCCATGGACGAGGAGGCGAAGCTCATCGTCGACGAGGCCTACGAGCGGACGCTCGCGCTCCTCGCGGACAAGCAGGAGCAGCTCGCGGCCCTCGCGGGCCTCCTCATCGAGCACGAGACCATCAACCACGACGACATCGTCGGCTGCCTCGGCGCGCGGCCCTTCGACACGAACAAGCAGTACGACGAGTTCATCACCGCGCGCGCGGCGGTCTCCGAGGTCGCCGACGGCGCGCCGGACGCCGAGGCGGACGCCGAGGAGGATCTCGACGCCCCGCCCCCGGGCGAGAAGGTCGACGGCGTGCCCCTCTCGCCCGCGTAGATCCCCGGCCTAAAAAGGACCTCGCCTCGATCGCGCGTTACTGGCGCGACCCCGCGAACGCGCCGCAGGACACGCAGACGGCGCCCGCCGGCTGGACGCAGCGGCCCGCGCAGTCGCGCGCCTCGCCCTCCCAGATCTCCGCGACGAAGACTCGCCGCTCGCCCGCGTCGACCGGCGCGACGCAGTGGTACTTGTGGGAGAGGAAGAGGAGCAGGTCGCCCTTCTCGAAGGCGTGGTTCTTGAGGACGTCGTCCTCTTCCAACGTGGAAAACTGGCCGCCCTCGAAGGCCGCCGCGTCCGAGAGCATGATGTCGACGGTGACGAGCGACCCCTGGTCGTAGTGCTGCTCGTAGGCGAGCGACCCCGGCGGCGTGACCACGTGGGCCTCGGCGCAGCGCAGGTTGAGCGTCCGCCGGTCCCGGAGCACGCCGCCCCAGTGGGCCTCGTCCGCGGCCCGCGCCTCGCGGAAGATGCGCTCGTGGAGCAGCGGCAGCCGCCGTCGGAACTTGTCGTTCATGTAGACCGTCGACCACCCGCCGCCCCGCGACGCGCGCTCCACGGCGCCGACCTCGGCCTCGACCGCGGCGGCGGCGGCGAGGAGCTCGTCGATGCCCGCGTCGTCGAGGAAGCCGCGCACGCGCACGACCGAGGACCGCTGCGCCTCGTCGACGGGCACGAGGTCCGGCGCCTCGCCGGCGTCGAGCGCCGCCTGCTCGAGCTCGAGCGCCGCGTCGATCTCGTCGCCGAGCGCCCCGACGTCGACGTCCTCGAGGAGCGCGAGGCATTTCGCGCTCGCGTCGTGCGCCGGGTTGAGCTCGAGCGCGCGCTCGAAGAGCTCGGCCGCCTCCTCGACGAGGCCGTGGGCGACGTTCAGCGAGCCGAGGCGGAAGCACGCCTCCCAGCTCGCCGGGTCCAGCTCCAGCGCCGCCTCGTAGCAATCGAGCGCGTCGAGCGCCTCGCCGCGGCCCTCGAGCGCGACGCCCTCCCGCACGAGCAGGTCCGCATCGCTCGGCGCAGCGTCGGTCGCTTGCACCAGCGCCGCCTCCGCGGTCGTGGCTTGCAGTCCGCGCAGCTGCAGCCCGTGCTGCGAATGCTTGCTCACTGGTCGTCGTACATGTAAGAGGCCCTCAGCGACCAGCAACGAGGCGCAAAAGACTAGCTGCACCAGGCTGGGCCAGACGATAACCGCTGGCAATGAGGCCTTCATAGCCCGCGTCATAAAATGGCCGACTTCACCTTCACCCGCTCTTCACACAAAATGTTGCCCCCCCTGTCGAGGCATTCCAGTGGCCATGGGCCGGGGCTAGTAAGAGGGGGGCAGCCCCTGCGCGATGCTCTTCTAACGCCTGCGGCATTCCTGCACGACATGGGCCGGGGCCCGTGCGCGGGCAGCCTCTGCGCGCTGCTCTTCTGTACTGCGCTCGCCGGCGAGGCGCCCTGCGCGCTGTCGCCCGAGGAGCTGCCGCTGGCCGCGCGCACGGCGCGCGCGACGGCGCACTGCGACATCGTGCTCTTTAGCGCCGCGTATTTCGGCGCGGACGCGGCCCTCGACGAGCCGCGGAGTCGGCACCACCGCGCGCTCGGCAATCGGACCTGCGCGGTGCTCGTCGTCGGGCCGGGGACCGCCGAGGCGCTCGCGCACCACTGCAGCGTCGCGCCGTGGACCGTGGTGGCGGACGAGTCGGCGACGGCCCGGGATCGGCCGCGGCGCGCGTCGAAGCGCGTCAAGCTCAGCGCGTCGCTCTACTTCCCGACGGCGGCGTTCACGCTGTTCGTGGATTGGAAGTACGCGCTCCTGCAGACCCCCGAGTGGTTCCTCGAGCGGACCGCGTTCCGGGCGCCGTCCCGCGTGTCTCTCTTTGCGCACCCGTGCTCGGCGGCGACGTCGGCGGCGCTCCAGGGGCCCTTCGCGGCCACGTGCGCGCATCCCCGCCGCCCGGGCGAGGCCTGGGAAGCGTGGGAGGCCCGCCTGATCCTCGACGCGGCGCGGACCGACGAGCCCGGGCGCCTCCGGGCCCAGGTCGCGCGGATGAGCGGCGCCGGCGGCGCCGACGCGTACGCCGACTCGGCGGTCGTCGCGGCGGCCCACGCCGACTCGGCGGTCGTCGCGGCGGCCCACGCCGACGCGGCGGTCGTCGCGGCGGCCCCGGCCACGGCGGCCGCCGCGGCCTTCCTCTGCGCGTGGCGGCGCGAGTTCGACCGCGACGACTCGAGCGACCGCGACCAGCTCGCGTTCGCGGCCGCGTTCCGGGCGTCCCCCCACGGCGTCGGCCTCATCGAACCCGGCGACAGCGCGGCCCCCTGCGCCGGCCACCTCGGCCGGTGCGAGGCGCTCCGCGTCCTCCGGAGCCGGGCCAAGGTCCTGCCGCCGGCGGCGCCGCGGCGGCGGCGGCCCTGCCGGGCCCGCTGGCTCGACGACCCGAGGCACGAGCTCTCCGGCCCGCTCCGCGGCCGCATCGCCGGCCACCTCCACCTGGGCCCGGGGCGGGAGCGGACGCGGACCGGCGCCGACGGGTAACCGACGCCGAGTGTCCGGCCCCCGAGGCTTGGGTCCCGAGATTACCGCCCCCAGGGGTCGACCCACGCGCCATCCAGCTCGGCCTCGAGGGCCGCGGCGCTGCGGTCGAGGCGCGCGCACGCGCCGCCGAAGCGCGCCGGCTTCCAGGCGAGGAGGTCCGCGAGGAAGCCGCGGTAGCCGTCGTTCTTCTGCGTGAGCGCGAAGGTCGCGTAGCCCGCCCTGCGTAGCACGTCGACGTCGGCGTCGGCGCGGACCTCGACGAGCAGCACGTCGACGTCGACGCGGTCGAGGTCGAGCGACGCGAGCGCCTGGTGCACGAAGTCCTCGACGTCCAGGGAAAAAAAGTGCACGCGCGACAGCCCCGCGGCCTCGAAGATCTCCGTGAGCGTGCGGCAGGGCACGACCTTGGGCGCGCCCGCGACGGCCCGCTCGCATTTCCGCGCCTCGGCGCCCGCGAGCTCTGGGGACCGCGCGCAGAAGACGTCCATCGTCGCCGAGTCGAAGGTGTTGCTCCGCGCTTCCGGCGGGCAGATCGCGCCGTGGAAGATCGTCGCGTTGGGCCGGTTCGCCGGCAGCTCGCAGACCGCGCAGGACGTCGGCTCGACCAGTAAACCCCGCCACTCGAGGAACCGCTCGAAGACGTACGTGTTCGACTCGTCGACGCCGTTGATGGCGCCGGCCTCGGCGTAGACGCCGCGCTTCACGTTGGGAAAGAAGAGGTTGTAGACGAGGAAGTCGAGATAGTCGGAGCCCAGGAAGAACGCGCCGCCCAGCCGCAGCTTCGGCTCGAGCCGAGTGACCGCGTCCGCCTGGGCCGCGGCGAGCGCCGCGTCCGACGCCGCGCGACTGCGGGCGGTCCGCGCCGCCGCGGGCGCGAGGTGGCCCGCGAGGTGCGACTCGTGGCAGACGCGGCGCATGCACGACTTGCGCGCCCAGTTGCCCGTGACGTTGCACGACTCCTGCGTTGGTCCGGAGCACCGGAGCGCGTCGCGATCCGCGTGGTCGCCGCGCAGGAAGCGGCGCAGCGCCGCGAGGTAGCGCAGGAGGAGGTACGTCTGCGCGGCGGCGTCGCAGCGCTTCCCCACGAGCTCCGCGTTGCAGTGCGAGCAGTACTTGAGGGGCAGCCCCGTCGCGCGCGGCGCGCCGCGCTCGTCCATGCCGGGCCGCGCCGCCGCTTCTCTCGTTAATACGTCGGCCCAGGACGGCTCGCCGGCGTGCGTTGTCGTGCGCGCGGTGGCGAGCAGGAGAGCTGCCCGCCATGCCGCGGATCGCGCACCCATTGCGCGGGCCTCAACGAGGGGATGGTGCAGTCCCATGGCGAGGTGGCTCGCTTCGCCTCGCCACTGAGCCGGCCGCGGCGCGAGAGCCACAGCACCGGACGCCGAAGGTGACGGCAGGCTCGGCTTGGGGCTGGGGATGGTGCGGCTCAGCATCGACATCGTCGCCTGCGCCGCCACCGGCATCGTCGCCTGCGCCTGCGCGTCGCAGCCATGCGCGTGCTAGCTCTCCTGATGGCCGCGGCCGTCGTCGCGGCGAAGACGCAGGAGGAGCTCGAGGACGAGGTGCTGCGCGAGGCCATCGCCGCCGGCCGCGGCGACCGCGACGAGCAGGGCGTGCGGGACCAGTGGGAGAGCCGGAGCGGCATCGGCGGCCGCGAGGACACGCGGAAGCCCATCTCGCGCAAGGTGCGCGACATGATGCGCGACAACGGCCTCGAGTGCGAGGGCTGCGACAACGCGGAGGCCGTGACGATGGTCAACGAGTTCATCAAGGCCGAGCAGGAGCGCATCGCCGCGGAGGAGCGGAACGCGCAGCTGGTCAAGGCGCTCTTCCCCGTCGTCGGCGTCCTCGTCGGCGCCGTCGTCGTGCTGGGCAGCATCTACCTCGGCCTCGCCATCGGGGGCGCGGGCGGCGGCGACGACGGGCTCGACGACGCGATCAAGACCGAGATCGCGCGGAAGCAGACCTACGCCGAGGCCATGGCCGCGGCGCGCGGCGAGGTCCCGAAGGCGGCGCCGACCTGGCGCGACAACGAGGAGAAGGAGGAGTGGACGCCGCGCCAGGAGAGGCAGTTCGCGAAGGCGCTCGGGCCGCTCCTCGGCCTGCCGCCGAAGGAGCGGTGGCCCCTCGTCGCGGACCAGGTCGACGGCAAGGACAAGAAGGAGTGCGCGTCCCACTACAAGCTCCAGCAGATCCTCGAGCGCGAGGCCGCGGAGCGCGACGACACCGCGCGGCGGCGCGGCGAGGAGCCGTGGTAAGCGTTCGCTTTTGACACAACATATACCCTTACCGCGCCGGCGGCGGCGTCGCGGAGAAGTCGCGGAGGGGCCCGGGCTCGGGCCGGAGGCAGCAGTCCGCGAGGAGTTTCGCGCCGCTCGCGAGCGCGGCGACCGCGGCCGCGTCGCACGAGTCGCGGACGTGCCACGTGTTCGTCTCGCGCGCGAAGCGCAGCTTGTCGTCGCGGCCCTCGGTCCAGGCCCAGTGGAAGACCGCGGGCCGCGCGACGCCCCGCGCGAGCTCGTCGGCGTAGGTCTTGTTCCGGTGGAAGATCGCGCCGATCTGGAAGTCGTCCCGCGGGAGCACGCGGACGCCCAGGTTCATGCGGCTCGCGTGCTCCTGCAGGAGCGCGTTGAGCACGTGCTGGTGCGACCGCCAGACGATGATGAGGTCGAAGTGCGTGAGCATGGCAAAGAGGAAGTGGGCCGTGCGCCGGTTCGCCCGGACCAGGTAGAAGCCCGTGTTCGCGGAGTAGGGGACGTAGCGGTTCGACCGCGCGACGTCGTCCATCCAGAGCGTGTCCTCGCCGTAGGCCGCGAGCAACGGGAGCGGGTCCGCCTGCCATACAACATCCGCATCCATGAAGAGCACGTCGCGGCCGCAGCGGTTCACGAGGTAGACCGCGACGACCTTCAACCACATCATCGACACGAAGACGGAGTCGCCGTACTTGTGCGCCGGCCGCTCGGGGAAGTCGCCGAGGGCCGGGTGGGAGAAGGTCGCCGCGACGGCGCCGTCGAGGGCCGCCGCGGTCGCTTCGTCGGCGGCGAACGCGACGACGCGGTCGCGCGCGACGGGGCCTTCGACGTTGTGCCTCGCGGAGCACAGGAAGTTCGCGACGATGTCGAGGACGCCGCGGTTCACGGCGAGGGCGACGACGGGGCCCCGGGGGACCTTGGCGAGCACGGGCGCCAGCGCGCCGACGACCGCGCCGACGTCCGCGAGGAGCCCGAGCAGCAGCGCCTCGGACGTCGGCGCGCCGGCGATGGCCGCGGACTTGGCCACGGCCTTGGGCGGCGTCGCGCCGAAGACGGACGTCTCGTACTTGGACGCGAAGCGCACCGTCGTCGCGTTCGGCTCGCCCTCGAGCTTCACGCGCGGCACGACGTACGACGGCGACGTGTCGGATTCGACGACGGCGAGGCAAAAGTCTTTCCGCGTCGTCGCGACGACGACGCCGACGTCCAGGCAGCCCCGCGCCGCGAGCTCGACGGCGACGTCGCCCGTGGCGTTAAAGCCCGCCGGCGCCTTCTTGTGGGCGAGGAGCGTCGCGCCGCCGCCGCGCTTGTGCAATCGCACGGGCGCGAAGCCCGGCAGCAGGCGCGCCAGCGCCCGCGCGCTCGGCGCGACCCAGACGTCCTGCCACGTCGGCGTCTCGCCGCCGGCGCCGACGAGCTGGCGCGGGATCGACGCCGCCGCGACCTTGCGCGCCTCGCACTTGCGCGTCGCCTCGCGCGCCGCGGACGCCTCGCGCGCGGGGCACTGCTTCGGGCAGGGCGCCGGCGCCGCGCAGGGCGCCAGCTCCGGGCAGGACGGCGCCGGGCAGGGCTCCGGGGCTGCACAAGGCGCCGGCACGGGGCAGGCGGCGCAGCGCAGCCGCGGCGCCGTGCAGTTGGCGCAGGGCGCGCAGGACCGCGGCGGCCGCAGCGCGTGGTGCGCCGGCGCCGCGTGCAGCGCCACGTTCGTGTGCACGTGGTGCCCGCTCCAGAAGGAGAGCGCGCAGCACAGCAGCGCGACGTCGCCGCGCAATCTGAACACACCCATCGTGTACGATGATGCTGCCCACAAGTTCAACAACGACTTAAATAGCATTGTAACACTCTATAACACGATGGTTTGCGCGAATGCGCGTCGATAGGAGCCGGTGGCGATTATGCCAGATGGGTATACGGACTTCACGATGGTCGGGCTGGGTCCGCTGGCCCTGCGCGTGCGGAAGAATTGCGGCCTGGGGCTGATCCTCGAGTGCGTGAACCTGCCGATCATGGCAATGCTGTACGCATACGCAGTGCCTCAGCGTGTTTGAAATCCTGCGTGAGATTCCGCTGTATTCTAGGCAGCAGCTGAGCTTCTGGGCCTGCGTGCACCAGATCGTGTGCTTCTCGCTCCCCGTCTGCTGCTCCAAGTACGACCGGTGCGCGCTCACGGCCATCCAGCACTCGTGCTACATCGCCGCGACGACGAGGCTCGTCTCGATCATTCTGACGATCGCCTGGGTGGCGACGCGCGAGCCCGCGACGGCCCTCGGGCTCGCGCCGAACTGCTGGTGGTCCGGCGACGGCCAGGGCACCGGCGACGACTATTGGGAGTGCTACAAGGACTCGAATCACTGCAAGGCGTCGTGCGTCGACATCGCGTCGAACGAGACCCAGGTCTGGTGGAGCCGCAAGGGCTTCATCGATCCGGCGGGCCGCGAGGAGGACCTGGGCGAGCGCAGCAAGAGCAGGGCCGAGTTCGAGGGCTTCGCCTCCGAGGCTTCCGCGAACGACTTCTACAAGGACCGATGGTCCGACGCGATGGCGGGCGCGACGGCGGCGTGCGTCGTCGCCATCCTCATCAACTTCTCGATGATCTGGTTCAACGCGCACGTGGGACGCATGGCGACGGAGGCGCTCGCGGGCCAGCGCGCGGCGCCGGTCGGCGTGCACGTCGCGCCCGTCGGCCCGGTCCACGCGGCGCCGGTCGTCGCGCGGGGCCAGCCCGTCGCCGCGGCGACGATCCCGATGGCCCAGGTCGAGATGGCGCCATTGGCGCGGGGGGGGACCGTCCAGGGCACCGTCATCGAGGTCGAGGCGACGCCCATCGAGCCCGGGGAGCAGGTTTTTTAGTCACAGTGAAGATTTTGTTGAACAGTGAAGTGAACAGTGGGTGCCCCTGCACAACAAGTGGAACCGCGTCATCGCAATCGGCGTCGGCGTCGCGCAGCCTCGCATCGCGCGGCATCGACCAACGCGTCATCGGCATCGGCTTCGTCGCAGCCTCGCATCGCGCGGCATCGACCAACGCGTCATCGGCATCGGCTTCGTCGCAGCATCGTCGCATCGCAAGCGCATCGACCACCAATTCACGATGCTGCTCGTGCGCGTCGTCGCGTGGGCCGTCTCGGCGCTCGTCTCGCTGCGCTACGCGCTCGGCCTCTACGCCTGGCGCGTGTCGGAGAAGCTCGAGAAGCCCAAATACGAATCGCTACTACAACTGCCCGGCGGCGTCGAGATCCGCAGGTACGAGCCCTACACGGTCGTCGAGGCGACGTTCCGGGACCAGAGCATGCGCGCGGCGACGGGGAGCGGGTTCCGCGCGTGCGCGGGCTTCATCTTCGGCGGCCGGAACCGCGTCGGCGGCGGGCCCTTTTCGAAGCGGTCGTCGCGGTCGATGGCCATGACCGCGCCCGTGCGCATGGAGACGAGCGAACGCGCGACGAAGGTCAGCTTCGTCATGGCGGCCAACGAGACGCTGCGGTCGCTGCCGACGCCGACGGACGCGGGCGTGCGGCTGCGGGCGATCCCCGGCCACACGGCCGCGTTCGTGCGCTTCTCCGGCCCGCCGCCGTCGGAGGCGAAGATCGCGGCGGCGCGGGCGCGCGTCGAGGCGGCGCTCGCGTCGTCGGCCTTCTCGCCCGTCGCGGGCGGCGAGACGCTGACCTACGGGTACCACGACCCGTTCGCGACGCCGAACCTGCTCCGGCGCAACGAGGTCGGCGTCTTCGTGCAATAAAATTTAGCGCGCGTCGCGGACGACCATCATCTTGTAGCCGGCCCAGTTGAGCATGGTCTCCCGGGCCTCGAGCCAGTCGATCCACGCGCTCGGCCGCTGGCCCTTGCGCGCGGTGAGCATCTGGCGCACGCGGCGCGGCTTCGCCGGGTCGCTCGTGTCGACCCAGTCGCGGAGCGCGTAGATGAGCGCGTAGTGGTTCTTGAGGTGGAAGAGGAGGCAGGCCCGCGGGTCGAGGAAGACGGCGTGGAGCTTCCCCCACTGCGCCTCGACCTCGGGGCCGCCGTCGCCGCGCCGCAGCGGGCAGGCCATGGCGGAGCCGCGCTTCGCGGCGCCGGCGAAGAGCGTGACCCTGACCGTCGCCACGGGCGCCTTGGGGCAGGCCCAGAGCGGCTCCGGGTCGAGGCGCAGGAACGCGACGGCGTCCGCGGCGCCCGCGGCCGGCGCCGCGGGCTCGTCGACCCGGGGCTCGCCCGCGGCCGTCGACGCGTCGTCGCCGGCCCAGACGTCGTCGAAGAGCTCGTCGCGCGCGAGCTGCTCCGCGGCGTGGATCAGGCCCCAGTTGCCGAACGCCGCCGTCGACGGCCGCCTGTGTGGAAATCAACCGGTGGAACGCCCTGTCCAGCAAAAACTTCAAACCTCTCTATCTCGATCAACTCGAAGTCGATTCGGCTGATTTTTGGACGAATCGATTGCTCTCGTCGACTTCTCGAAGCACGGTTCAAGTGCTTGCATCAGAACTGTCGCATACGCGCACATTGAAGTCGGCTTGAAGATTTGATTCCCACGTCGACGGCCGCTCCGCGCACGTCTTCGCGATGCCGTCGCACTTCTTCAAAATGTCCCCGAGGTCGGCCTTCCAGGCCCAGGGCTTCGCCGCGCGCCGCGCGGCGCCGAGGTGCGACTTCTTGCGGCTCGGGGCCCTGGCCCGCCGCCTCCGGGGCCCGCCGGGCGCCGGCGCGGCCGCCTCGGGGCTCGGCGGCCGCGGCGCGCCCGCGGCCGGCGCGACGGCGGGCGCCGGCGGCGCCGCGGCCTCGGGCGCCGCCTCGTCGTCCTCCGGCGGCTCGCCGTCGTCGTCGTCGTCGTCGTCGTCGTCGTCGCGGTCGTCGTCGTCGTCGACGACCGCCGCGCCGGACGCCTCGGCCTCGAGGCGCCGCTTCTCGGCCTCGGCCCGCTTCCGCGCCGCGTCCTCCTCGTAGAGCTCCCAGAGGCGGCAGAAGACCGGCGCCGGCGGCTCGTCCGCGTCCGCGGCGTCCGCCTCGGGCGCGGGCGCGGGCGCGAGCCCTTGCTCGACGTTCCGCTGGCGCTCGACGGCCGCGGCGATGGCGTCGCCCCGCGCCTCGACCTCGGCGCGCACGGCCCCGAGCAGGTACTTGGCCGTGACGCTCGCCGCCGCCTCCTTCTTCGTGGACGCGCCGAAGCGCTTGCCGTCGAGCGCGACGCGGTCCGCGACGGCGGCGAGCAGCGGGCCGAGGTCCGCGCCGAGCTTGCGCTCGAAGCTCGCCCGCTTCTTCGCCACCGTGTCCCGTAGCAGGCCCCGCATCGTCGCCAGGATCTCCAGGGGCTGCATCGCGCGCGCGTCGCGGCGGCCGACGCGCGCGAGCGCGTTCATCGCGCCGGCCAACGCCGCGGCCGCGCAGCAGGGGCTCGGCTGCTTGACCCAGGCCGCGAGGAGCGCGCTGTCGACGGCGCAGGCGAAGGTCGTGACCCGCTCCTCGAGGCCCGGCAGCCGGCCGCCCCAGAGGCCCAGGAGCGTCTGCGTGACGTCGAGGTCCTCCGCGTCCTTCGTGTCGCACTCGACGCCGTCCTTGTCGAAGGGCGCCATGGCCACCGTGTTCTCGTCGACGGTGAACTCCTCCGTCGGTGCAGCGGCGTCGGGCGCCGGCGCGGGAGCCGGTGCGGCGTCCAGCGCGGGAGCCGGTGCGGCGTCCATCGCGCCGCCCGTTGGCCTTGTGGCAGGGAATTGAGCGAGTTGTAGCCAAGCTGACGGCACGACCGGCCTGTGCCGCCAGCGCCTCGTCGAGGCAGCCCCAACCGGCGGCAGCGCGCCGCGGCGGCGCCGCGGCCCGACCATGGCGACGCGGGACCGCGCCCACCTCAACGCGGCCAAGAAGGGCCAGAAGGCGGTCTGGCGCAGCGGGCGGCTCACCGTCGAGGTGCTGCGGGGCCGCAACCTGCTGCCCGCGGACAAGGGCGGCACGTCGGACCCCTTCGTCACGGTGCAGCTCGTCGACGTCACGGAGGGCAACCCGCTGAAGAAGCCGTTGGACAAGGTCGCGAAGACGGGCGTGAAGAAGAAGACGCTGAGCCCGGAGTGGACGGGCGAGAAGTTTGTGTGGGACGACGTGCCCTACCCGCTGCCGCGCGTCCGCTTCACGGTCCAGGACTACAACGGCATGCTCTCGAAGCCGACGCCCCTGGGCCGGGGCCACGTCTCGCTCGAGGCCATCTGGGAGATGAGCGGGGCCCACCTCCTGCCGGCGCAGTGGCTCTCCTTGAAGCCCTTCGACGGCATGGCGGCCGCGACGGGCGACGTCGAGGTCCGCGTCAACCTGGCCGTCTCCACGGGCGACGAGCAGCAGGACGCCATCAACGAGGTCAACGCGTCGCGCTGGTTCCCCGACGACCCGGACGGCGAGGACCACCACGACTACGGCGACCGCGCGCCGAACATGCTCCAGGTCGCCGCGGTGCGAGCGAAAGATTTAAAAGCCATGGACAAGGCCGTCTTCGGCGGCAAGAGCTCGGACCCCTTCGCGTCCTTCGCCGTGCTGGACCGGGAGAGCGCGCGCACGGGCTTGGATGGGGTCCGCGTGCGCACGAAGACCATCAAGAAGAACCTGCAGCCCGTATGGGGCGAGTGCGTCGAGGTGCCCTTGCCGGCGTCGGGCGCGCGCGGCGCCGTGCTCAAGGTGCGCGTCGAGGACGCGGACATGAGCGGCTCGGAGTACATGGGCGGCTGCGCCGTCGATCTAGGGACGATCCCGGCGCTTTTGGAAGATGGCTCCGCGGCGCCCCAATGGTACGCGCTCGCCGACGAGTCGCCGGACGACGCGGACGACGACGACGACTGCGGCGAGATCTGCCTCGCGATCAAGCTCGCCTACGACCCGGCCCACGACCCGGGCGAGGACCGGCCCTTCTTCGACGAGGAGCCGCCCGACGCCAGGGGCCGGCCGCCGAACGAGGTCCGCGTCGCCGTCTGCCGCTGCCGGGACCTCAAGGCCGCGGACGGCGCCGTGAACCTGCCCTTCAAGCGCAGCGCGGCGTCGAGCGACCCCTACGTGAAGCTGCGCCTCGACGACGGGTCGGGCTTCGTCCAGCGCACGAAGACGAAGAAAAAGTCGCTGAACCCCGTCTTCAACGAGACCTTCGCGTTCGAGCTCGACGGCGCCGCGGTCCTCGCCAAGGGGACGGCGAAGAAGAAGAAGAAAAAAGTCGACGCGGCGCCGGAGCGCCCCCCGGGGCGGCGCGGCGGCCCGAAGGACCACGACCGCTCCGACTCGGACGACGACGACGAGGACGAGGAGGCGGAGGACGACGGCGCGCCGACGCAGCTCGTCGCCGAGGTCTTCGACTGGGACCTCGTCGGCGACGACGACTTTCTCGGGCGCGCGACGCTGCCCCTGGGCTTCCTGGCCGAGGCGCCGGGCACCGTGAAGCGCGCGTGGGTCCGCTTGGCCGACGAAGCGGGGAAGGTGCCCCTGGCGGACGACGGCGAGAGCTCCAAGCTCGGGTCCATGCTCCTCGTCGCCCAGTGCCGCTACGACGCGTCGCACGACTTCGACCCCTTCGACCACGGCGAGGATGCGCATTATTCGTCGAAGCCGCCCAACGAGTTCCACGTCGCGGTCTTCAAGGCGCGCGGCGTGCCGCCGCCGCCGAAGACCAAGGGCGTCATCGCCGCGCTCGGCGCCGCGGCCGCGAGCCACACGCTGCGCGTGCGGCTCGAGGTGCGGGGCCCCTTCGGCGCGCCGCCGGCGCCCGTGCTCACGGAGCCGCGGACGCGCGCCGCGGGCCCCGTCTGGCGCGAGTGCCGGAGCTTCGAGCTGGAGACGCCCGAGGCCTACGACCACGACAGCGGCGCGGGGTTGGAGGGGTGCGCGCTGGCCGTGACGCTCCTCGCGGGCGAGAGCGCCTTCGCCAAGGACAAGGTCCTCGGGTCCGCGAGCCTGCCTCTGGCGGAGCTCGGCGCGGCGCGGCCGCGGCGCCAGTTCGCGGGGTGGCTGCCGCTGGCGCCCGACGAGTCCGGAGACCCGGACCACCCGCCCGGCGACGTCTTTGTCATCGCCCACTGGGTCCACAACCCCGTCCTCGACTTCGAGCCCTTTGTAGCGGACGCGGAGCCGACGATTCTGGCGAAGGCGCCGAACGAAGTCCGCGTCGCGGTCGTCCGGGGCCGGAACCTCGCCGTGACGCACCGCGACGCCGTGCGCGGCGTCGCCCACGCGCTGCACGTGGGCCACCGCACGTCCGCGGGGCTCGGCGACGGCTGGGCGAACCCCTTCGCGCGGCTGACGATGGCGAGCGACGACCCGGACGACCCCGAGTGCCTCCACGACGTGTCGACGGCCGTGCAGCGCAAGTCCGTGAACCCCATCTTCAAGGAGGTCTTCGAACTGAAGCTCGACGACCGGCGGCCCGCGGCGCGGGCGTCGTTCCGGCTCACGGTCTACGACCACGACGACGGCATCGACGCGAACCACGCGTACATGGGCCACGCGGACGTGCACCTGAAGGACTTTGCCGACCGCAAGGTGCACCGGCGCTGGCTCACGTTGGGCGACGGCGGCGCCGTGGAGATTGTGGTCGCGCTCCGCTTCAACCCGTACCTGGACCTCTTCTTCGACCCGCACGCGGCGGCGCGCGAGGAGGCCCGGGAGGCCGTGCGCCGGGCGAGCCTGCACTTGATCGAAGTCGAGGAGACGAAGCGGCGGGAGACGCTGCGCCTCGCCGCCGAGGCGGAGATCATGGACCGCGCGGCCGCGGCCGCCGCCGCGGCCAAGGCCGTGGCGGAAGAAGAGCGGCGGGAGCTGCTCCGCAAGAAGTTCGACGGCCCCGTGCGCATGCGCACCTTCGACGACCAGATCTACCAGGACGTCGCCGACGGCGACGTCGCCAAGGTCGCCGCGCACCTCGACGCCGCGGACGCGCGCGGCGACCTGCGGAAGGCGCTCGAGGAGCGGGGGTCGAGCCGCGGCCGGTCGCTGCTCCACGTGGCGGCCATGACGGGCCAGATCGAGGTGCTGCGCATGCTCGTCGAGGACTACGGCGCGAATATTGGTATTAGGAGCCTCCTGGGCCGGGACACGCCCCTGCACCTCGCCGCGCAGAACGGCCACCGCTACGCGTGCTTCGTGCTCATCCAGTACGGCGCGTCCGCGGACCTGCCGAACAAGTTCGGCGCGACGCCCCTCCATTACGCCACGAAGCTGTCCATCATCCGGCTCCTGCTGCGCCACGGCGCGCGCGTCACGGAGGAGGACCACGCGGGGCGGACGCCGCTGGCGTGCGCGCTCGAGAACGACGCGCCCGACGAGTCCATCAAGGAGCTCGACAACGTCAAGGCCGAGCAGGACCGCGAGAAGTACTTCGCGAGCCTCAACGCCGAGAAGGAGAAGCAGCGCAAGTACGACGCGGCCATCGCGGCGCGCGTCGAGCGCATGACGCGCGCCGCGCGCGAGGAGAAGATCGCGCGCGTGCGCAACGAGTACCTCGGCTGGCGCACGGGCCGCATCTCGGGCAACGAGATCATCATCATCCGCGAGAAGCGGCGCCAGCGCGCGCTCCGCTGGGAGAGCCTCACGTCGACGAAGCGCGAGAAGATGAACGGGCCCAAGGACGGCGCCGCGCCCGCGCCCGCGTCGAGCTCCCACGCCGTCTCGGGCACGACGGCCGACGGCAAGACCGTCGGGTCGACCTTCGCGTCGGGCTTCAAGGCCTTCACGTCCTCGGCCTGGAAGGGCAACTCCGGGCCCAAGCAGCTCTCCGCGACGCAGATGAAGAAGGTCAAGCAGCTCAACGCCGTCAAGCGCGGCACGTCCGAGTCGGGCTTCTGAGTTTTTTTCTGGGGGGATAATTGTGTTGTTGTGTTCCTGATCATCTGTCGACATGGAAGTCGACTTGGAAGCTTAGTTGAAGCAAAGTTGATGCCTCGTTGATTCACTGAGCTCGATCGCGAGGTGGAGGCAGCCGGCCGAGTCGGCAGCCGTCGCGAGGTTGGCTGCCCAAGCGTGCGCGCGCGCTCGCGACAGCGACATGGAATCCTATCGGGATAAGCTCAAGCTCTTCGACTGCGAGATGAGCGGGCTATCCTCGCACGAGCGGGGGCTGCGTGCTGAGTATCTAGACGAATACTTGGACGAAGACAAGAAGCGGTCTCGGCGAGAGACTATGGCCGCCCTTTCGGACTGGTCCATCACGGTGCAAGTGTCGGACGATGCGGGTGCTCCCAGGCGGTCCTTCGCCGTCAACCGCGGTGTGCTGAGCCTCGCGTCCGGCTTCTTCCGGACGTGCTTCGAAACGCCTCTGAACCAGGGCCGATCGGTGACGGTGCTGACGCTGTCGGCCGGCTGCTGCGACGCCTTCGAGTCCATGCTGGCATTCATCTACGACGGTGAGCTGCCGGACGCCGTCGACGCTTGGGTCCCGTGCCTAGCGCTGGCTCGAGAATTCGACGTGCCATCCCTAGGCGACGCTACGCTGGAGCTCATTAGTCGTTTCTTTGATCTGTTGTACCCGTCCGAAAAGCCCAGCAAACGAGGCGATACACAGCGCGGTGTTAGCAGCTTGGCAACGCGCGAGTGGCGGGACACGACGATCGAAGCGTATCGACGCAAACGCCGACGGTGTTTTAAAGAGGGCGACAGCGACGACGAGAGCATCAACAGCGACATCCGGGATGACCTATCGATGCTCTACGCGCACGCTAACGAGTACGGCTTCGGACAGCTCCAGAGCGCCTGCGAGAAGCAGATTGTGGCCATGCGCTTGCCCGTGGAATCGCTGGACGAGCTGCCCATCCCGAGCATCGTGAAACTCGTCGACACCGCGAGCACCGACACGAAAATATACGGTGAGACCATGTGCTCGTGGGTCACCAAGCTCGTTTGGCGGCGACTTCACGATGTCGGCGACGTCGAACCGGAGGAAGTTCCGTCGCTTCTGGACGGCCTCGCGCTCTGCTGGTGCGTCGGAGACGATGATCATTACAACCTGCAAGATAACCGTTACAACTTTGACGACCCCGTGAGATTCAAGATGACCGCCGAGCAGACGTGTGAATTGCTGCTTCTTTCCATCAAGCACCAAGGCGGGCTGAAGGTATCCGGGCCCGTGCGCTTCTTGGCGAGAGACGACTTCGACGACCGGTCCGGCGACTTCCCGCCTCTGGACTTGAAAAAGTTCATGCATGCCTTGCCTCAAGAAGAATTCGACCTTATGGTGAAGACGGGTCTGGGCTTTCCAGTCGCCTCTATCCAAGAACGGCTCGGGGCTCGGTTCGATACCTCAGCAGCCATCTATCTGACTGCTGTTTTAGAGTACATGGCTGCGGAGGCCATCGAGCTCTCTGGAAATGCTGCCAAAAAAAAAAAACGCAAGACCATCTTGGCTCGCGATATCAACGCCGCTCTAGACGGAGACACCAATGAGCTACAACAAACAGCCTATCAAATTCGTCCGCTCGACGTCGTCCTTCAGTCGCACTGCCTGTGGTGGCTCGGCCGACTGCTATTCGAAGATGTCGATGAGTACCAGCACCAGCTCGAGCGCTTGCCGCTGGACGCGTTGCTCGTCTTGTGGCTGTCCATTTCTCCTGACCATCTGACGCATGAGGACGGTATTGTGGAGGACTCCATCTTCGACTCGATCAGATCATACCTCAACGCTACTTCGCCTGGCCCGGAAATTCATGCGCGCGCTTGGAAGGCTTGCAGCTTCGCGCATCTCTCCGACGCGAAGTTTGGGAGTTGTTCCTCGGAGCTGCTTCCTCGGATGTTTACGCCGATGCAACTGTCCGCATTGGAAGGGGCGCGCGACATCTTAGCGGATGACTGCGACGATCAAGAAGCCCGTGCAATCATGGAAAGTGCCGGCATCGCGTTCCACGACCGCAGGGACAGCTGGTTCTCGCGGCCCAAGTTTTACTGCTCTCGCCCAAAGATGCCCGCGACGCTCAGACGATCCTCGATCGCCACCGTCGAACCGTAATGCACACACGCCCGCGTCCTCACTTATCGGGCACGACGACGCGCGGATACTCGTCGTCGTCGTCGTCGTCGACGGCCTCGAGGCGGTAGTAGGTCGTCGACGGTCGCCGCGCCTTGCGCGCGCGCATGATCTCGCGGTGGAGCGTGCGCTGGCTGAGGTAGATGCCCTCGCGGTCGCGCGGCTTCGCGTAGACCAACTTGGCGTCTACCGTGACCTCGAAGGTCGCGTCGTCGCCGCGGCGCGTCGCCTTCTGCACGCCGACGACGAGGACGTCGGGGTAGGACTCCTGGACGATGCGCTTCGTCCGCAGGTAGGCCTTGCGCAGGCCCTCGAACTCGTCGCCGTCGACGTCGACGTCGCGGCTGTAGAGCACCTCGAGCCGCACGCGCTTCGCCTGCATCGTCTCCCACTTGTTGACCGTGAGCGGCGGCGCGAAGCCGAAGGCCTGGCCCGCGGCCTCTCTGGCCGGCGCCGGCTCCTTCGCGCGCGCCGACCGCCGACCGTCGACGGTGCGCGGGTCCGGCTCGACGGCGCGGCGCAGCACTTTGGCCCCGCGCACGGCCTCCCTGGCCGGCGCCGGCTCCTTCGCGCGCGCCGACCGCCGACCGTCGACGGTGCGCGGGTCCGGCTCGACGGCGCGGCGCAGCACTTTGGCCCCGCGCAGGATCTGGTAGTTGGCCGGCGCGAGGGCCACGGCCGTCGAGCAGCAGAGGATGAGCGCGGCGGACCGCATCGTCGGGGGTGCTGCACGGCCTCGACGAACGCGGCGCCGGCGACGACGTCAAACCTCGAAGAGCTGCAACGACACGTCAATGTGAGCCCATCGAATTCAACATCTGAGCTGAACCTCTTACCGGGGGGCCAGCGCGGCTGCCCCTGTCTCGTGGAGCCGTGCGCCGGCCCGCCCGGCGGCGGCGCGGCGGCGCGGCGGCGGCGCACCGAGCAGCCGAGGAGCTGCCCGGTTGGCGCCGCGCATGCGCCGCAGCATGGTCGCCGCCTCGCTCCTCCCGTGGCTCGTCGTCGCCCTGTGCACAACACTGACGCGCGGCGCGCCGGACGAGGTCGCCGCGCTGCGCCGCCAGCTGGCGGAGACGCGGCGCGACCTGCGCCGCGCCGAGACGCGCCTGCTCCTCGGCAACGCCTCCTGCGGCGGTTTCGGAGAAACCGCCGACTCCGACGACGACGAGGTGCGCTTCACGGACATCTTCGGATCCGCGAACCACATGGACCGGCGCGTGCTGACGCTGACGTTTCTCGCGCTGACGGGGGCCATTATTTTGATCGAGCACTGCCTGTCGAATTTGGACGACCACCTCACGGACACGGAGTCGCCGTACCGCGGCATGGTCGAGAAGGTCTACCGCGAGCTCATGATCATCGCGCTCGTGTCGTTGGTTTTGCTGCCCATCACGATGCAGAAGTCCGTGTCCAACGAGACGCTGCACATCATCGAGTTCGCCGATTTAGTCATGGTGTCGTTCTCCTTCTTTTTGGTGGTGCACGCGTGCGGTCTGGCGGTACTGGCGTCGCGGCGGAAGCGGCGGATCCTGCTGGGCGCGCGGCACCCGCTCGCGGACCTCGCGAAGCGGGCGCGGGGCGCCGAGGACAAGTACTTGTGGCGGTCGACGTCCGTGCTCGCTCGGAGCGTGCCCAACGGCCTGCGGGACGAGCTCGAGGCGCGCGTGCTCAAGCACTACTTCGAGAAGAAGTTCCAGCTCCACAGCGACTTCGACTACGTCATGTACCAGTCCCTGTCGTTGGACGACCAGATCTGCGCGCTGCTGGAGCTGCCCGCCCAGTCCTGGCTCCTCCTGCTGGCCGCGCTGCTGCTGCACACGTGGTTCGGGCTCTCGGGCGACGACGACGGTCTCGGCGGCCGCGCGCACGGCGCGGAGCGGCGGCGCCGGCTGCTGACGCGCTTCGGCGTCGCGGGCTGCGCGCTGGTCTTGGTCTGCGCGGCGCTGGTCGTCCTGGCGCGGCGCCAGCAGGAGATGCTGCTGACGCGCGTCGGCATCTACGAGTCGGGCGACCTCGCGGCCGCTTTAGAACAGCTCGACAAGCTCGAGCGCGAGAAAGCGGACAAGGGCGCCGGCGGCGACATCCGCGACACGCGCGACGTCCTCGACGCCGAGCGCGACCGGCGCCTCATCGAGGACCGCGAGCGCAAGTCGGGCCAGGGCGACTTCGTCGCCGCCGCGCGGTCGACGATCCGCCACACGGCGGAGATCGCGAGCGCCATGCGGGCCACCGTGCGCGCGAGCGAGGCCAAGCTGACGCCGCGGCTGAAGCGGCGGAGCGAGGGCCAGATGGTCGCGAAAGTCGCGCCGGAGGGCCAAGGCGGCGCCGCGGCCAAAGCGGCGCCGCCCCCGGAGCGCCGCCAGACGTCGCTCCAGCGGCGCCTGAGCGTGGCCCACGCGGACCGGAGCGCGCGCAAGACGGGCTTCCACGAGCGCCTGAGCATCGCCGCGGCCGCGCGGACCGTCCACTCCGGGGCAGCAAAAGAGAGCGAAATTCCCAACTTCAAAGGCTCCGATCTCGGCTATTTTCCACTCGTTTCGGCTGATTTTTGGACGAGCGATCATCGCTCGGAACGGTCTCGAAGCGTGGATGCCTTTCTCGGAACGCGCGCGAGCGGAACACTCACGTTGAAGCGAACTTGAATCACTCTTTTCCTGCCCAGGTCCACTCCGTGACCAAGCGCGCGTCCGACGTCCGGTCGTCGATCCGCGGCTCGCTCCAGGGCCTCGCGCGCCGCTCCTCGCGCGCGGGCAACCGCGCCAGCGTCTACAGCACGCCGGGCGCCGAGGAGGCCAAGGACGAGACGCCGCCGCAGGAGCGGCGCCGCACGTTCCAGGGCAAGCGCGGCGCGCCGAGCCTGCCGCCGCTCGAGGGGTCGCCGGCGAAGCCGTCGCCGCAGAAGATCGCGCCCGAGGCGGCGACGCCTTTAGGCCGGCCGTCCATGCTCGCGTCGCAGCCGCCCCCCCAAAAACAGCACCGCGACTCCATGTTCGGCCGCGACACGCCGTCGCGCGCGTCCCAGCTCGTGCGCTCCCCGGACGCGCGGCGGCGGTCCACGCGGAAGAACTCCATGCTCCCGGGCGTCGTGCGTCCCGGCCGCAAGAGCTCGCGGCGGTTTTCCCTCACGCTGCTCCGGAACCGCGCGGCGGCCGCGCGGATTCGCCTGGAGAACCGGTCCTGGTTCGACTACTTTTTTAGCGCCGCGCGCATCATGGACTACCTGAGCGGCGTGCTGACGCTGAGCTGCTTGTATTTTGCGCTGCTGGCCATCATGTGGTCGCCCTACGCGTTCGTCGAGGGCGACGTGGAGGCGGGTTTGGTCTGGCTCGCGCTCCACCTCGTGCCGCCGCTGCTCTACCTGCCCTTGCTGGGCATGAGCGCCGTGGACCACATCCAGCACGCCTCCGTGACGTGCATCAACCCGGACGTGCTGAGCCGCGTCTCGGACCACGAGATCGAGGTCAAGCGCGTCCGGAGGCGCGTGCTGCTCCAGTTCCGCCACCTCGCGCTGGAGCTGCTGCGGAGTTCGGGCATGTCGACGACGGCGGCGTCCGAGGACGTCTGCCGCATGATCTTCGACGCCATGGACTCGACGGGCAGCGGCCGCCTAACGTTCCGCGAGTTCCGCGAGTCGCTCGACGCGCTCGAGATCTACCTCAGCGCGCCCGCGTGCAAGTGGTTCTTCTCCTCGCTGGACAAGGACGGCGCGGGCACGATCCACTACGGCCACTTCGAGGCGGCCATGAAGGAGGAGGTCTTCGCGAAGCTCCGCGACCGCGCGGACGCCGCGCCGCTGCTGCCCCTCGTCGAGGGCTCGCCGGCGAAGCGGGGCCGGTCCCTGCGCAAGATGAGCGGCGGCGGCCCGCGCCTCCGGTCGTCGTCCCCGGACTTCTCGCGGCCGGCCGGCGACCTCGAGGGCGGCGTGTCGGGGTAACAGAGCTTAGTCGATCGCGAGCCCCCGCAGCCCGCCGCGGAGGTTGGGCGGGACGTCGTCGACGCGGCGCCGGACCTCCGCCGCGACGCCCGTATCCGGCGTCGCGCGCGCGCGGCCGAGGCGGTAGCCGGGCGCGGCGGAACACACCGACGCGTCGAGGATCGACGTCAGCTCGCGCCGGAGGACCTCGCGGGTGAACGCGTCGCCCCGTTCGATCGCCCGCAGCAGCGCGAACCACGAGCGGTTCTGCGCCGTGTCGTCGTAGAAATTGCGGTCCAAGCCCACGGGCACCTCCATCTTCAGCAGCACGAAGTAGAGATGGAAGGCCGCCGCCGCCGCCGTGGTCACGGCGCCCGGCCGGTAGAGCACGTAGTGGTCCTGCGCGTGGAGGAAGAAGACCTCGCCGTCGCCGTAGCCGCCGGGGAACCACGGCCAGTCCTCGTCCGCGTCCGCGCTCTGGTCCAGGATGACATGCCGCCAGTTCTCCACGCCGGTGATGAACTCCCAGTTCTCGGCCGCGCGCTCGTAGGAGAGGACGTAGATCCGGACGTCGCGGCGCCGGTCGCGGCGCCGCGCGGCGGCCTCGACGCGGTCGAGCTCCGCCTCGTCGAAGACGGAGCGCACCTCGCCGGGGATCTGCTCGAGGGCCGTCGCCCACTTGCGGCGCTCGGCCTCGGGCGCGATGACGAGCGTGTTCATCGACACGTTCTTGGCCGCGAGGTGCTTCAGGAAGGCGCCGACGCTCGCCGCGCTCGACCAATCTTCCTCCTCGACGCGCGCGCCGCAGCCCTGCTCCCAGAGCGTCGCGAGGTGCGTCGACAGCGCGTCGGGCAGGCCCTTGGCCGGCTCGCAGTGCTCCGTGACGTAGGCCGCGCGGACCTCTTCGCGCCGGCGCGTGTTCTCGAAGATGCGCGTGCGGGCCGCGGCCATGTCCGGCTCCAGCCAGATCGCCGCCGCCTCGACCGCCGCGAGGCGCCGCGACGCGTCCGCCCAGCGCCGGTTCACGGCCGCGCAGCAGCGCCCGCGCTCCGCGCTCGTCAAGCACGCGAGTAACTCGTCCGCGAGCGCGTCGGCGAAGAGGCGATGGACGCGGTCGCCGAGCTCGCCCGCGACGAGGCGCAGCTGCGGCATTCTATACCAGCCCGGCGACGAAACCCACCCGGGACGTCCACCACGTCGAGCCGAGGCGCGTATGCGAGGCGGCACGCTCGAGGCTCTCGGTCCCGTGCGCGCGCTCGGCGCCGCGTTCGACCCGCGGATCGTCGTCATCAAGTGGTAGCTTGGGACCTCGTTGAGACGCTCTCCCCGTCCTCAAAACTCTATCCGAAAACGTTGTTGAGAGGCTCCATCGCACTTGTCCCTAGGTCAAAGTTGAGCTTCACCGTTCGCGGTAAACAAGCTTCGTGTTAGTGGCCTATATTCTTCAGATTTGTTAGAACTTGAAGCGATGCTGAATGCTCTCGACGTTTGAAGCGCTCTCCGATGGCGCTGTCCAGCGCAGCCCCGGGGGAGGGTTCCCGTCGGGAGCTGGCACCAGGTCAGCGCGTCGATCGCGTTCGATGGGGCATGGTCTGGCATAGACCACGAGACCTGGTGCGAGAACGCTTCGGAGAGCGCGGCGTCTGGGGGCCCTGGATGGGCTGCCCCGCGAGGAGCGGCGACCAGATCGTCGCGCGAGGCGCGGTACCTCGCCCCAGATGACGATTCCATCCGGGTCATGGGTCGATGGGATGGCCTCGAGGCCGTCGGCCTGGGGCTGGGGGACCTCAGGTCGGTCCCCGAGGGCTGCGTGGCCGTGCGCCGGCGCCGGCGACGCAGCTGAGACGCAGCTCGGCGCGCGCCTCCGCGCCAGCCGGTCGTTCCGCCGGGACCACTGGGTCGTCGGACGGGCTCGGAGACGTTCTTCAGCTGCGAGCTCTCGTCGGATCGGTTCCCGGGCCCGCGCGTGCCGTGCGCCGGCGCCGCCGCCTGCGCTGAGACGCAGCTCGGCTCGCGCCTCCGCGCCAGCCGGTCGTTCCGCCGGGGCCACTGGGTCGTCGGACGGGCTCGGAGACGTTCTTTAGCTGCGAGCTCTCGTCGGATCGGTTCCCGGGCCCGCGCCGCCTCTTCCGGGGCCGGCTCTACCACACAGCGCGCGACGTCTACGCGGCCGCGAAGCTACTGGCTTACTTGCGCGCCTACACGGGCGCCATGGGCTTGGCCTACGCGGGCGGCATGGGCTCCTCCTCGCCGTCCGAGTCGGGCTCGCGCGGCGGCTCGACGAAGACGACGGAGCGGAACTTCGTGAGCAGGAGCTGCTGGAGGTCGAGCTTGCCCATGTCCTTCTTCTTGCCCGTGGAGCTGTCCACGATCTTCACGTCCAAGCCGATCTTCTTGGCGAACTTGACGAGCGGGACCTTGTTCGTCATGACGACCATCTCGTCGAAGGCCGTGCGCGTCATCGACGCGCCGACGTTGGCGAACGCCGCCCGCTGCTCGTCGGCCTGCTGCTGCGCGGCGTCGGCGCGCTCTGCGGCGGTCGCCGTCGCCGACTTCTTCACCGTCGGCCACGCGGCCTGCGCCGCGCGCGTCGCGAACCGATCCAAGAAGATCTTCGAGTTCTCGAAGCCGATGCGGACCTTCTGGATCGGCGGCTTCAACTGCTCCGTAGGGGGGAGCTGTAATTGCCGTCGGAACTGCGCCAGGAGCCAGGAGCCGAAGCGCTCGCGCCGCGCCTTGTACCGCTCCGACGCCGCGGTCCGCGCGTTGAAGTCCTGCTCGGAACGCGACGGCGCGCGCTTGCTTCCGAGCAACGCGCGGATCGCCGCGCTGAAGGCCCAGCGGATGTTCATGAGCAAGGAGGCTTCCTCGACGTGGCGGAACTCGATCTTGTAGAACGACTTGATGTACCGGGCGAGCACCGAGTTGGTGTTCTCGACGAAGACGTCGTTCGCGTGAAGCGACGTCCGGCCGACGACCCGCAGGATGTCGGGTCGCCTCGCGCGCCGGTAAAGCGCCTGGCCCATGATGCTGATGAGCCAGAGGGGGATGCGAGCCAGCTTCCACTTCGCTCCGTTGACGTAGTAGATGAGCATGGAGAAGTAGGTCGCCATGTGCTGGTACACGGCGATCACGGAGCCGCGGACCGCCCAGTCGTGGAAGGGGACGACGCAGAAGCGGAGCTCGTTGTCGAAGAAGTTCCAGAGGTACAGGAACCCCGTGCTCGTCGTGCAGGCCCAGCTCAGCGCGGCCGCGCGGATCGCGTCCTTGGATTCGCCGCGCGCCGTCGCGGCCGCGGCGCCCGGGAAGAAGGACACGGCCACGTCCATGGCGCCGCCGCGCACGTCGTCGCCGAGCCAGACGGCCCAGAGGAAGTGGACGATGAAGAGAAGCGCACCGTAGCGAGCCTTGACGAGCGCCTTGGCCTTGGACGACGAGCCGCCCGTGTTGAGCGTCGCCGGCTCGGGCGCCGCCGCCTCGGCCCCCTTCTTCGCGATGACGGCCGCGAGGACGATCTCCTCGTCGCCGTTGTCGACGGCCTCGCCGTCGACCTCGAGCACGGCGCCGAAGGTGCCCTCGGGGTCCTCCGCGGCCGCGTCCTCCTCGCCGTCGGAGTCCTCCGGCCGCGGCGCCGCGGCCGCACCGTCGCTGTCGGCGTCGCTCTCCTCGTCGTCGACCTGCATCCGCTCGAAGAGCTCGTCGGCCTGGCGACCTCGCGACGCGTTGGCCGACGCCATGGCCGCGCTCTTGTACGACAACTGGACGCAGATCTTGCTCCAGAGCTGGACCAGGTCGTGCGGGTCGCAAAACCTGCGAGGGAAGCGTGTTCGCGCGCGACGGCGGTCTGCGCAGACGCGGCGCGCGGACCAGCCCTCGAGCAGGTGCTTCTGGAGGTGGAAGGGCGACAACAGGACGGCCATGTTCGCGACGGCGTCCGGCACGAGGCACGTCGCGAGGTCGTGGAGCAGCGCGGGCTCGGGGTCCACGAGGACGAGGCGGTCGAGCTGGGGGACGCCGAGGTTGAGGAAGAGCACCGTGATCGCGGCGACGATGGTGTAAAGGAAACCGCGGAAGGAGGAGGACTTCTCGAGCAGCGACTTCAGGACCTTGAAGTCGCGCAGGCGGCCGCAGCCGGAGCCGTCGTCGCCGACGGGGAACGTGTCCTTCCCGAACTCGGCGATGCCGGAGACGTCCACGGCCATGGTGGGGCCCTTGGGCAAGATGGCGGCCTTATTGGCCTCGAGGAAGATGGAGACGCGGGGGACGAAGGAGGCGCCGTTCGCCGGCGTCGACGCGGGCGGGCGCCGCGCGTCCGTGCGGAGGTCGAACCCGGGCCGGGAGGGCACGAGGAAGAGCAGGATCGTGATGGTGGGGATCACGGAGGTGAATGCGGACCCATCCGGGTTCCTTAAAAATTGGAGCACGGCGTAGTTGTCGAAGCCGATGATGATAGCTCCCATCGCCGACGCGGCGAGAAGCTTCGTGATCCGAGCAAGATAAGTCGCCTCGGCGGCGGCGGCCAATTTTTTCTTCCAATTGAAGACGGTCGCGTAGGAGGACGAGAGGCACATCATCGACGCGAGCGATAGTCCATAGCTCGTAATACGGCCCAGAAAAGACATGGACATGGAAATCGCGAAGCCGAGCGCCATGATGGACTTCCCTTTGCTTCGCGTAGAGACCAGGAGCGAAATAATCACGAGCGTCTTGAGGGCCATGGAGCACTCCTTGGAGCTCGTCGCCGCTAGGAGCGCGGCGCCGCCAATTTTTTCCGGGTAGCGGTAGCTGCCGTCCGTCTTCTTCGAGTAGTTCATCTGGATCATGCGCCGGTCGCGCGCGGCGGCGGCCATGCGCTTCAGCTGCAGGCGGGCGGCCTTCGAGATGACGAGTGTCTTCACCGCGCCGACGAGCGCGCCCGCCGCCGGGCTCGTCTCCGCGAGCTTCTGGAGCTCGGACGGCGCGTCCCGCATGACGAGCTCCTGGTCCGCGTTCATGAACGTCTCGATCGCGTCCTTGGGCTTGGCGCTGTGGGTCTTGGCGATGTCGAGCAGGCCCTGCGCGAGCTCGTCCTGGAACTTGCCGCGCGCCTCGTACTCGCCCGCGGCGCAGGTCTGCATGAGCTCGCTCGCCGCCGCGGCGCAGGCCGAGCCCATGACCTTCTTCTCCGCCTCGAGCTCCGCGACCTCGCGCCGCAGCGCCACGGCCTCCGCGCGGACCTTCTCGAGCTCAGCCTTGTCCATGCGGTGCACCATCGCCTCGGCGCAGTCGCGGACGTCCTTCATCAAATTGCTGTTCTCCGTCGTGAGCCGCTCGTTCTTGCGCTGCTCGACGTGCAGCGCCTTCATGAGCCGCGCGCTCTCCTTCTCCCAGGCGTCGCGCTGCGCCATCACGGACTTGAGCACGCTGTCGTCCGCGGGCGGCTTCGGCTCGAGCCGGGCGCGCTGGGGCGCCGACGCGCCGCGCACGGAGGAGGACCGCATCGGCGACGCGGCCTTGGGCCGCTTGATGGGCTGGGGCGGCTGGGGCGGCGCGGGGGCCGTGTCCTCGTCGGGCGCGTCGTCCGTGCTCTGGTCCATCTGGTCCTTCGAGCTCGACTCCGACTTCTTCTCCGGCTTCCAGCGCCCCGTGCCCTCGAGGTTGGCCCAGCGCGGGCCCGGCGGGAAGCCCCACGCGGGGCACTTGGTGCAGTGCTCGTGGGGGCTGCTCGACGGCGCCGCGTCGCAGATGCACGCGATGCCTCCCCGCCGGCGCTGCTCCGGCCGGTGGACGTTCACGCAGTAGGAGTGGCGCACGGTGTTGGCTCCCGCGGGATGGAAGAAGCTCTGCTTGGCGACGCTCCCGCCCATGATGATGGTGTCGTCCGCGCTGAAGACGGCGGCGACGTCTTTGATCTTGACGGCCTTCTCGCCAGCGTCTGTCAATTTCGCGTTCACGAGGACGACGAAGACGTCGTCGCGGACCCAGTCGCCGTCGGTGTCGACCGCGAGGATGCTCTGAAGAAGGCTGGGCATGGCAATCACCTCAGAGGTCGAGACGCGCGGCGAGAGCGCGCGGCAATGGCCGAGAGACGCCTCCAGACTGCTGCAGGCAGCCCGTCAACGAAACGGAGCGTTTGTGCTGAGGCTCGCATTGCCTTTATCTATAAAACGCGAAGTACTATAGATGAGCGCACGATGGCCAACTTGGGGCAGCACGAGTTCTACGAGTACTGGATCTTGGAGGTCGGCCCCATCTGGGTGCGGAGCGAGCCGTGCCACGAGAAGGGCGAGCGCGTCGGCCACGAAAAGCAGGGCACCTACGTCGCCTCGGCGCGGCGCGTGGGCAACTGGGTCGAGCTCGTGGGCAGGTACCGCGACGCGGACAACCGGCCCTGCGGCGGCTGGATGATGGTCGACGGCCGCGACAAGGGCCTCGGGCTGCTGCTGCGGCGCCTCGACGGCGCCGAGGCCGTCGCCGCGAAGCTCCAGCAGGTGAAGCGCGACGCGCTCGCCGACGCGCTCTCGCCCGCGAACCAGGAGCGCTACGACGTGCGGGCCGAGATCGAGGCGGCGCGCGCGGGCGGCGACAGCGACAGCGACGACGACGCCGACGAGCTCCGCGCGGGCCTCGGCGGCTTCGCGCCGGACGCGTGGGCGCGGCGGCCGATCCTATTCGTCGGCGGGCTCCATCGATCCGGCACGACGACCTTCACGTCGCTGCTCAACGAGTCGCCGCTCGTCGCCGGCTTCCGCGACACGGACGCGCCCGAGGACGAGGGCCAGCACCTCCAGGACGTCGTGCCGACGGACGAGTCCTTCGGCGGCGTCGGCCGCTTCGCGCTCGAGGAGTCGTTCCACTGGACGGAGGACACCGCGCGGCCCGAGCCGCGCGCGTCGGCGCCGAAGCTCCTCGAGGCCTGGGACGCGCACTGGACGTCGGGCCTGCCCGCGAAGAAGCGCCGCGCGCGCGTGCCCGTGCTGCTCGAGAAGTCGCCCGCGAATCTCGTACACTTGCGCTGGCTCCGCGCGGCCTTCGGCGCGCGCGCGCGCTTCGTCGTCATGGCCCGCCACCCGCTCGCCGTCGCCTTTGCGACGCGCAAGTTCATGCAGCAGCGCGCGGCCCGCGTCTTCCTGTTTATTTTTCGCGGCGAACCCCCGCGTCCCTTAGATGGTGCTACAAGCGCATCGCGGACGCGGAGCCCACGGACGAGCCGCCGCCGCCGCTGCGCGACTGCCTCGCGAACTGGGTCGAGGCCATGGAGCTCTTCACGGCCGACGACGAGCTGCTGGGCCGGCCGACGCGCGTCGTGCGCCTCGACGAGTTTAGGGACGACCCGCGCGCGGCCGTCGCGGCCGTCGAGGCCGCGTGCCTCGGGGGCGCGTCGCTGCGCGTGCCCCTGGCGGCCTACGAGAAGGTGTCGAAGCGGGACGCCGACGAGGTCTACCGGGCCCAGTGGCGCGACTGGCCCTGGGAGGACCACGAGGCGCGGATCCCGGGCCGCGTCGCGGAGAACGTCCGCGACCGGCCGCGGGACGACGACGACGAGGGCTGCGCCGACGACGACGACGCGCCGCCGGCGCCGGCGCCGGCGACGTCGTCGCGGCGCGCCGCGGCGAGCCAGCTGCCCCTCAAGGAGGCCGACTGGGAGGAGATCTGCTGGCTCCAGGACGAGATCGGCGCGTCGACGATCATCGCCGAGTTCGGCGACGCCTTCGAGAAGTTCGGCTTCCCCTGCTGGCCCCACCCGGGCGAGGAAGGATAATCGTTCTTCACACATAGGGCATTGCCCTCGCTCGCCCGCAAGGTGAAGCGCGCGTTGAAGAATTTCCCCAACGCCTTCCAAATCAGGGCTGCCCGATGGAAAGCTCCAAAGTGGGCTAGCAGAGCTCGCGCGTCGCGCGCTGCCATGGTCTCCAAAGTGGGCTAGCAGAGCTCGCGCGTCGCGAGCTGCCATGGTCGACTATAGCAAGTGGGACACCCTCGACGACGACTCCGACGACGAGGCGGCGACGGTCGTCGTCCGCGACGAGCCGGCGCCCGCGGGCGCCGACGCGGAGATCCGCCGGGCCTGGCCGACGCTCGACAAGGCCCAGCGCGCGAGCGTCAAGGCCTTCCTCGCGGAGAACGAGCTCGCGCTGGCCTACGCCAAACAAGCACTCGAGCCGCGGCTCTTCCGCGCGGACGAGCACCGGCGCTGGATCCGCCCGGAGCTCCTCGCGGTCGCCGACGCGTGGCGCCGCGACGCGCGCGCGGGCTTCGCGGGCGTCGACGCGCTCTGCAGGGTGGAAGCCCCCGGCGTCGTGTCCTTCCCGGCCCTCACGGACGACTTCTGCGACGCGCTCGTCCGCGAGGTCGACCACTACCGGCGGAGCGGCCTCCCGAGCCGGAACCCGAACAGCATGAACCAGTACGGCCTCATCCTGAACGACGTCGGCATGCGCGGCACGTTCTCCGCCTTCTTGAAGTACGTGCTCCTGCCCGTGGGCGCGCGGCTCTTCGGCGACGACCGCGACCGGTCGCGCGCCGTCGGCGGCGAGGCCCACGCGGGCGAGGACTGGGGCGGCTCGTCCCTCGACGACCACCACACCTTCGTCGTGCAGTACGCCAAGGGCCGCGACATCCATTTAGACATGCACATCGACGAGTGCGACGTCACGTTCAACTTCGGGCTCACGGACGCGGCGCGCTTCGCAGGCAACGACCTCACGTTCTGCGGCATGTACTACGCGGAGACCCACCGGCGCCGCAGCGCGACCTACAAGCACGCGCGGGGCCGCTGCGTCGTCCACAGCGGCAAGCGGCGCCACGGCGCGCTCGACATCGAGGACGGTGAGCGCGCGTCGCTGATCATGTGGACCAAGTCTTCCGCGTTCCGCGCGACGGCGGAGTACGCGCGGCGCAACGTGCGGGCCCTGAACCATAGCGGCGGAGCGGACCGGGTCTGCCTGAGCTACTCGCACGACCCGGACTACAAGCGCCTCATGCCGAAGGGGCTGCAGTACTCCATGGTCGACGACGGCCCGCTCGCGACGGCCGCGCCGCCGCCGCCGACGCGCAAGGCCTGGCGCACGGTCTGCGACGAGGCCAAGCTGAAGAACGACCAGTCGCGGCGCCTCGTGCTCGAGGCGGAGAACGAGCAGGTCGTCGTCTTCCGCCACCGCCGGAAGCTTTTTGCTATTGACAACCGGTGCGCGCACCAGGGCGGGAACCTCTGCGCGGGCGACGTCGAGGACCTGGGCACCGTAATGCGCCACCGGACCAAGGCGCCGCCGAAGTCCGTGAACGCGTGCCTCGAGGACGGCGTCGTGCGCTGCCCGCGCCACGGCCTCTGCTTCAACATCCGGACGGGCGAGTACGTCGACGACCCCGACTCCGGGACCCTGCGCCAGCGGGTCTTCCCCGTGCGGTCCAAGGACGGCAAGATCCAGGTCCAGGTCGACGTGCTCCGCAAGGACGGCGACGCGGCCGCGCCGCCGCCGCCGCCCGCCGCGGGCTCCTTCCGGGACTTCCTAAAGAGCCGCGCTTAGGTGTCGGGGTCGAAGGCGAGGGGGTCCTCGAGGTCGTCGAGGAACGTCTTCGCCTCCGTGAACGTCGCCGGCGCGCGGTCGAGCCAGAGCTGGACCGTGAGCCGCCGCCGTGTGCCCGCGTTCGGCCGGATCTCGTGCTTCACGAGCCGCGAGAGGAACACGACGAGGCGCCCCGCGACGGGCGATATCTCGACGCGCGCGCCGCCGGGCTTCTCGACGCTCAGCGCGCCGCCGTCGGCCTCGGTCCAGCCCGGGTTCGCGTAGAGGAGCAGCGTGACCTCCCGGTCGTTGGAGAGCTCGTCGGCGAACCAGTCGTAGTGCGACCGGTAGCTGACGCCCGGCGGGTACGCCGCGGCCATGGAGTCCGGCGGCACCGCGAGTTTGAGATGTGGCAAGACCTGTTCGAGCTCGTAGGCGCAGCCCGCGAGGAGCGCCATGGCGCGCCGCGCCGCCGCGCGCCGCGCCGCCGCGCGCTCGCCGTCGGGAGCGTTCATCGCGGCGACGCTCACGAGCACGTTCCGCGTGAAGACGCCCGGGTTGCAGGGGTCGCGCTTCGGTGCGCCCCACGCGCCCGCGTCGAGCTCGGCGTCGAACAAATCCCGCAGCGCCGCGGCGTCGCCCGCCGCGAGGGCGCCGTCCATGACGTAGAAGCCGTCGCGGCGGAGCGCGTTCGCGACGCGCGTCGGTCCCGCCTGGGCAGCAAAAGGGTGATTCAACGTCGCTTCAACGTGAGTGTTCCGCGCGCGCGCGTTTCCGAAACAGCACCCACGCTTCGAGAGCGCTCCGAGAGATGATCGCTCGTCCAAAAATCAGCCGAAACGAGCGGAAAACGGCCGAGAAAGGAGCCTTTGAAGTTGGGAATTTCGCTCTCTTTTGCTGCCCTGGGCCCGGCTTTCGCGAACGCCTTCGCGGCCTCGTCCGTGCGCCGCGGCCGCCGCAGGAGCGTCAGGCGCTCGCGCGCGCAAGACACGCGCGACGCCTCCTTGGTGATGCGGAACGCGAGCGCCTCGCGGAGCTCGTCGAGCTTCGCGGGGACGAGGCCGGCGTCCGGGCCGAAGATCGGGTGGAGCGCGAGCGCGCGCGCGCCCTGGGGCGCCGCGTGGAGGAGCCGCGCGACCTTCATGAGGTCGTCGGCGCCGGCGCAGGCCGCGGCCCACTGCTTGTTCTTGCGGTCGCCGCCGCTTATTCGCCCGTAGGCCTCGACGACGCGCGCGACGACGTCGCGGTCGAGGACGCCCTTGCTGTGGAAGGGCAGCGCCGCGGCGTTGACGGGGTCGCCCCGCTTGAGCAGGAGCTGCTGCACCTCGGCGAGCGACTGCGACCCGTCGAGGCCGAACTGCTCGACGGCGACGATCGCGTGCGGCGTCTTCGACGCGTGCGTCAGCTCCAGCGCCCGGGCGACGAGGTCCCGCGACCGCGGGATGTTTGCCTTCGGTTCGTCTTCCTCGGGTTGGTCCTCGGGTGCTTCCTCCTCCTCCTCGAGCTCGGGGAAGAGGTGGTCGTACTCGAGCACCGGCAGCAGCTCCTCCGGCTCCCACTCCGGATTCTCGGGCTCCGGGTCCGACTCCGGCTCGGGCTCCGGCGCGCGCGCCTCGCGGCGGGCCGCGGCGAGGAAGGCGCGGAGCTCCGTCGCGTCGCGCGTGACGTCTCTCTCCGGAGGAGGGACGGGCTCCGGTTCGGGCTCGGGCTCGGGAACGTCCGGCTCGGGCTCGGGCTCCGGCTCGGGCTCGGGCTCCGCCGGCGGCTCCTCGCGCGCGACGACGTGGACGCGCACCGGCGCGTCGTCGTCGCCGCCGAAGACGACCTGCGACGCGGTGATGGGATAGCCGTCGCTCCAGCAGAGCTGCACGTCCGCGTCGAGCGGATGGGACTTGGCGTAGGCCTTGAGCAGCGCCTTGGCCGTCTTCGGCCGCGACGCCTGGACGCGCAGCTTCTTCGACGTGTTGCCGTCGCGGAGCAGGTCATAGACGACCATCTTTTAAAAGCGAAGCTGCCTCTCAAGCGAGCGCTACGGCAGCCCGCCGATTCGTCTTCGACAATGGCCCATCGCGTCCTTCAATTACACATGTTTCCTTCGTTCTTGATGTTAGCAAACGCGGTCTGGGCAGCCCGATTCCCGGGCGGCGCATGTCGAAGGCGTGGGTCGACGAGTCCAAGGAGGGCCACGTCGCCATGAAGGACTTCGACGTCGACGGCGGCGTCCGCGCGCGCGCGCCGCGCCGCACGCACCGGCGCCGCTCCCTCGCAGGTGAATGGCGACGGCATCGTCGACAACGCCGAGATGCTCGCGGGCCTCAAGAGCATCCGCGCGCCGACGGACCGCGAGCGGCTCACGAACGACATCCTGAACACGTCCGTCATGAGCGCGCTCGTCGGCGGCTTCGCCCTGGGGTCGCTCTCGCCGCCGGGCGACAAGAACCTCGACAAGTACGTCTACATCTGCGCGTACGTCGCCGTGCACGCCTGCACGTGCTCCGCGCTGACATCCGCGTTCCTCTACGCGGCCGTCAACGGCATGGCGGACGCGGCCGTCGCGGGCTGGGCCGCGAAGAACTGGCCGCTGCTGGCGCTGCCGATGATGAAGTTCGTCGTCGGCACGATGTGCTACATGACCTCCGTCATCCTCACGTCCTACCGGGACCTCGGCGGCGCCGAGTCCCTCGAGAAGTGGCAGAAGCTCGCGCTCTTCATCGGCGTCATGAGCGTGGCCATGGTCTGGGGCGCCTTCTTCTGGATCCGCCGCTCCATGGCGGCCGCGCCCAAGACCGCGCCCGCGGGGCCGTGATGTTGTTTCTCTAAGGTTTTGTTTGTCACTCACGTGCGATTGTCTTATGCGGTGTGCGCGGGGAGAAGCTCACTTGAGTCCCAGCAGCTTCTTCAGTTTCTTCGGCGCGTCCTTGAAACTGTTCTTGAAGGCCGGCGAAGCTTTGATCGCCTGGACCTGGCGCTCCCAGTGCGCCGTCTTCGCCGCCGCGATCTTGTCCTGGTCGAGCTCCTTGTACTTGTAGTAGGCGGTGAGCATGATCGCCCACACGTACTTCTTGACCTCGGGACCCGAGAACTTGTCCGCGATCATCTCCATGGTGCACTCGGAGCCGCCGTGCTCCTCCAGGTCCTCCAGCATCCACTTGCTCCAGTCGTGCTCCGCATCGAGCGTCGGCGCCTCGACGTCGCCCGGCGCCGCGGCCGCCACGGCGGCGCGGTGCGTCTTCAGCGCGGCCGCGAGCCGCTTCATGCACTTGGAGCGCTTCAGGTCGCGGACCGCCAGCAGCACCTTGGAGACCTTCTTCTTGCCGGAGACGCGGCCCGGGAATAGGCCCTTCCAGCTCTTCATGTGCGCGCAGAAGTCCGAGATCCCCGTCACGCCCGGCGGGTGCATGTTCTGCGTGAGCCGCGCGATCTCCTCGGAGACGGTGAGGTCCGGGTACCGGTTATAGGAGTTGGCCGACATGATGATGAGGGAATTTGGCCGTGCGGGGGGCTGCGCGACGTCGCGCGCGCAAGGGGCGTGTGTCGACGACGCGGTCGAGCCGGATCTGCCGGAGTGAAATGGCCCCGGGGCTGCTTCACGGGCCTCAAGATCATCGTGATCTCATCGTGCGGCCGACGTTCCTGAGCTGCCAAGCCGACGTGCGCGATTACGCCTCGCTTGCGCGCATTACACGCACGACCATGGGCGCCTTCGAGTGCATCGAGCGGCTCTACGAGGCCCGCCGCAGCCTCACGCTGTTCACGCTGGTCGTGAACCTCTGCTTCGGCATGGCGTTCTCCATCACGACGTTTAACGTCGTCGGCCGCTGCGTGACCGAGCCCTGCGTGGCGGAGACGGCGGGCCTGCTGCGCATCAACAGCGGCACGTCCTTCGGCCTGCTGCTCACGGGCTTCCTCTTCATCCTCCAGCCCGTCTACGGCCTCTGGTTCTTCCGCGTCAAGTGCTCGGACGTCGTCGGCGGCGCGTTCGTCGGCGCGACGGTCATGCTGAGCCTCCAGGCCATGATGACGTCGAGCCAGTGGTCCTACGTCGCCAAGGGCGTGGCGACCATGGACCCCATCGTCGCGTCGTCGGGCGTCGTCGTCAAGGGCAACGAGACGTTCTTCTCGGCGTTCGAGGCAATCGCCGCGCTCGCGGGCCTCATGTGCGCCCTGCTCATCCTCAACGCCATCGAGCTGAGCTTCTGCCTCGAGTACTTCTGCGACAACGACGCCGCGAAGCTCCGCGCCCAGCGCTTCGCCGAGAGAATACGGCGAGGCTACCAGTACCAGGGCGTCCACCAGTCGTCGGACGCGACCGTCGACGACGACGACCTCGACGACGACATCTAGGCGCTCGCACGCGTCACCGTCCACACCCGCCGCCCCCGGCGGGCCGCGCGGCGGGCGGGCGCGCCGCGCGGCCGCCGAACCTCGACAAGCCCGATCGCGCGGCGCCGGACGAGCGCCGATCTAATTTTACATCGTCATCGGAGCGGCGCGCCCCGGCGGCGTCGGGGGCGGCGTGCGGGAGGTCGGACGGCGCGGGGACGCCGGCGCCGCGAGCGCGCGCGCGTCTCGCGCCGCCGGGGCCGCGCGACGCGCGACGCGCGGGGACGCGGCGGCCGAAAGGCGCCGCCCCTCCCTCGCTCATCGACTCGACGCGTTTGGTCGTCGTCTTCCCGCGGTCGCCTGCTGGTTGATGGCCGAGTTCAGCCGCGTCGAGGCGTCGCGCAAGGGCTGCCTCCGCCCGGGGCTGCCCGGCGGCGCGATGTTTTCATTGCCGTGGCGGTGGTTTCCTCCCATCGGGGCTCCGGGCGGCATGGCGCGTGTTCTGCGCGTCCGAGAGGCTGCAGGAGCGTCGTACGTGCCGGGCGGACGCGAGTCTTGGCGCCAACCGTCGGAGGCTCTCGATAAACTCAAATCCGGGGCAGCTTTGTTCTCGGACGCGTCAATGCGGTGAACGGCTAGTGCAACCGCGAAGATCGATGACGTGTCTCTCGGAACTTTACTTCTCTGCATCTTCAATTGAAGCACCACGGTTTTCAAACGCGATGGCTAAGCGGCGGCAGCGCGCCGGCCCGCGCGGTCGGACCGGGTCGAGGCGGCGCCCGTCCGCCGGCCGTGGGCCGAGGACGGCCGGGTCCGCGCGCCGGCCGACCCCGACCACCCCGCCGACGAGCCGCGACGTCGCGGGACCATCCCGAGGGCTCGAGGCGCGCGGCAAAAGTTGCCGCAAAACGGACCGGTTTAACAGCGAACGGCTCTGGGGATTCCCTGGTTTGAGTGGGGGGTTGGCGGGCGAAAAAGTCGTCAGGCAAGCGCTTCGTTCCGAGTCCCGCCACTCGCCCCGACCCGCGCCCGTCGCCTCGCGGTCCTCGGCCATCCCCGGGTCCGCGACGTCCCCGGCGTCCTCGGAGCGCGCCGCCGCATCGCCCCGCGTCCTTCTGCCGCGCTGAGCCGCTGCCCGCGCCTCGGATACCCAGGCTGCCGCTACCGCCCCTGCCGCCGGAGCCGCGCCGAATCCCACCGCCCCGGCCGCCGCCGACGCCGCCGCGCCGCCGAACCACCATGACGAGCCAGGCTCGGGCCTCCGCCGCCGCCACCATCGAGTCCGCGAAGCGCGTCGCCGAGTCGGTGTGGACGATCGAGCACGCGCGCGTCTGCGCCTGCTCCGCGGCCTCGCGCCCCTGCGTGGTCTACGGCTGCGCCAAGGCCAAGCGCGCCCTGGCCGCGCTCGCGGGCGCCGCCGCCCCGCCGGACCAGGCCGCGTCGTCCGCGGGCGAGTCGGGCAGCGACGACGGCTTCTCCGACGGCGACGACGTCGCGGCCGTCCGGGCCGTCCTCGCCCACCGCGAGGCCTGCGCCTGGGCCGACCCGGCGCGGGGCCGGGGCATCACGCGGTCTACCCGGCCCTGCCTCGTCTGCTGCCTCGCGTCGCGCGCGCGCGCCGTCCCCGACGCCGCGCACCCCGGCCTGCTCCGCCTCGACTTCTCGAGCCGCTGCGGGAGCGGCGCGGGCTGCTTCGCCGTGCCGCCGGGCGGCGGCCGGCGCCTCCTCATGACGCGCTCCGACACGACCGAGGAGCTCGCCCTCCTCCTGAGCGACATGTCCGGCCGGAAGCGCGCGCGCGCGAACTCCGAGGACAGCGGCCTCACGGCCGCGTCCAAGCCCGTCGTCTCCGACGCCGAGGACGACGTCTTGTTGAGCCTCGCGGCGCGCGTGCCCGACGACGGCGCGGCGCCGCCGGGCGGCAAGCGCGCGCGGACCGCGTCCGTCGACGACGAGGCCGCGACGGGCTCGCCCGTCGCCTCCTCCAAGCGCCCCAAGGCGCCGCGCATCAGCGTCGCCGCGCCGCCCGCGCGCCTCTCGCCGACGCCCCACGCCTCGGACGCCGCGGCCGCGCCGGAGTCGCCGACGACGCCCGTGTCGCCGCCGCCGTCCGAGGCCGGCGACGACGAGCTCGACGCGAAGCCGCGGCCCGCCGCGGCGCGGCCGGCCCTCGCGGCCGCGCCCGCGGCCCTCGCCGCGGCGCCGAGCCCGCTGTCGCCGCGGTCCGCGGACGCGGTCCGCGCGATCCCCCGGAGCCCGTCGTTCTCCGCGGCCGCGAGCTCGCTGTTGGGCCTCAGCGCGTCCTGCACGAAGCAGAAGCCGTCGCTGTCGCCGTCCAAGGCGCTGCCGTCGCCCCTCGCGACCATCTCCAGCCTCAAGGCCTGCTGAAGTGCGCCGTCTATGTATGGGACCCAACCGTCCCCGCTCGGGCCGCCGGCCCGCGCAAATTTGCCTACCCTCATGCCTGACCCGCGACGCGACCCCGAGGAGCCCACCGACCACGCCCACCAACATCATCATCATGTGTCCAATCTTTTTTTGCACATACACATCATCACGTCCCGGCCCCCGCCGGGCCAGCCCCGTCTTCTCCACCAGCCTCCTCGCGCGCCGTCCCCCTGTATGACATAACTCGCCTTCTTTTTGAGACGCGGGTTCTGACCTGAGTAGACCACGCCCCTCCCCTGCGGCGTCTCCGGTCCCTCGCCTGGGGGAAGTTCGCCATGGTGGGTTACTCCGACTCGGAGCTCGAGTCGTGCCAGACGCGCGTTCCCTAAGATACGATTACCCCGGCTCTAGAAGACGACGTCCTTGAGCTTGTGGGCGCCGGCGAGCGCGTTGGAGTAGCAGTTGAGGCAGATGTACATGGCGTGCTTGTTGCCGTAGGTCGGCACGTCCGTGCGCTTCTGGACGCAGTTGCGGCAGTAGACGCGGAGGCACGCGCGGCAGTGGTGCTTCCAGCGGCGCATCGTGAAGAGCTCGGAGCAGCGCATGCACTCGATGGCGTCCTCCTTGGGCTGCCAGAGCGCCGCGGTCGGGTTCGCGCGCACGTTCTTGCGCCACGTGTTCGACTTGGGCGCCGCGGACGAGAAGGTCAGCGTGTCGTGGTCGTCCGCGCCGGGGTCGTCGACGCCGGGCACGGGGAACGTCCTCGCGTCGAGGTAGCGCGGCGTGACCACGAGGTGGATCTTGCCGCTGGGCGTGTTGTTCAGCGTGAGCCAGTAGTCGCCGAAGTGGGCCTCGTTGAGCGGCACGACGAGCTCGCCCAACTTCTTCGTGTCCGCGCCGCCCATGCCCACCGCGTTCATCGTCTTCGTCGTCAGGCCGCCCGTGAGGCCGCCCTGCTCGACGTCGACGACCGTTAAATGCAGGATCGGGTCCTCGAGGCCCGCGATGTAGAAGTTCGCCGCCTCCTCCCATTTCGGGTGGTTCGCGTTCGCCATGGCGCGCGTCGCGTACTTCTCGCGCCCGACCGTCGCCGTGACCTGCGCGTTCCGCGCCCGCCGGCTCGCGTGCTGCGCGAGCTCCGCGGCCTCGACGATCTCGACGTAGACCGCCGCGAGGAACAGGGTCGCCGTCGTGTCGCTGGAGGGCGAAAGAGAGGGCGCGGGCTCGTCGTCGGAAAAAGCGCCCTTCGACTCCTCCGCGGCGGCCGCGGGCGTCAGCGCGGCCGCGCCGGCCTGCTCCGCGGACTCGGCGCTCGGGCTCCGCCGCTTGAGGTCCTCGCCCATGGGCAGATTGTTCGCGAGGAGCGTGTTCTCGAAGTCGCGGTAGATGATCTTCACGCGGAGCCGCCCGTGCGACACGTGCCAGAGCTTGAGCCAGACGTCCAGCGGCTCGTTCGTCGCCGTCGCCTTCTCCGAGATGCTGTGCTCGCCGTGCTCGTCGACCTCGGCGTTGCGCTGGTTCTTCATGCTGATCAAGAGCAAGCTCAGGTCCACCGCTCGCACGGCCGTCTGCGTGTGCACCTTCTCGAGGTAGTGCTCGCTGCCGATGGGCGGCACGTTGCCCAGGGGCCGCCGCAGCTTGGCGCTCACGGAGCGGAGCACGGACGGCTTCTTCGCCGCCTGCGACGGTTGCCGCTGCCCGGCGAGCCCGACGCCCGTCGGCGTCGACGGCTGCCGCTTCGGCGGCGGCCGGCCGCGCGTCCCCCCCAGGTCCGGCGACGACAGCGACTTGCGCGGCGAATCCGGCCGCATGGGCGAGTTCGTCGCCGGCGGCGGCGGCGCGGCATCCTCGGGCGACACGCGCGCGGGGGGCGCGTCGCCGTAGTCGTTCGCGCGCTCCGCGATGTCCGCGGGCGTCTCGCCCCGCTTGAGGCCCTGGGACTGGCGCTTGCGGAACATGGCGAGCATCTTCTTCCCCGCCTTGTGGGCCGTGTGGTGCTCGCGGATGACGCTGCGCAGGCTCCGGTCCGGGGGCGCGCCGCCGACGTCGCCCGCCGCGGCGCCCGGCAGGTGCTTGAGCCGCCGGCCGCGCGGGCTGTGCGTCTGCTTGTGGATCATGACCTTGTCGGCCATCAAGTGGCTCACGCTGAACTCGAACTCGCCGAGCTTGTCGTTGATGCCCAGCAGCTGGTCGTCGACGACGCGGAGCCGCACGCGCGTGTCGAGGTCGTTCACCAAAAGGTAGAACCGGTTGTTCTTCGACCACGTCGGCTTCAGCGTCTTCCGCGCGATGGCCGTCTTCTTGACGACGCCGTCGACGTCGATGCGCACGTAGGGGTCCGCCTTGCCGACGCCGAGGCTCGACGCGGCGCCGGCGGACATGAGCTCGTCCGCCTCGATGACCTCTATACATATGAGCCCCTTGGCCATGGGCGTCTTCTTCGCCTTCTTCGACGACTTAGTCTCCGAGGCGTCGCCCGTGCCCGCGGCCTGGGCCTCGAGGCCCTGGGGCAGGTCCTCGCCGAACCACTCGTCGAAGGGCAGGCTGAACTTCTCGGGCCACGTCATCACCTAAAGAGAAACGTGTGTTCCCGGTCGAAACGTCGCTCGCAAAAACGCGGCGTCCGCGCGTTGTTCAGCGCGTCGGCGACGACCTTCTTCAGGTCGATGGGCAGCGTCATGCCCGCGCCGCCCGTGACGCCCGACAGCACGTTGATGTCGAAGTCGATCGACGGCGTCTCGCGAAAGGATAAGTGCAGCGTCCCGGCCCAGGGCTTCTTGTCGACAAAAACAACCCCGAGGCGCAGCACGCCCTCGAACTGGAGGTTCGTCAAATCGGCGCTGAAGACCGTGCCCGAGCCGCCCGTCAGCGAGGCCAGGGTGAACGCCAGCGTCATGCGGCACTCGGAGAACCACTTGAGCGTGAGGTCCAAATAGAGCTCGCCGGGCCGCTGCTCGTAGCGCCAGGGCGACGTCTTCAGCACGTGGATGCGCTTCTGGCCCAGGACGAGGTAGGGGATCGTGATGCCCCGCAGGCCCGCGATCTCCAAGCCCTCGAGCGCGGCTTCCACGGTCACGCGGACCCAGTTGCTCAGCAGCTTCTCGTCGCTGCAGTACCGCGCGTAGAAGACTTGCATGGCGTAGTCGAACCAGTTCAATTCGTCGCTCCCCGACGACGCGACGTACTTCTTGCCCGCCTCGTGGCCGACGCGGTAGCTCTCGAAGTCGCGCTTCTCCGCGGCTCTTCGACTCCGCCGCCACTCGCCCGCGGCCCAGACCGTCGCGACGACGAGGCCCAGGCTCCAGGCGAGGGACGCGAGGCGGCCGAAGAAGCCCCCGCCGCAGCCCACGGACCGCGCGCCGGCGTCGAAGAGGGCGCCGCCGAGGACGAAGAGCACGGCGACGTGCATGGTAAGCTTTTTTCAACGGCGCGGCGGCGCGTCGCCGGTGCCGCCGCCGATGTTTGGGCGGCGGCGCCGCCGGCGATGGACTCGGAGGCTGGCGGAGCGGCGGGGCGCGCGCCCACGGCGGCGCGCGGCACTGTTGCGGGGCTCTCCCTGCCGTCGGGCAGCGCCGGCGTTTCTTGAGGAGGGGGGAAGCACCACTGAGATTGCCTATCCGTTGCGGTTTATTTCGTTGCGGCTCGCTGTATGTGTTTGGTTCCGCTCATCGGCTCGCTCTATGTAATTGGTTCCGCTGATTTCAGCCCGAGACGGCATGGAGGCATTAAATTTAGTCGAGCGCGCCTACCACCGCGCGCGCGCCCCCGCGTGCAAGATCGCTGGGACTGCGCATAGCGCGCACATGGGGGCTGCCATCGGCGAAGGAGCGGCATCGTCTAGATTGCGATTCGCTGAGAACGCGAGCGGTTTCGGACGACCGATTTGACCGACGCGACGCCCCTCCCCCGGCCCGTGAGCGGCCCGGGCAGCCCCGCGCAGCAGCAGGGATCGTCCGCCATCGACCCGCGAGCGCCCTGCCACAAGGGCTGGCCCAGAGGAGCCGAGGAAGTCGATCTGACATGTTCGGGCTGAAACCGCGTCGCGCGCGGCCGCGTGGCCGCGCGCGCGTGTCGCACGTACTTCGAGCCAAATCAGCAACTGAGCAGCCCGAGGGCACCAGACGTGTACCCCGAGCCTCCGCGCCAGCCAGCATGCTGCCCGAAGCCCAAAAAGTGCTGCTCTGGCGGTCAGAGAGCATGTCGAAAAGTAGCGAGTTCGCGAGCACATAAAAATCGACCGCCGACGCGGCCATGGTCACGGCGCACACTCCTGGAGAGAGGGCGCGCCCGGCATTCAGACGCATGTTCCCGTGACCATGGCCCCGTCGAACGCCGCGCGATAGCCAAATGCAAAGAGAGGCTCTCCATGCTTCTCCCCTCATCGTTTCTTGTGGCGGCTCGTTCCCTGCAAAGCTCCTGAGAGCAGTGTTTCGTAATTGCCAACGATGGCAGAGCTCGCGCTGCTCGCACCGGCGCCTCCGGCGCCGCTCGCAACGCCGCGCCCTACGTCCCACACGACGCCATCGACGACCTCGATCTCGCGCACGCCGCTCATCGACTGGAACGACGTCGCATCGCTCCGCCGGGAGCTCGCGCGCATCGACGCGCGGCGGCTGCTCGTCGTCAACGCCATCGCGAAGCTCGACGACGACGGCGGCGAGATCGTCGTCGACGACTCGTCGTCCGAGTCCGGCGCGAGCTCCGTCTTCGACCTCACGCAGGAGACCGCCGCGCCGCGGGACCTCGACGCGCCGCGCGGTGTCCCGGAGTCGGCGCCGCGCGGCGGCGGCGACGACGACGACGACGACGACGCGAGCACCGTGGACCTGACGCAGGCGTCGCCGTCGCCCTTCGCGTCGCGGCGGCGCGCGCGCGACGAGGGCGCGACGCCGCAGCGCGACGACGGCGCCGCGGGCGACGGCGGCGGCGCCGGTTCCGGCGACCCGGACGACGCGCGCGCGGCCATCGGCGCGCTCATCAAGTCGCGCCGCGACCTCTACGAGCCCATCCTCCTCCGCCAGAAGGTCGACGTCGCCGAGCTCGCGCGCGCCTGCGTCGCGGGCGGCGTCGACTGCGACGCGCGCACCGTCAAGGCGTACCTCGACGACGAGGGCGTCCCGAACGTGCAGCGGCGGAAGCGCGCCAAGGCCTGATCCCGGCGTCTTAGGCTGGAACCGGCGGCGCGGTCGCTTGGGGGCGAGGGGGGGAGGGTGGCGGGTCCGTCGAAGGAGAGGTCGGGCCGCCCGGAGTTCCGGAGGAACAGTTCCGGGCGGCCGTCATGGTTCGTTCGTTCGAGGTCGGGACCCGCCGGCGGTGTCTGCCGAGGGAGAGCGGCACGCGCGGCCCGTCGGGGCCGCGCGCGCTTCTCTAGCCTCAGCCGACCTTCTTGAAGTTGGCCATGTTCGTCGATTCCCGGGTCTTGCCGTTGAGCTTGATCGAGCTGATCGAGCAGACGCTGTCGCCGTGCGTCTCGCCGACGAAGACCGTGAGGATGTTGACGTAGTTGAACTTCGCCATCTTCAGCTCGTTGACGCGGTCCGCCGCGAGGTCCTCGGCCGTGAGGCTCAGGGCCTGCGCGCAGGGCCCGTCCTCGCAGTCCGGGAAGCCGAGCGACGGCTGGTTGCAGAAGAGCTTCACCTCCTTGGGCGCCTCCTCGCCGGGCGGCGCCACGATGTTGATGCTGTGGATGCACACGGCCTCGCGGAAGACGATGTTGATGATGATCTGCTCGTCGTCCTCGGACTGGCACACGAGCCGCCTACGAGCGCCGGGACCGTCGCGCGCGCGCGTCGCGGAAAAAAGGAACGACGCCGGCCGCGCGCTCGTCGCCCATGAAGAGGTTCGCGATGGGCTTGCCCGGGGACACGTTGGACCCGTAGCACTTGGAGGCCTCGATGCTCCCCGAGAGGTCACCGACGCCGAACAGCGCCTGCGTCTGCGCCACGCCCTGCGCCGCGACGACCTCTGCCATCTCGGCGGGCGGAGCGAGCCTCCTTCGCGACGGCAGTCGACGGCGCGGGTCTGCGGCGGCGACGGGCGAACGCGACGGCGTCGAAGGCGCGCGACTCAGCGGCGCGGCTGGTCTGAGCTTGCGCGCGGGCGGCGGCCGTCCGAGCATGAGTGGCAGCCCGATGGGCGCCGCCTCCGTCCACCGCTGAGCGACGCAGCCAGCCCCTATGGACGGCCCCAAAGCTGCCCAACGCCTCGCGCTGGCCGCGGCGACCGCCACCGCAGTCGTCGTCTGGTGGCAGCGGCGCCGACGAGCGCAGGACGCCGAATATACCTACCTGCGCCTCGACCCGTCGCTCCGCGCCTCCTCGGGCAAGCTCGTCGCCATCCAGCGGCACGGCCAGGCCGAGAAGAACGTCGTGCTCAAGGCCGACAAGACGCGCCTCAAGGGCGAGGTCGCCGCCGCGCTCGAACGCGGCGAGGCCCGCGGCGATGCGGCGATCGCGGCGAAGATGGCGGAGTGGGACGCGCTCTGCGGCGAGCCGCGCTGGTACGACGACTGCCTCGACGCCACGGGCGTCGGCCAGGCGCTCGCCGCGGGCCGCGAGCTCCGAGCCTGGTGCCGGCGCCGGGGCCGGACGGCGCCGGACGCCTGCGCGGTGTCGCCGTTTCGTCGAGCGCTGCAGACGCAGGAGCTCGGCTGGCGCGCGGCGGGCTTCGACGGCGCGGGCGTCTTGGGCGACCGCACGCCCTGGGTCGCGCGCGACGAGCTGCGGGAGACGCCGCGCGGCGCCGCGTCCCCGGAAACGAAGGCGCCTCGGACGGCGACGGCGCAGGTACCGCGAGGCGTCGTGCCGGCGCCACGACACGCCGCTGCTGCGCAAGTGGCTGCCGCTCCTCGACGCGTCGTCCCTCGCGCCGGAGAACACGCCGTCCGAGGACGTGACGCAGCTCACGGGCCCCATCTTCGGCGACGGGGGCAACTGCCGCGGCACGTTACAGGCCAACGCCGCGGCGTTCGCGGCCTGGCTCCGGGACCGGCCCGAGGGCTTCGTCTGGGTGACGACGCACCAGGGCCCCGCGCGGGAGCTCCTCGACGCGCTCCTCGGGCCGGGCGACCGCGGCTACGACCGCGACCTGAAGAACGCGCAGTGCGTGCTCCTGCGGCTCTAGGTGAAATTAGACGACGACGCCCCTAGCCCTCCTCGGGCTGGCGGAGGTAGGACGGGTTCTGGTCCGGGTGGAAGGGGCTCGCGGCCCACCGCTTGAGCATCTCCGACGGCTCCGCGGCGGCGATGGAGTCCGGCGGCGGCGGCGGGAGGAGCTCGTCGACCTGGCGCACGGCCTCCGCGGCCGCCGCGGCGATGTTCTCGGGCCGGATCCACTCGCCGGACTCGAACTTCTGCTCGGCCCACTTGGCCGCGGCCTTCTCCGCGGCCTCGTCCATGGCCTTTTTGAGATTCGTGTTCAGGCCCTCGAGCTGCTTGAGGAAGGCGTCGTCGGGGATCCAGGAGTAGTCGCTCTCGAGATACTCCGGGTCCGTGTGCTTCGTGAAGATGGACGGCCGCGCGGGCCTGTCGTCGTCCATGATGCCCGGCGGGTTCCCCCGCGGGCCCGGCGCGTTGAGGCTCCCGACGTCCAACGCGAAACCCACGGAGGGCTTCAGCGCCAGCCGCGCGGCGCTCCAGCCCTCGGGGACCCAGAGCGCCTCGCCGGCCTCCTGGACGATCTCCGAGAGCGGCACGCGCGCGGCCGGGTCCGCCAGCGTCTCGAACTCGGAGCGGAACCAGTCGAGGCCGCTCACAAAGTCCTGGTGCCGGCAGGACGCCGCAGGCTTCGGCGGCGCCCGCTGGAGCTCGTGGTAGCGCCGCTTCACGTAGCGGCCGCCGTTCGGCGGCAGGAGGCACCATCGGACGCGGCCGTGGACGAGCACGTGCCACGCGGCGCCGCCCCGCTGGCTTAACCGCTCGCCGCCGAGGGCGGGTAAAACGTGGAGCTCGAAGCGGCCGGGGTAGAGGGCGTCGGGCGTCTCGAGGCGCGTGTCGTACTCGGGTTGCCACTCGCCGTCGTCCGTCGACGACTCGTATTCCGTCTTGTCGTCGTCGGACTGGAGGTGCGCCGCGAGCAGGATCGGCGGCTTGCACTTGGCGAGGTGGGCCGCCATGCGGTTCGTCGGCTGGTAGGGGAGGTGCTGGGTCGGCGCCTCGAAGTGGGGCGGCACCGCGGGGAGCGACGCGAAGACGGAGAAGACGGGGTCGTCGACGTCGACGTCCGCGGAGAGGCACTGGCAGACGCAGGGCCGGTGCCGGCAGCGGCCCGCGAGGGCTTCAGCCGCGGCGTCGTCGACCTCCGGGTAGGGCGTCGCGGCCTCGGGGCCGGGGAGGTGGGCGTCGGCGAAGTCGCGCAGCGTCGTCCACCGCTCGTCGAGCTTCTTCTCCCAGGGCTCCGGCGCGTCCTTGTCGCCGGGGAGCCGCGGCAGCAGGCCGTCGTAGGGCGCCTTGACGTGCTCCACGGGCAGGGCGCCGCTCCGTCTCAAGAGATTGTCGCGGCGCCACTCGCTCGCGAGGTGCCGGTACGTGCGGAAGTCGTAGGGCCGCAGCGCCACGGGCTTGGCGCCCGGCAGGTAGGACCGGCGGAAGCCGTGCCAGGTGCCCGTCAGCTCGTCGAGGCGCTCGACGCGCCGCGTGCCGCTCTTCAGGCGCCCGAGCAGATTCTCCGTCTTCGACGGCAGCGGGTCGCCCCAGCCGCCGTTCGGCGGCAGCCAGTCGCGCGGCCCGTCCCAGTTGGGCTTGCCGCCCTCGCGCAGCCAGCGCTCGAGGCCCGGCGACGACGCGAACCGCAGGGCCCGCCGGCAGTCGTCGACGCGCGACGCGAGCTCGGGCCGGAGGAACGCGCCGCGGAAGCGGTCCTCGTCCCAGGCCTTGCACCACTCCCGGTTGTCCCGCTCCACGGCGCGCAGGGCCTCGCGCTCGACGCCCTCCATGGCCAGTCGGTACTCGGCCTGCGCCGCGGCCCAGGGGTCGCCGCCGGCCGCGACGCCGACGACCGCGTGGGGCCGGCCCTTGGCGCCCTTCGACTCCAAAAAAGCGCGCATGCGGCTCACGGACCAGCTCGTCCGCGCCGCCGCCGGGAGCTTCACGGTGGGGAACTCCTTTTCCAGCAGCTTGGCGACCTTGGCGCGCTGCTTCGCCGCGGGCCACGCGCAGCGCTCGGCTCTGGTGAGGTAGTGGTCGTAGGAGTCCCTCGGGTCGTACTCCCAGTCCTCGCGGTCGTCGGCGGGCGCCGCGGACGCGTCGACGCGCGTCAGGTTCTTGCTCGTCACCGTGACCCAGCCGGCCGCCGGCGCGACGACGACGCGGCCGCGCAGCTTCTTCGGGTCGCCGGGCAGCTTGCGCACCCTGTCGAGCTTGACCACGGCGCCGGCGGCGACCTCCGTGACGACGTTCGACGTCATGTGGATGTTCTTGCGCACTACCAGGGCCTTCTCGGCCTTGAAGTGCGCCGGCAGCACCTTCGCCAGGCGCTCGTCGAGGGGCTCCATAGGCCACTCGGCCTTTATGGCCACTGCAACTTGGTCAGCACCAAGGGTTCAAGGTCGACGAGCTTTCCACGGAGCTCGCCGTCGCAGCATGGCCGCCGAAGCCAAGACGAAGGCCGACGGCCTGTTCCGGGACCGCAAGTTCACGGACGCCATCGACGCCTACGGCGAGGCCATCGACCTCGACCCGTCGAACAAGGCGCTCTACTCGAACCGCGCGGCCTGCCAGGAGAAGCTCCTCGCGAACCTCTTCGGCGACGAGAAGAAGAAGAAGGTCGAGGCGGGCCTCGCCGACGCGCGCAAGTGCGTCGAGTTGGACGCGTCCTGGGCGCGCGGCCACCAGCGGCTCGCGGCCTTCTGCGACCTCATGGTCAAGAGCGAGGCCTCGCAGGTGTCGCTGAACGAGGACTACGTCGTGGGCCCGCGCGGCGGGGGCCTCTCCGACGAGCGCGACGAGGCGGCGGATCTGCGGCGGTCCGCGACGGCGTCGGCGCGCGTCGCGGAATTGCGTAAAGAGGGCGAGAAGTCGTGCCGCCGGGGCCTCGAGCTCGACGCGGCCAACGAGTCGCTGCGCCTCAACCTCCAGACGCTCCGCGACGCGTCGGACTACGCCCTCGACGCGACCCTGGAGCCGAAGGACGCCGCGCTCGTCGACGCGGCCGCGGCCGCCGCCGCGAAGAAGGCGGGCTCCGCGAGCTTCGCGGCCAAAGACTACAAGGCCGCCGCCGCGGCGTTCACGAAGGCCCTGGCCTTCGACGCGACGGACCCCGTCTTCTACTCGAACCGCTCCGCGTGCCACGCGGCGCTCGACGAGTACCGCTCCGCGCTCCGCGACGCCGACGCGTGCCTCACGCTCAAGCCCGGCTGGGCCAAGGCGCAGAACCGCCGCGCCACGGCCCTCTACGGCCTCGGCCGCTACGTCGACGCCGAGGCGGCCTGCGACGCGGGGTTGGCGTTGGAGCCCGGCAACGCGGCGCTGGAGGCGCTCAAGAAGACGTGCGCGTTGGAGACGTGCGAGCCGCTCGGCGTCCAGGAGCAGATGCACAAGTTCCGCGAGGAGAAGCGCTCGAACAAGAAGATGCAGGACATGCTCAAGGGCCTGAACCTCGGCGGCGCGGGCGGGCCCCAGATCTTCTCGCCATCGCAGTTCGGGTCCATGAACGGCATGGGCGGCATGGGCGGCCTCGGCGGCGGCATGGCCAACATGAACGAGTCCCAGATGCGCCAGATGGCCCGCGCCATGGGCGGCGGCGGTGCCGGCGCCGACGCGCCGCCGCCGGCGCCCTAGGCGCGTTTTTTCCACGCGCGCGCGGACAAGATAACTTCGAACGATCATCATATGATAGAAGCTAGTCCGCTCTCGCGCGCGCGCGGTACTTGCGGACAAGATAACTTCGAACGATAGGAGCTAGTCCGCTTTAGCGCGCGCGCGGTACTTGGGCGGCGGTCGGAAGCGGACGATGGCGCCGACGATGAGCACGTGGACGAGGCACCGCGTGGGCACCGCGATTTCGCCGAGCTGCGTCGTCACGAAGACGCCGAGGTAGAAAAACAGCACGACGACGCCCGCGAGGCCCAGGTGCAGCTTGAAGGCGAGGGCCCGCGGCAGGGAGTAGTCGAGGAAGAAGTAGGGGACGCCGCCCGCGACGTAGCGCGCGCGCGTCCACGCGAAGGACACGTAGTAGCAGGCGTAGAGCAGCGCGGCGCCGGCGTGGTCGTAGGCCAGGTACTGGCCCGACAGCAGCGTGTCGACGTGCATGAGGATGCAGTTGACGTTGTGGAGCACGAGCTGGTCCGCCTGGAGCAGCGGCAGGTCGCGGACGTCGCCGTCGAACGCGTCGCAGGCCGCGGGCACCAAAACGTAGGTCGTCACGGACGTCACCAGATGGCTCACGGCCCAGGCGACCTCGAAGAGGTAGCGCGTGGCCTTGAGCGGCAGCCACGGCGGCGCCTCGAGGCCCCGCGCGCCCGCGACGGCCGCGGCCGCCGCCAGCGCAAAGTAGATCCCCTGCAGCGTCCAGGTCTGCACCGTGAACGTGACGAGCCGGCGCAGGCCCCAGAGCTTCACGGGCCGGAGCGGGAACTGCGTCGTCGCCAGGTAGTTGGCCTTGAGCTCGAAGGGCGGCCGCACGACGACGAGCAAGTAGAGGCGATGCGCGATGACGAGGAACGACGCGCACCGCGCCGCCGCCAGCGCCTCGAAGCCGACGGTGGCGCCGCGCGACGCGAGCGCGACGGTCATCGCGCCCGCGCTCGCGTCGCCGCGGGACGCGAGGAACGTGCGCACGCTGATGAAGATGAGGACGGCGAGGAGAAGTGCCATGTCGGTGGGGATTTGGGGGATGCGCTCCGCTGGTTTGGGCTTCGTTGCACGCGCGTTGCCCGGCGGCTCTGCGCCGCTCGTCGCAGGTCCGTCGCCGTCGCCTGCGAGCTTGGCGCGCTGCGAGCGCGTCTGGACCATGTCTTCCCGAGTCCAGATTCGAGCGTCTTCGGCTGCCCGGGCAACGTTGAACTTATCTCAATCTATTGTTCAATCTTTGTCTCGGCCAATCAGAAGCGCGCTCGGCGCTCGAGAATTGCTTGAGCCCCGGTCGTCTCTAGCACGACCATGCGCTACCTGCGCGGCCGCGGCGACCTGGAGGAGCCGCTCGTCGCGGACGACGCCGGCCGCCCCGTGGTGACGCCCTTCGAGGAGGCCGCCGCGTCCGCGGCGCTGGACCGGCGCATGGCGCGCCTGTCGCGCGCGCTCCTCGTCGTCGGCGGCGCCGTGCCCATGGCGGCGTCGGTCGGCGTCTGCGAGTTCGCGTACCACCGCGAGGGCGCGCTGCGGGAGTACGCGATGATCGCGCTGTGGGCGTCGAACGCGCTGTCCGTCGCGGCGATCGCGCGGTACCACCGGCTCCGCGCGGTCGTGCTCCTCAAGGACAAGGCCATCGCGCCGCGGCGGCCCTTCAGCGGCCGCCAGCTCGCGCTCGAGCTGTGCGTCGCGCTCCTGGCGCCCTACCCCGGACTGCCGGCGCAGCTCCCGAACACGCACGGCGGCGCGAACTGGCAGAACTTCCTGTGCTACGCGGTGTGCACGCTGCGGCCCTACCACGTCGTCCGCGTCCTCCGGGAGGAGAACGCCATCTACCGCCACCGGCGCGGCGTCGTCCGGGGCGTCTCTCCCCACCCCCACCCGCGCTTCGACGGCCTACTTGCCATCCGCATGCTATTCAAGGACGGCGGCTGGGGCACGCTCTTCGCGCTCTGCTTCCTGGGCTGGGTGTATTTCGGCTACTTCATCTGGGTCGCGGAACGGAACGAGCACCACGTCTACGGCGCGAACGCGGACTGGCACGGCTTCTCGAACGTGCTCTGGTTCTGCGGCGTGACGCTGACGACGGTTGGGTACGGGGACATGATCCCGGAGACGGGGCCGGGCCGCTACCTGTCCATCATCTGCTGCATCTTCGGGATTTTATTGCTGGGCGTCGCCTTCTCCAATTTGTCGAACTTCCTCGAGCTCAGCGACAAGGCGAGCTTCGCGATCGCGTGGTACAAGGCCGCGCGCGCGGCCGAGGACGAGCGCGCGTCCGCCGCGCGCGTGCTCCAGCGCCACTGGCGCTTCGGCGGCGTCTGGACGGGCGGCGACGAGGCCGTCCACGACTGCCGCGAGAGCCGCCGCGCGCGCGCGCTGCGGGCCATGGACCGCGAGTACGCGACGCCCGTGATGACGAACGCGCGCCTCGGCGCCATGGAGGACCAGCTCGGGCGCCTCGAGCGGCAGATCGCCCTGCTGACGAAGCAGCTCGGCCGCCGCGGCTCCGAGCCGTGGGCCCGCGTCGTCGACCGGCGCCACGACTCGACGGCGCCCGGCGCCGCGACCCCCGAGGTGACGTCGCCCCTCGTCTGAGTTTTTTTTACTATAGGACCGTGAGGACCGCCGACGAGATGCCGTGGTCCGAGGGGAAGTCGAGCGTCGGGAACATGATGTCCTCGTCGTAGCGCCGCTTGCCCGTGTTGTCCTTGGCCGTGGACGCGAGCGCGAGCTGGTCCCGGTAGAAGAGGATGAAGTCCTTGGGGTTGTGGTCCACGTTCAGGTTCGTGTAGCGCTCCGCGAAGGACACGGCCTTGTTGAGCTGGGGCTGGAGGTAGGTCCGCGCGTTGAACGTCGTGTAGCCCGCCGGGTCGATGGCCGCCGTATCGCCGCGCTGCGACGCCATGCCCTTGGCGACGATGTCGGCCTGGTAGGGCAGGACGCCCTGGTAGCCGTCGCGCTCGACCTTGTAGGTGTTCGCGTCGAGGCCGAAGACGAGCGCGTGCGCCCGGAGCTCCGAGTCGCCGGCGCCGCGGACGTGCGCGTGGACCGCGTCCGTCACGGGCATGGTCTGGATGCCGTTCGTGTCGCCGTGGAAGGACGCGAAGACGTAGGCCTTGTCGTTGGCGTCGACGGCGCTCAGGGCCACGAGGTCGCCCGGCGCCGCCGTGCCCTTGGGCAGCCGCTGGACGATCGCGTCCGAGAACTCGGCGACGCGGTTCCGGTCCGGGAAGCGGCTCTTCTTCAGCAGCACGAGCGAGTTCTGGTCCCGGGACCCGTCCATGGACGACGGCGCGACGACGTGGTAGTTCCTGCCGAGGTCGTTGGCGTTCGCCGCGGCGACGAAGGAGCTCGCGGCCTCCTGGAGGAAGAGGACGTCCGTCCGTTTATAGGTCGTCGCGAGGATGTCGAGCGTGCGCTCGTCCTTGCGGCGGTTGAGCTTGTCGCACATGTCGGCGCGCAGCGCCTGCCACGTCGGGCTCAGCACGTTCATCATGTGCACGAGCACGCCGTCGAAGATCGCGCCCGCGAGCGTCTGCAGCGGGATCGACACGCGCTCCTCCTCCTCCGTGAGCGCCGGGTACTTGGACCGCTTGATGGGGTTGAACAGCGTGTAGACCTTGACGCGGTCGCCGCCCGGCGCCTTGGCGATGTCCGCGTCGAAGACGAAGGCCCGCCAGCGCGCCCACCAGGTCTGCGCGTCGCCCAAGTCGCCGCCGCCGTAGCAGTTGATGACCGTCGGGCGGTACGCGACGGACGGCGCGGCGCCGTCGAAGGTCTTGATCGTGTTCGTCACGCGGTCGGGCATGGACGCGAGGCGCTTCTTGCCGAGCGTGCCGTCCTTGACGAAGCCCGAGATGATCTTCCGGTGCCGGAAGTCGTCGCGCCATACCTACCAACATCCCGGTCAACATCGCTCGAAAATCGTCGCGGTCGCGGGACGCCGCGCCGCGCGCGCTCGACGACGTCGAGGCCCGCCCAGCCCGCGGCCTCCATGGACGCCTTGAGCTCGCCGAACATGGACTCCGTGAAGACGTCGGACACGGGCACGTCGCGGTCGCCGGGCTCGTCGACGAAGCGCTGCACGTCCTCCATCAGCGAATTGTACGCGGGGTCGTGGTGCGTGATCCAGTACTCGAACGGGTTGTTGTTGATCGCGGCGACGTTCCACGTCGCCACGCTCAGCGACGTCTCGTAGGCGACCTCGGCCTCGACGACGTGGGACCCCGCGACGAAGACGCCGCGGACGACGACGAGGAAGCCGACGAGCGCGAGGCACCCCATGCCCAGCACCACCATAAAGGGGCTCCGCTCGCCGTCGTGGCGGTCGTAGCGGTCGCTGCCCATGGTCGTCGCGTGCTGCGGCCGCCTGCGCATGCACGAAGCAAGAGGTCTCGACACCGTGCAAAAAGTGCGGCGCGGCGGCAGCGCACGGCGACGACGCAAATTTATGCCGCAACGAGCCACGCGGCTTCACGGCTCAACGTCGACAAAGTGAAGAAGGGCCCGTCGGCGCCTGGGTGGAACCAGATAGCTTGAACGCAGAGCCTAACGCAGGCGAAGGACGTGGCCTCGGCCCGAGGGTCCCATCCATCTAGGCGGGCGGCGGCGCGTCGAAGTAGGCCCCGAGCTTCGCGTAGTCCTCGGCGTAGAGCACGCGGAGCGCGTCCACGAGCTCCGGGTCGAGCCTGAGGTCGTCGGCGGTGAGCTGGTGGCTCGACGTCACCGGGTCGAGGGGCGACCGGAGCCGGCGTCCGTGGGGCGCCGGGGGCTCCTTGCAGGCGAGGGCCTTGAACCGGCGGAGCTCGTTCGTGATGTTGGAGGTCCGGAGGATCTCGTCGCACGTCCGCCGGCCCTCCGCGTCCCAGACGTACGTCGATTGCGGGATGAGGTGGCAGTCGTACTGGGGGTCCCAGGCGAGCGTGCCGGGGTCCAGGTTGCGCAGGCCGAAGTCCATGACCGACTTCTGCGGCCGCTCCGGCCCCGCGTAGGCCGACGGCGCGAACGACGCCGCGGCGCGCCGCGCGAGCGCCGCGGAGAAGTCGCCGTCGCGGCGCCTCTCGATCACTAGGTCCCCGAGCCACTGGCGCGTGTACGCGTTGAGCGCGTGGGCGCTCGACGGGTGCTGCCGCGAGACCTGGCTCTTGTAGCCCCACTGGGAGATCCAACGGGAGATCGGCTCGCGGACGAAGCACACGGTCCGCCGACCGTGGTAGGGGTTCGTCGCCGCGCCGCCGCTCGCGTTGAAGTAGCGCGGCGGGATGTGGTGCCAATTGCAGGTGCGCCCGCCGAGGAGCAGCGGCAGCGGGAACGCCACGTCGTGCCCGTGGTTCGCGTCGTACTTGAGGACGCCGCCGGCGGCCTGGGTGCCGCCCGTTTTCGGGATGTGGATCACGGTAGGCAGCGGCAATTGCGGCGTGCACCCCGGGATGCGCGCGCGCGCGAGGGCCGCGAGCAGCGCATGCACAAACTTGGCCATACCATTACTGAGCAAGGCTTCGAAACCTTTCGAAAGGCTGCCCCATACTTTTGTAGAGCCCCGGGCCCCGGCCACGGACGAAGTGCAACCGTGACGTAGTGCGTTGAATTAAAGGTGAAGTGGCGCGACGGACTCGGCTGCCGAGCGCCTTCGCGCCGCGCCCCGCCGCGACACACAGGCTCGTGCTATGTGTTACCTTAGCTCGCCGGCGGGCGCGCCGGCGCGGTCGATCGAGGTGGCGCGGTCCCGCGGCGGCCGGTCGGCTAGGGCGCCATGTCCTTGACGTTCATCCAGGACTGGGGGAGCATGAGGAACTTCTCCGGCTTGGACACGTAGGCCCGCTTCCTGAAGTTGTCGTAGTCGTTCTCCTCGAGCTTGCGGAGGATGCCGCGGTAGACGTTGAGCGCGACCTCGACGGCGAGGCGCGCCTGCGGGTCGAGCATGGGGATGCCCGTGCGCGCCTCGACGTAGTAGGCCTCGGCGCGGTCGATCTCGAACTTGATCAAGTTCTTGTAGTTGTCGTCGACGATGCCGTCCATGATCTGCTTCTCGGTGACGCCGAATTTCGCCATGTCTTCCCGGGGGAGGTAGATGCGGCCCCGCAGCGCGTCCTCGCCGACGTCCCGCAGGATGTTCGTGATCTGGAAGGCGATGCCCAGGCTCAGGCCCGGCGGGATGGACTCCTCGAGCGTGTAGCCCTCCGCGCAGCCGAGCACGGGCAGCACCATCAGCCCCACCGTGCCCGCGACGCGGTAGCAGTACAAGTAGAGCTCCTCCCAGGTCTCGTAGCGGTCCTGGAAGATCTCGTGGCCCGGCGTGTCCATGAGCATGCCGTCGATCATGTCCACGTAGGGCGCCATGTCCAGGTCCGGGTACCGCCGCTTCGCGTCCGCGAGCGCCAGGTCCAACGCGTCCGTGGGCTCGCCGACCCAGATCTTGTCGAGGCGCTCCTTCCAGAGCCGCAAATCCTCGGTCATGCGCTCGGGCCCGAGCATGGCCGCGAGCGGCGAGTCGACGATGTCGTCCGTCCGCCGGCACCAGACGTAGATCGCCCAGACCGCCGTCTTCTTCGACTCGGAGAAGAAGGTCGTGCCGAAGTAGAACGTCTTGCTGAAGATCTTCGTGATCTCCCCGCAGCGCTGGTAGGCGTTGCGCAGCTCCGCGCCGTACTTGGCCGGGTCCCGGATCGCGGGCGCGACGCCGTCCGCCGCCGGCTGCTCGAGCGGCGGCTCGGCCTCGAGGCCCGCGGCGACGTTCAGGGGCGCCGCTCGTCGCGGGCCGGCGGCGGCTCTCGCGAGGCAGGGCCGCGGAGCGCGTCTCGGGTGCGACTGGAGCGCGAGGCCCACGCGCGCGACCGCGGCGAGCGCGAGGACGAGGCGCATGGCTTCGAGGCGCGAGGGCGACTTTGTTATAGCGCCAAAGCCGCCCCGCCGACGAACGAGGCCGATACCGAGGACGTCCGGCAGCGCGGTACGCTCCTCTCAAGGGCGGCGGGTCGCTTCGTGGGCCGACTGCCGCGGCCGCCGGGCGAGATCGTCGTCAACTCTCGTCGACTCTGATGCGGAGTCGCTCGCTTCAATGCAATAAAAAGTTCACCGTCGGCCTGAGGAATGCCGCGGCGCTCGCGGGCTCCGTGCCCGTCGCGGCGCCGCTGTAAAGCACGGCGCACGCACCGACCGCCCGGACAACCCGCCGCAGGCTGGACATGGCCGTTGCTCGACTCTAGACGCCCACATTCGCCTTCCGCGCGTCGTCGTCGCGCGGCCGCGCCAGATCCGAGGCGGATCTCCCAGGACGCGTCCTCCGTAGTGCGAAGGCGACGGCGCGACGCGACCAAGGTTGCCGTCGGAGAAGTCCGCATCGCGTGGCGCGCGGCCGCTGCCTTGGCGCATCTTTTGTCCGGAGAGGCCTCGCATCGAGGTGTGCCTGCAGCTGCAGCGACGCGACAGCGCACCGGCAGCGAACGCCAACGCGATGCGCGCGCCCGCAGCAGTGCTGCGACGCGTGCGCTGCGCGCTCCTCCTCGCGACGGCCGCCGGCGCCGCGACGAATAGCCCCTACAGCTTCAGCCTGTCGACCTTCAGCCCCGACGGCCGGCTGCAGCAGATCGAGTTCGCGTTCAAGGCCGTCGAGCGCGCGCTGCCGGCGGCGGCCGTGATCTGCGCCGACGGCGTCGTCCTCGCCAAGTGCGTGCGCAAGGGCGACGAGGGGCTCGGCCGCGCGGAGTCGCCGCACGTCTGCCGCGTGACCGAGGCCGTCGTCGCGACGTACGCGGGCCTGCCCGCGGACTTCCGGGCCCTCGTGACGCAGTGCCAGGACGTGGCCGTCGCCCACGCGCGGACCTGGGGCGCGCCCATGGGCGTCGGCGCGCTCGCGGCGGCGCTCGGCGCGCGTTTACAGGAGCACACGCAGCTCGGGGGCCTCCGGCCCTTCGGCTGCTCCGTGCTCCTCGCGGGCGTCGACGACGATGGGGTGCCGAAGCTCTACCGCGTCGACCCGAGCGGCTGGTGCGCGCCGTGGACCGCGGCGGCCGTCGGCGCGGGCGCGGGCGACGCGTGCGAAAAGATCGCCGCGCGGCTCGCGGACGGCGCGCCCGGCGTCGACGCCGCCGCCGCCTTCCTCGTCGACCTCCTCGACGGCGCGGACCGCGCCGTCGCCACCGCGGTCGCGCGGCCGCCGGAGGACGCGTCCTGGGAGATCCGCGTCGACGCCGCGCGGCCGCCCGACGAGGAGGCGGCGGCGGAGGAGGAGGAGGAGACGGAGGACGAGGAGGCCGAGGACGTATAGTTGGCGGCTATTTCGCGTTGGTTCCGGGGTGGGGCTGCGTGGAGTCCTCCGAGGGCGTCCTCGGTCTCGAGAGGCCTCGGTCGCGATCCCCGGCGGCTGAATCGCCGGCGCCGCCGACAACTCGAGGCAGCTCGCGGCGCGCGCCAACAACACGCCGCGCGCGCGCGAGCGACCGCGCAACCTCGGCGTGCGAGCGCCGCCGCGCAACAACACATTATATAACACCGAGTTGCAGCGATGAGCGGCTGGGACCAGAAGCCGCCGGCGCCGAGCATGCGCCTGCTGAGCGTGGGCCACTTCGGCCGCCCCGCGGAGGACGAGATCGCGTGGAAGGAGAAGTTCCGCATCCTCAAGTTCAGCGTGCTGCCCTGCGGCGCGAGCGCGCACGGCGCCGCCGCCGCGACGCAGGCGCGCGAGTTCGAGATCGAGGTCTTCTACGGCGTCGAGGAGTCCGGGTCGTTCCGGTGGGCCGCGCTGTCGCCGCGGTGCGTCGTGCAGGGCGGCGCGACCTACGTGGTCGGCGCCGCGCCGGGCCTGCCGAGCGACGTCGTCGCCGACCGCGTGGCCATCCGGGGCACGTACGCCAAGGCGTGTCTGGCCGTCTACGGCGAAAGGCCCGAGGCCGCGGCCGTCGAGGAGGCGCCGCAGGCCCGCGGCTCCTCGGCGGCGGAGCTGCGCAATCCGCCGGCGTCGCTCTACGACGAGTCCGGCGCGGGCGTCGACGAGCACGAGCTCAGCGCGGCGCTGCTGGACCGCGCGGGCGACGACGCTCTGGCCGCGCCGGACCTTTCGGGCGACGACGGCGACGGCGACGGCGACGTGGACCTCATCACGGCCTGCGCCGGCGCGCCGGCCGGCGCTTTGGATGCTTTGGAGGCCGCACCGGCGGACGCGCGCGTGCCCTGGGACGCCGTCGTCGCCGCGGTCGCGCGGGCCGTCGAGGGCGCGCCGGCGGACGCCGCCGCGGGCTGCCGCCTCGCGGCCGCGGCGCTCGGGCGCAGCGCGGACCCGACGGTCCTCGCCGACGCGCTCGTCGGCACCGTGGCGGGCGTCGCCGGCGCGATCCTGGGGGACGCCGCGGCGTCGCCGAAGCGCGCCGAGGCGGCCGCCGCGGCCGTCGCCGCGCTCGCCGCGGCGTCGCCGTCCGCGGCGAAGACCGTCGCCGCGACCTGCTACGCGGCGTTGGTCACGCGGCTCGTCATGGAGAAGCCGCGGCCGTCGGCGGCGCTCCGCGCGAGCCTCGGGGACGCCGCGCGGCGCCTCGCGCTCGTCGACGGGTTAACGCGGCTCCGCGCGTCCGCGCGCGGCGCTCTGGAAGCGCCGCGGTCCTGGCTGCGCCTGCGGGACGGCGCGCGGGATTTGGACGCCGTCGCGGCGCTCATCGGCGGCGGCGCGGCGCTGGACCCGCGGTGCCTGGACGCGGCGCTCGCGGAGCGCCTCGCGGCGTCCGCGGCCGCTTTGGCCGGCGCGGCGGCGGCCGCGCGCGCCGCGGCGCGCGACGGCGACGCCGCGGGGCGCCTCGACGCCGCCGCGGCGACGCGGCCCCTCGATGGCGCCCTGCGCAAGGTCGTGGCGACGCTGCGGGGCCTGGAGGGCGGCGGCGCGCTCTGGGCTCTATGTCCGAAGTCGTCGCGGTCGTTCGGCGACTTGTGCGACGACGGGGGCCTGGCGACGGCCGTGCGCCTGGACGCCGGGGCCTTCGCGCTCGCTCGGAGCCTCGCGACGGCGCCGGAGGACGACGTGCCGGGCGCGCCGAGCCTGGACGACGTGCTGCTCGCGGCGCGTCGCGTCGTCGAGTTCGGCGACGTTTCCGCGGGCGACGCGGCGCGGCGCGCGCTCGGCGAGACGCCCGGCTGCGTCGCGCGCCTCGTCGCCGTCGCGGCGGCGGGCGGCGAGGGCGGCGCCGCGCAGCACGCGCTCGCGCTCCTCGCGGAGTTGGCGCACGCGTCGCCGTCGCCGTGCGCGGCCGCGCTCCGCGGTTTAGCGTCCCACCGCGCGGCGATCCACGGCGCCGTCGCGGGCGACGGCGCCGGCTCCGAGGCCGCCGTGCTCATGATCGGCGCGCAGCGCGCCGCGTCGTCGCTCGCGCGCGAGGACGCGAAGAGCCGGCTCGTCGTGCTGCTGCGCGCGACGGCGGCCGGCGGGCCGCTCGACGACGGCGACAACGACGACGACGCGCTCCCGCGCGCCTGCGCGGGCGCGGCGGCGGCCGTGGCCGTCGACGTCGGCGAGGCCGAGGCGGCGAAGTGGGGCGCGTCGCGCGCGGGCGGCCTGGGCGACGCGGAGCGGCGGCTCGTCGAGGACGGCGAGCCCGCGGCGCCGCGCGAGGCCCACGCCGTGGCGACCGTGGCGCTCCGGCGGCTGCGGGACGAGCTGCGGCGCGGCGGTTCCCGCGCCGCGGCGCTGCGCGCCCGGAGCCTCGACCGGCGCCTCCTGTCGCCCGACGACGCCGGGGGCCTCTTCCGCGTGCTCGACGAGGCCGCGGACCGCCTCGACCGCCTGCGCGGCGACCTGCCGCGCCAGCTCGCCGCGTCGGGCCGGAGCGAGGACGCCCTGGCCAAGGTCGCGTGCCTCGCGCGGCGCTGCGACGTCCTCGACGACGACGACGACGACGTCGACGACGCGGCCAAGGACGCCGCGTACCCGGGCGGCGCGCCCGTCGACACGGAGTCGGCGCTCGCGGCGCTGCTCCGCGCCCTCGAGTCGGCCTGCGCCGCCGCGGGGCTCCTCGACGAGCTGCTGAAGGTCGTCCGGCGGACGACGGCGGACTGGCGCGACGAGGCGAAGGCGCTCGCGTGCCTCCTCCGCGTCGTCAACGCCGTCGACGGCTCCTTCGGCCCGGACGTCGGCGAGGCCAAGCCGCCGCTCGAGTGCGACGACGACGACTTCGACGCGGCGGTGCGGCGGTCGCGCCACAGCGGCGACGCGGCGAAGACGCGCCTCGCCGTCGCGGGCCGCGCGCTCCGGCGCGCCGCGCTCGACCTGCTCACGTACTGGTCGCCGCGCCAGGCCGGCGACGGCGACGAGGTCGTCGTCGCTGCGAAGCCCCCGTCGAAGAAGCGGCGCAAGGCGTCGGACTTCATGGACGAGGCGAAACCGGCGCCCGCGCGGTGCTGGTCGCCCGCGCGGCTCCTCGCGGCGATCGGCCGCTTCTCCTGCGGCCGGCCGGACCGGAAGCTCGGCGGCGTCTCCGCGCTCGACGCCTGCGTGCCCGCGGCGGCGCCCGTGGGCGCCTTCGCCGCCGCGGCGCACGCGCCGGACGGCGCCGGCGCCGGCCGCGAATTCGACGACGAGTTCCCGGCCGTGCCCTTTGGGGGCGAGGACGACCGGGGCCTGGAGATCATGGACGCGAAACACCGCCGCGTGCCCAGGACGGCGTCGCGCGCCGCCCGGGCCGCCGGCAACTGGGCGCTCCGCGCGGCGCTCGACGGCCGCCGCGGCGCGCACGCGCTCGCGGCGCGCGCGGCCGACGCCGCGGAGCGCGAGGCGCGGGCGCGCTGGGACGGCGCCCTCGCGGACGCGGCGCCCTACCTGGCGCCCCTGCTCTGCTCCTGCGTCGAGTCGGGCGCGGCGGACGTGCAGGCGCTCGGCTGCGGCGTGCTGTCGCGGTGCGTCGACGCCGGGCCCCGCGGCGGCGCCGCGTACGCGACCTACCTGCTCTTAGAAACGAAGGCCGCCGTCGCCGCGGCCAAGTCGAAGCAGCCGCTCGAGCTCATGGACCGCGCGGGCGACGACGCGCACCTGCGGCGCGCGGCCGCGTTCTGCCGCGTCGAAGGCGTGGCGCCGTGGACGCGCGCGGCGCGGCTCCTGGTCGGGCTGCGCGAGGCGTGCCACGGCCCCGGCGGGCGCACGGCGCTCTTCGCCTGCGGCGCGCCCTTCGCGTTGCTCGACGCGCTCGCCGTGCCGAAGCCCGAGGTCTTACGGCTCGCGCTCGACGCGCTCGCGGCGCTGCTCGTGGAGATGCAGGAGCGGACGGCCTGCGACGACCACGGCAAGACCAAGGCCGCGCTCGACGCTTTATTGAGCGGCCTCCCGCCCCCGGAGGGGCGGGCCATGGGCCACGTGTCGTCGATCAGCGGCACGTTCCTCGCGGCCGCGACGAGGGCTCTCGCCAAAATCCTCGCCAAGTACCACAAGGCCGACCTCGGCGTCCACTTCGCCGCCGCGCGGTGTCTGGGCTTGCTGGGCAAGGAGAAGCGCAACGGCGCCAAGGTGCTGCGCGCGCTCGCGACGCCCGGCAAGGACGGCCTGCTCCTGAAGCGCGTGCTCGCGGGCCTCCGGGCCGCGCTCGACAACCTGGCGGCGCAGGGCGCCACGGCGGCGCCGCCGGCGCCGGAGGACGACATGGTCGCGCCGCTGAAGAAGACCATGCGCCGGGACCGGTCGAGGGCCGCGCGCGAGCTCGACCGGCGCGCGGCGAAGCTGCTCCGCGCCGCGGCGTGGGTCGCGCGGTGCCCCGCGTCGCTGGCCTGGGACGCGCGCGTGGGCCACGGCAAGGTCTGCGAGGTCGTCGGCGACTTTGATGCTGTTGAAGCTTTAGAGCGGGCCGTCGCGTTCTTCGACGGGCTGCACGACGCGGCCGCCGACGACGACGACCCCGAGGCGGCCGCGTGGAAGGGTCTCTGCCGCGACGTCGGCGACGACGCCTTCGGGTCGACGCGCGACTACGCGCGCGTGGCGCTGCGGGCGCTGCGCGATTTACGGGATTTGCGCGACGGGTCCGCGCTCGACGAGGACGCGCACGCGGAAGACGCGGACGACGTCGCGCTCGCGGACGTCGCCGACGGCGACCTGTCGAAGCGCTGCCGCGACTTCAGCTCGTCCGTGCTCGAGGGCGGCGGCTCCGTCGGCGCGACGCTGCGCCAGTGGCACGCGACCGCGGGCTTCGCGGTCGCGCCGTGGCACGACGACGACGAGCCGCCGCTGCGCGTCGGCCACGACCGGCGCCACGCGCTCGGGCGCCACGCGGCCGTCGGCGGCGTGCGCGACGCGCGGCTCGGCGGGGCCGAGGCGCTCTACTGGGACAGCGAGGACGCGGCGCTGCCGCTGGCCGCCGCGGCGACGCCGAACCGGCCGCTGGCCGCGCTGCGCGCGGCTTTGGAAAAGCTCCGCGGCGCGGACGCGGCGTCGAAATTCGTGTCCGACGAGGCCATCCGCCTCAGCGGCTGGGGCGGCCGCGCGCTCAAGAAGAAGAAGAAGGGGCCGGGCCTGGGCCACGCGCGGCCCGCGAAGTCCGCGCTGAAAAACGGCGCGGCGCCCGCGGACGACGCGCCGGGCGCGCCGCTGGTCGCCGCGGCCAAGGCCCTCGCGGCCAAGGCCGAGGCGGCGGCGGCGGCGGCCGCGCCCTCGGCCGACCCGCGGCGGCGCAAGGCCGCCGCGGACCCGCGCGCGCGCCGCGCGGCCGTCAAGGACGAGCCCGTCGTCGTGGTCAAGGACGAGCCCGCGCCCGCGGACGACGCGCCCAACGGCTTCTCCGAGGAGCAGCCGAAGAAGGCCGCGGACCCCCGGCGCGCCGCGGACCCCCGCAAGCGGCGGCGCGCGGGCTAGCGTAAAGGGGGTGTCGAGCGAATGCCATGAGCGGGCCGGACTCGGAGCCGTGACTCACGACTGGGCACCGCCGGTCGATGGTCTCACGACTGGGCGCCGCCCCTGGTGGCGAACCCCGCCTTCGCGACCAACACGCAGTACCGCCTCAAGCTCCTCACGGAGGCCGAGCTGTAACTTAGTGTAGAGCAGACGTCGCGAGCTCGCGAGGCGAAACGCGGCATTCGTCGTCGCGCATACTTCAAGGGATAACTAACGCCAATCACCAATGAAGTCGAGCAGGTAGAGGATGTCGTCGGTCGTGCCGCAACGGCCGCCCACCAGGTCCGAGGGGCCCGATTCCTGGTCGTTTACGTTTTCTCTGTGAGTGCCGATCCGGTGAGGTTCGGGGAAGTTGTTGATGCCGTCCCACCGAAGCCAGTTCTCGAACTCGAGAAGCACGCAAGACGCGACGTAGGAGACGCGCCCACCCTGAGGATCGCAGACGATCGCTTTTAAAGAGGCGCGGCTCGACAGCTGCCGCTCGAAATTACTCGGAGTGCCACTTGGAGTCACCGAGCACGATCTCTCCGAGTGCAGAGAAATTTCATACGACTCACCGTAACCCGCATCCCAATCCTCGACGCGGAGTCCAGTCGGTATCATGTCGATCTCACCCTCGAAGAGGCGCAGAACGCGACCGTCTCCACGGACAATGGTGATATCCGCGTAACCAATCGGGCATGTTGCAGCCAATAGTTCCTCATGAGCATTCGCAATTGATTCTGTGATCTCCTCGTCGTAGTTCCAGAGGTCGATCGCGTCTTCGTGGACAGTCACGCGATTCTTCGGGTCCGTCAGTTCGATGTCGACCTTCGTCCACGCCGCGCCCCAGGCGAAGTTGTTGTCCCAGTTGCACATCGGCCCGCACTGGACGATCTTTGTGCCGTCGCGAAGGCTGAGCTCTACGACGCACTCATACTTCATGGGTGGGAGGTCCTTCTGGAATCCGTCTCCATTGTCCAAGAACGCGATGTCCAAAAGCTCGCGCAACGGCGCGGCCGACTCCGCGATGCGAGTCGTCACGGCCGTTGTCCGCAGTACCGGGCACCGAGCGGCGAGCGCGCGCAGAACAGGCGTCGAGGTCGCCTCGACTGACAGTTCTCGAGAGGTGACGGCCAGGGCGAGAAACTCGATCAATGGCACGAATTCCGCCAGGGCCGGCAGCTGCACGCGCAGGCAAGCTCCGAGCAACTCTCGCGCGCGAGCCGCTGAATGTGACTTCTGCTGATGGCGCGTTTGAGGCATGATCGATCGCGCCGCGCTTGCCAGTCCGCCCGCCCTTTGAGATGTCCTTGTGGCGATTTTGCGAGGCAAAAATTACAGCGTGAGGCGGTCAGACAGTCTCGAAGCGCATCGCGCCATGGACTCGCACGACTCGCACGCGAAGCGGCGGCGCACAAGTAACGGCGGCGCCACCGCTCCCAAACAACCGACCATAGTCAGACCCGCTTCGAACGACCGCCTCCTCCCTCCCTTCGATTCCTTCCTGCACCGCCTCGAGACTCAGAGCGACGCCGCGCTCTGCGACGCGTTGATGGGTCGGATGTTGCGGACGTGGAGTGCCGAGGCCGCCGCGAGCGGCGAGCCGCCGCCGCCCGTCGCGCTTCCGAAGCCCGTCACCACGCCGCCGCCGCCGCTGGCGGCGGTCGCGGCGCCCGCCGCGTCCGCGGGCCCCGACCCGCGGAGCTATCGAGGCGTATCCGCGAACAAGGATCGGTGGCAGGCGCGGATCAAGTGCGGCGGCTACCAAGAGTACATCGGCACCTTCGACGATAAGCGCGACGCGGCCAAGGCATACGACGCGCGCGTGCGAGCGCTCGGCCTCGACGTGCGGCTGAACTTTCCTGACGAGCACGGCCCCGCGCCGCCACGCATCAAGCCTCGCGCGCCGCGCCGCGAGGCGCTCGCCCGCGCGCGCGCGACGGAACGCGAAGCGCGCCGCACCGTCGTCGTCGTCCCGGCGCCCGAAGCGACGGAACAAGCGTCGCGCGCGCCGGGAGCCGCCGACTCCGAGCCGTCGCCTTCCGCGACGGCCCGCGAGGACGCGCGCGCCCGTGTCCTGGCGGTCCGGCAGGCCCATGCCCACGGGCTCTCCAGAGCATGGGTGGGAGGGAGGTGGAGGCGCGGCGACGACGCCCCTCCCACGGTCGTTCGGATTCCGCCCTCCGTCGGCCGCTTCGGCCCCCGCGGCCGGCCCGTCAACATGAGCCCGCTCGTGACGTCGCCCGTCGTCGTCGCGCTCGGCGCCCCAAAGCCCGCGGGACCTTCGCCGGACTTGCCCGTCATCGCCGCCGCGCCACCGCCGAGCGAAGTCGAGCGCGTCGCCGCGAGCGTCGCCGCGCGCGGGGACGGCGGCGACGACGACGAGCTCGTCTTCGAGGCCAGCGCGACGGCGTGGCAGTAACCTCTTAGATCTCCACCTGGATGTCGTCCGCCGGGGAGGCGGGCGGGGACGCGGGCGGCGGCGTCGGCGGCTCGCGCGGCGGCGTCGGCGGCGCCCGGGCCTCGCGCGCGCGCGGCGGGACGAGGTTCTCGGGCAGCGCGCGGGGCAGGCCGCCGCGCGCCATGGTCACGAGGTGGATGAAGAGGACGTACTCCTCGAGGTCGAGCTTGCCGTCGTTGTCGTGGTCCGCGAGGTGCCACGCGTCCCGGAGCGTCGCGCGCGGCGCCTCGGCCAGCGGCGGCGGCAGCCGCGCGCCGCCGGTCTCGAGCGCGCGCCGCAGCGCGGCGCCGTCGACGTAGCCGTCCGCCGCGATGGCCAGGAAGAAGGGCCGGTAGCGCTCCAGCGACTCGACGAGCGGCCAGCGGCTCCGGGACGCCGCGTAGCGCCGGAGCGTGCTCGCGTAGATGGAGCACGTCACGGACACCTGCCACCCCACGATGCCGAAAATGTTGAAGCCGATGGTGCCCGTCGCGCCGAGGCGCGTGTCGCGGGACGGCTTCTCCGCGAAGAAGGGGTCGTCCCAGCGCTTCGCGCGCGCCTCCATGCGCGATATGAGCTGACGGAGCGTCTTCGCCGCGTTCGACGTGTCGTCGAGCAGGGGGTCCGGCCCGCCGCCGGCGCCGGCCTCGTCGATCCAGATCGTCGCCGACTCCTGGTAGATGCCGAACATCCAGGACACCTCGACGGTGCCCAGGTAGCGGCGGTGCTCGAAGACCTCGACGGCGAGGCGCATGAGCTTCTGGATGAGCAGGCTCTGCTGCCCGTCCTTCTCGTTCGGCGGATTCGCGGCGTCGTGCTCCGCCCACTGGCGCTGCCAGTTCGCCTCCATGATGCTATGTGATTACTTCTCGTTCGGCGGATTCGCGGCGTCGTGCTCCGCCCACTGCCGCTGCCAGTTCGCCTCCACGGCGAAATTACTGCTTGGTCCAAGGCGCGAGCAATGCGGCCGCCATCGTCCACGGGCAGCCTAAGCCGATGTTGCCGTTCATGTATTCGAAAGCGCGGACGTAAGCGCGGTCTACTTCTGGCTTATGTATACTTCTGTTGCTCATGCGAGTACCCGTGCGCGCACGGGATGATCGCAGAGGCGCCGCCGTCCGCGGGCGCGACGCGTTGATCGTCGAGTACGTGCGCCACCTGAAATCCGGCGACGACGAGGCCAAGCGAGGGGCCGCGGCGGCGCTCATGCGGCTCGCCGACTACGACAACTACGGCATCGCGGCCGCGGTCATCCGAGCGGGTGGCGTCGCGCCGCTGGTGGCGCTCCTCGAAGACGACGACGCGGCGGAGAAGTGGCACCTGATATACACGCTGCGTTTCATCGCGACGGAGCGCGCGGGCGCGGCCGCCGTCGTCGCGGCCGGCGGCGTTCCGCGGCTCGTGAAGCTGTCGCAGACGCTGTGCACCTACGGCTCCGCGTACGCGCACACGATGTGGACGCTGCAGCACCTCGCCGACGGGAACGACGCCCACTGGGTCGCGATCGCGGCCGCCGTTTCTGTCGAGGCGCTCGCGGAGCTCGCGCGGGACGGCAGGGTCCGCGTCGGCCGCCTGCGGCGCGACGCCCTGTGGAACGCGGGCGCCGCCATCAGGGGGCGGGCCGCGCGGGCGCTGCGGTCGCTCTTCCGCGCGTGCCTCGGCCGCGCGGCGCGCGCGGAGGTCGAGCGCGCGGTCGTCGGCTTCCTTTTACATTCCGGGTGACATTTACTACGCTCATCCCCAGTCCGTGGGCTTGGCCGTCGTGTCCGCGGCCGCGTAGGAGTTGGCCTTGTGCTTGGGCGTGAAGGAGAAGTCGTCGGGCACCTTGCCGAGGAGCATCTCGGAGATCGTGACCCAGTCCCGGGAGTCGTCGGAGGCCATGAGGGTCTCGAGGTCGTTGCGGCCGACGAACTTGGGCGGGCGGTCGTTCATGCGCTGGGGGAGGCGCTCGAGGAGGCCGACGGGCGTGTAGCGGTGGAGGAACGAGAGCCACTCGAGGAGGAAGCGGCGGCAGCGGCCGACGCCGCAGTCGTCCGCGCCCCAGTGGTCGAGGCCGAACTTGGCGAAGTCGCGGAGGATGTCCAAACGCTCCGACGCCGAGATGTCCCAGGCCCGCTTCTCGTGGAGCTCCGTCGGCAGCCAGGGCTTGATGAGCGCGCCGCGCGCGAGCATCGCGCAGTCGCACGTCGACGGCGCCGTTTTCCGCTTCTCCTCCCAGTCGGCGTAGGACATGATGTCGCCGTTGCCGATGATGGGCAGCTTCGGGATGGCGTCGTCCTGGCACCTCGCCACGGTCTCGACGTAGGCCCAGTTCGCGGCCCGCGAGTACCTCGCCGTCCGACTCCGGCCGTGGACGAAGACGCAGGCGACGGAGCCCGGGCCGAGCTCGTGGGCCCAGGCCTGGGCGTAGCCCGCCATGGTGTGGGCCAGCTTCGGGTCCTCGTCCCAGCCCGTGCGCATCTTCAGCGTCATCGGTACCGACAGCCGCTCGAGGCCCATCTCTAAGATGCTCCGGACCTTCTTGTTCCGCCGCATGAGCGCCGCGCCGCCGCCCTTGGAGCACACCAAATCGATGGGGCAGCCCATGTTCAGGTCCACGAAGTCGACGTCGCCGTACTTGTCCACGACCTCGCAGGCGCGGCCGAACTGGTCGCCGTGCGCGGCCGATAATTGGACGCCGAAGCACTTCTCGTCCTTGTGGCGCCGCAGCAGCGCCCACTCCGACGACTGGCCGTCGTTCAGATTGGGGCACAGCGCCATCTCGCCGCAGGTGATGTCCGCGCCGTATTTGGTTAACACGCGCCGGAACGGTAAATTGCCGACCGTCGTCAGCGGCGCGACGTAGACCTTTCCGGAAAAGTCCACGAGCTTGCGCTCCTTGAGCAGGGGCGGCGCGCTGGCCGTCGACGCCTCCGTCGCGCCCCGCGCCGTGAGGAACTTGTACTCGCGCTTGCGCAGCGCGAGCTGGACGTCGAACGGGACGCGGCTCGTCTCGTCGGCCAGGCCCGCGGGGTCGCCGGCCGTCCGCGCCTCCGCGGGCGGCTTCTCCACGGGCCGCTTCTTGTTCTGGCCCCGGCCGCTCTTCTCCTCGCGCGCGTCGCCGCCGCCGGCGGACGTGTCGACGAGGTACTCGCGCTTGATGGGCTGGATGTGCTTCGCCTTGAGCGCGTCGAGGCGCGCGGCCGTCGCGTCCGCGGTCTCCGGCGGCGCGCCGTCGGGGAATAATAGCACGACCTTTTCCTTTTGCGGCTTCGTATCCGCCGGCATCGATGCTTCGCTGGGCTCCGTCATCGGCGCTTCGCAAGCTTCTTCGGAGGCCATAATCGCCAGGCTCGTAGGTTAACGATGCTCTGCAAGTCCGGTCAACGAGCCGTAGGGAGCCCGAAGACCGGCCGCCCGCAGCGCGCGCGCGTGCTACTAAGGGGTTTACTCCGGCGCCCGGCGGACGCACTCGCTCGGCGCCTTGCCCTCGTCGGACTCGGCGTTCGGGTCCGCGCGCGGCGACGGGAGCGAGTCCGAGTCCGGCGCGTTCGCGTCGGACTCCTCGGACCGCTTCCGCGCGACCATCTCCGCGGACGCCCGGCGCGGCATGACTTCCCGGGAGGGCCGCGGCGAGTCGTGGCTGTCCTCCTTGGCCTCGAGGAATACTTCCAAATTTGGCTTCGCGTCCGAAAAGCGGCGGCCGTCGCGGCTGCCGCGCCGGGGGATGTCGACGGGCTTGAGGCCGCCGTTGCGCGCGTCGGACGTCGGCGGGTCGGCGATGGGCGGCAGTTTCCCCTTGAAGGAGCCGCGGTCGCCGGCCTTGAAGGAGCCGCGCGGCGGCCCCTTGAAGGACCCGCGGCTCTTCGTCGGCGAAGCGCCGTCGTCGTTGTACTCCGCGGCGAAGCGCTCCGGGTCGCAGGAGTCCAACGAATCGTACAAACTGTCGCGCGACTGGGAGGAGAAGTCGGAGTAGGACGAGTGGCGCGCCGTCGAGAACGACGAGGACCGCGTGTCCGGGTCCAACCGGAACGACGAGTTCGACCGGCCGTCGTCGGTGCGGAAGGACGAGTTCGACCGCGGCGGGAGCGGGCCGTCGTCGGCGCGGAAGGACGAGTTGTGGCGGACGACGGCGGCCTCGTTGGGCTGGGCCTCGCGGCTCTGGCTCCGGCCCGCCATGTAGGACCGGCGCGCGGCCCCGAAGAAGCCGCGCTCCTTCGCGGGCTCGTCGTCGCCCGGGTCGAAGTAGGACGACGTCGTCGACTTGAAGGAGTCGCGGAAATTCTGGAACGACTCGCGGAAGGCCGACGAGCGCCGCCGGCCGTCGTGCGAGTCCTTGCGCTTGAACGAGTCGCGCGGCCCCGTCTCCGAGTACGTCGAGTCCTTGCGCCGCACGCGGTTCCCGAAGCGGTCGATGGCGTAGGTCTCGTCGAAGGCCGTCGTGTCCGTCGCGTCGGACTGGCGCCGGTCGGGCGACCCGAGCGCGTGCTGCCGGTCCGCGAGCTGCTTCGCCTCGTCCGTCTGGATCCAGTCCGCCTGGGCAGGAAAAGAGTGATTCAAGTTCGCTTCAACATGAGTGTTCCGCGCGCGCGCGTTCCGGAAAAAGCATCCATGCTTCGAGAACGTTCCGAGAGATGATCGCTCGTCCAAAAATCAGCCGAAACGAGTGGAAAGCGGCCGAGATAGGAACCTTTGAAATTGGGAATTTCGCTCTCTTTTCCTGCCCTGCAGTCCGCGAAGAGCTCCAGGTACTCCGTCGCCAACGTCCGCGCGACGGCGGCCTTGGGGATCTGGAACAGGGTCACGGGCACGGCGCCGTTGTCCAGGCGCTGCGCGACGATCGTCGCGTGCGCGGGAGCCGGGTGGACGCAGTAGTCCGACGACGGCGTCAGGTAGGTCTCGTAGACCTCCGTGCCCTTGGCGAGGGCGTGGTGGTTGTCCGTCTGGCCCATGACGCCCTTGCGGCTCTCGTCGGGGGACATGGAGATGCACTTGGCCGCGAAGGCCTCGAAGGCCTCGCAGGCCCGCAAGAAATAATAGAGCTCGACGCGGTACTGGCCGTGGAGGAAGTGCTCGAAGAGCGCGCTCTCGTGGCGGTCGCACAGGATCAGCTGCAGCATCTTCTCCGTCGCCTCCTCCCGCGACTCGATCAACAAACTCCGCGGCGGCGACTCGGGGCTCCGGTCGCAGACGGCCTCGTGGTGCTTCGCGAACTCGGGCACCTTGGGCTGGAGCGACGGGCTCGGCATCGACGAGTCGAAACTGCCGCGCCGGTCGCCCTTGTCCTCCGCGGCCTTGTCCTCCGCGGCCGGCGCGGGCGCCGGGCTCGGCGGCTTCTTCTCGCCGCGGGAGAAGAGGCTGCGCCGCGCCGTCTTCGGGGACGACGCCGACGCGCCCATGACGGGAGCCCCGGGGCAGCCCTTTTTTCTTTTTGGAGTTGTGGCCCCTTTTGCTTCTCGCGACCGCGCTCGCGCGGGGCACGGCGCCGCCCGCGGGCTGCGACCAGGGCGGGCTCAGGCGCCGCGGCACCGACCGCTGAGGAGGCGCTCGAGCGGCCAAGCAGGATTGGTGGGAGTTTCAGTGTGAATATATTGCATCGCCGGAGGGAAAACATCGGCAACAACGAGCCTCCAACGGCCACCGAATCGAGAGGACGCATCGCCTGCCCCCTCGCGAGCGCACGAGAGCACTAAAAACGACACGAGTTATCACTTCGACGCGAGTTTGATTTCGTTCGCGTAGGGCGTCGGCACGGTCCAGGCCTTGGCGCCCGCGAGGCAGCAGGACCGGTCGTGGTGGCCGTCGAGGCGCGACGCGTTGGCCCAGGAGTCCTCCGGGCAGCTCGGGTCGAGGAACCAGAGGGCGATGTTCTTCAGGTAGCGGAGCTTGTCGACGCGCGACGCGGTCCAGCACATGTGGAAGACGTAGGGCTTCCGCCGCCCCGCGACGAAGTCCTTCATGATCTCCTTCTTGTGGTGGAAGACCTGGCCCTGGGGGAAGTCCGTGTTCGGCAGGAGCTGGGCCGTCAGCCCGTGCTTCGCCATGAGGTCCGTCAGGAGCATGATGAGCGCGTGCTGGTGCGACCGCACCGCCAAAATCACGTCGTAGGACATGAGGAGCCGGTGCATGAAGAAGACGACGCGCTCGTTGGCCCGCAGGAAGTAGAAGCCGCTGTTGGCGTACCAGGGCGTGTAGCGCGAGCTCCTAGCGCCGTCGTCCATCCAGAACGTGTCGACCTGGTCGTCCGCGATCTCGGCAAAGTACGGCAGCGGGTCGCGGAACCAGACGACGTCCGCGTCCTGGAACAGGACGTTGTGCTGGAGGCTCAGCACGAGGTAGACGGACGTCACCTTGAGCCACATCATGCGCACGAAGGACCGGTCCCCGTAGACCTTGGCCGCGTCGCTCGGCAGGTCCCCGAGCGCCGGGTCGGAGAACGCCGCGATGCCCAGCTTCTCGACGGCGTCGCGCGTGCCGCCGTCGGAGGCGAACACCAGGACGGACGCGAGCGTCGGCTCGAGCTCCGGCACGGACGCGACGGAGCACACGAAGTTCGCCACGAGGTCCAGCGTTCCCAAATTCGTCGCCATCACCACGACGGTGTCGTGCCTCGCCGCGATCTTCCGCGATTTGATCAGACCGCGCACCTTCTGGAGCAGGCCGGGCACGTTCCCGGCGAACGCCGCCGTCGTCGCGAGCGCCTCCTTGATGCTGTACATCTTGGGCAGCGTGTCCGCCTGGCTCAGCACGAGCGCGCGCGACGCGAGCCGCTCGGGCGCGTACGCGGCGGCGCCGGGATGCTGGTGGAGCTTCGGAGATTGCTTCTTGCGCTCCGCCTCCAGTAACGTGCCGCCGGCCTTGTCGAGGCGCATCATCGTGTAGATGGGCAGCCTTGAATCGAAGACCGCGAGGCACACGTCGGGGGAACTCGACGCGACGACGACGTCGACCTCCTTGCAGGTCTTCAGCGCGCCGTCGAGGCTGCCGTTGTTGTTCTTCTTCGTGAAGAGCAGCCCCCCGCGGCTCAGCGTCGCGCCCATGACGTAGGGGAAGCCCGTGAGCGTCCGGTCCCAGAGCTCCTTGCGGTCGAAGGCGCGCGCCGTCTTCCACTGCGTCGACTGCAGGCTCATCGTCGACGCGCCGCCCTCCTGGGCCCGCGCCGCCGCGGCGTGCAGGTCCGCGATCTCCGCCTCGAGCTCCTCGGCGTGCGCGATCTGCTCCTCCGCGGAGCCCTCGCACGGCGGGCAACCGCCGGCCTTGAGCGAGTGGCGCGCCTCCGCGGCCTCCGCCTTGGCCTCGACGGCGCCGAGCCGCGCCATGGCGGCGTCCAACGCGCGCCGCGTCTCGTTCGCCTCCCGCAGCACGCCGCCGCAGGCCAAGGGGCCGTCGCAGGGCGCCGCCGCCGCCCGCAGCCGGCTCGCCAGGGGCGCCTCGGCGGCGGCGCAGCCGTGCAGGCCGTGCACGTGGCCGAAGGTGAAACCGCCGATGAGGCCCAGCAGGAGGCATAAGGCGCAGAGGACGATGTTGTTGCCGGCCGGCGGCGGTGGTCTGGCTCGCGACGGCGCCATAATGACGACGTCGCCGGCGCGCGGCAGCTCTGCTTTTACCTCAGCGCAAACTCGCCATCTCGTTGAACCCTTGGGTGCTTCCAAGCCAAAGATGTATCGAATTCGTTCGGTTCTCTCCGCAGCCCCGATGCTGATGGAGACCTCCGCCGCCCCGGCCGCGCCGGACACGGAGGCGACGCCGCTCATCGAGCGGACGCGGCGGTCGTCGCGCCTCGGCCGCGTGCTCATGGCCGGCGCCACGGCCGCCCTGGCCCTCGACGGGACGCGGCGCCTGCTGAGCGCGCCGGCGCCCGCCGCGCCGTCCCTCGCCGCCGCCGCGGAGACGCCGGCGGCGAGCAAGGCGCCGCACGTCGTCATCGCCCTGCTCGACGACATGGGCTACAACGACGCGCCCTGGACGAGCACGGACCTCGGCGCGGCCATGCCGTTCGCGCGGCGGCTCGCGGCCGACGGCGTCGTGCTGTCCAACTACTACGCGGACCAGAGCTGCACGCCGTCGCGGGCGGCGCTGCTCACGGGCCGCCACGCCGTGGAGCTCGGCGTTTATAGTACCGTCGTCTGGGACAGCGCCTGGGGCCTCGACGAGAACGCGAAGACGCTTCCCGCGTTGATCGAGGACGCGCGGCCCGGCGCGTACCACAAGGCCTGCGTGGGCAAGTGGGACGTGGGCCACAGCACGGCGGCCTACCTGCCCCTCGCGCGGGGCTTCGACACGTTCACGGGCATGCTCGGCGACATGATGACCGACTACTCGACGCACATGGCGGAATTCACGTCGAGCGGACCGGTCTACGACCTCTTCGAGGGCGACGCGCCGTCCTACGACTACCAGAACACGTACGCCACGGACATCTGGACGTCCGCGGCGACGTCCGCCGTCGCCGCGGCGCACGAGGCGGCGAAGGGCCTCTTGCTGTATCTAGCGTACAACGCGATCCACACGGCGATCACGCTCCCGAAGAACTTCGAGGAGGACGACGAGTACAAGGCGCTCGTGGCGCCCCTCGACGCCGGCGACTACACGGAGCAGCGCCAGCTCGCCGCGGGCGCCCTGCTCGTCGTCGACCGGTCCCTCGAGACGCTCTTCCAAACGCTCGACGCCGCGGGCATGACCGACGACACGCTCCTCTTCTTCGGGAGCGACAACGGCGGGCTCACGGGCTTCGGCGGGTCCAACTACCCCCTGCGCGGCGAGAAGCTCACGCTCTTCGAGGGCGGCGTCCGGGTGCCCGCGTTCTTCTGGGCCGGCGCGTCGTTCCCGCGCTTCCGCGCGACGGCCGGCGCGGCCTACGGCGGCATCGTCCACGTCTCCGACGTCGCGCCGACGCTCTTCGGCGCGGCCTTTGGGGGCTACGACGCCGTGAGCGGCTTAGATCTCTCCGGCGCCGTGCTCGCGGGCGACGAAGACGCGAAAACGCGCGAGCGGCTCGTCTACGCGGCGACGGTCGCGGACTTTAGCGAGGACGCGTCCTGGGACTCGGCGGGCACGTCCGTCGTCGCCGCCTACCGCGACGGCCGCTACAAGCTGCTCACGAACGCGCCCTGGTGCGACGCGGCGACGACGGACGCCATGTGCCAGTGCGCGTGCGACGGCCAGCGGACCTACGTCTTCGACCTCGAGGCGGACCCGACGGAGACGACGAACCTCGTCGACGCCGAGCCGGAGCTCGCCGCGACGCTCGTGGCCGGCCTGGCGGCGGCGCTCGACGAGTTGCGGCCCCGGGCCGCGCCCGCGGATTCGATGGACGAGGACGGGTGCCTCGCGGGCATGACGGCCAACGCGGTCGCCTCGGGCCAGTCGAGCCTCTTCCTCGCGCCCTGGGCCGAGTCCGCCGCCTTCGCGGAGACGTCCGGGCTCCTCGAGCTGGACCTCGACAGCGCGGGCTACCTCACGCCGGAAATCGCCGCGGCGAGCGACGTCGGCGACCTGTGCGACCACTTCAGCCTCCTCTTCGGCAAGTAACCTGTGTTTCGACCGTTGTACTAGGGCGCGAGGTCCCGGAGGAGCGCGGAGAATTGTGGCCGGTCGCGCGGGTCCCGGGCCGTCATGGGCCCGAGGAGCTTCTTGAGCCGCTTCGCCGCGCCCCGGTCGCGCGCGAGGGAGATGATCCGCGGGAAGATCCAGGACCGCGTCGCCGCGTCGAAGACGTGGGCGCGCCAGTCGAAGCGCGCGCAGGCGCCGTCCGCCTCGCAGGCCGCGAGCTCGGGCGCGCCCGTCGCGTTCGCGCAGTCGGCGTAGCGGCAGCCGTGGTGGTTCTGGTGCGACCGCGCCGCGCAGGTGAGCGTCGGCCCCGCGGCGCCGCAGGGCCGCGGGCCGCCCGGCTCGAGGTCCGGCTGCGCCGGGGGCGGCGCGCCGGCGACGGCGATGTGGCTCGGCGGGGCCGGGCCGCGCCAGCCGTCGAAGTGGCGCCGCGCGAACGCCGCGACGTCGCCGGCGTTCGGCGCGGGACCGTCGACGAGCGAGATGCGGCCGCGCGAGTCCAGCGTGAACTGCTCCGGCTTGAAGTCCGTCAGCACGAAGCCGCCGCGCTCGCCGAAGGACCGCAAGCAGCGCAGCCAGGCAATCGCGAGGGCGACGGGCTCCTCGGTGGCGCGGCGGTCGTAGTCCGCGAGGTAGTACCTTTTTGGGGGGCGGGCGCCTCGAGCGCGACGCGGGACGGCCCCCGGGGGGCGCAGGTTGGCGCATGGGGTGCGCGTGCGTGCCCTTGCCCGTGGCGGTGGGCAGGCCGTCGTGGCTCGTCACCCAGAACACGTGGGACCGCGTCTCCCAGCCGCCGTGGAGGAGCGGGACGCCCGGCGCGCCGCGGAGGTACTCGAGGTAGACCAGCTCGAAGTAGGCGATGTCGCTCGCGCGGTCGCCGAAGGCGAAGGGCCCGGCGGCCTTGCGGAGCGCCTTGACGATGACCTGCGCGCCGCTCGCCCCGGTGAGCTGCGACGCGACGACCTGCTTCTGGCCGCTCTCGAGCACGAAGCCCGAGCCCGCGCGGACGTCCGACGGCGCCGTCACGGCCCAGTGCGCCGGCGGCGCCGCGGACGTGTTCGACGCGAGCCACGCGTCGAGGCGCTCGAGGCGCTCGAGGCGCTCGAGGTGCGCGACGTCGGCGCCGCCGCCGGCGACGACGCACGCGAGGGCGAGGCAGCGCCGCAGCGCCGAACGCATCGATGCAGCGAAGGTTGGACGTCGCGCGCCGTGCGTCTGTGCCCTCCGAGAAGGCACAGGCCGCCGGCACACCGACGCAGAGCTACAATGCACCCATCATGCACTCTGGGGCTGCCTATCGCACGTGCTGCCCGACTTCTCGATCGCAATGAACATTTCTGGCTTTTTACTAATACCTTCATTGAAGTTCAGCTTCAACGAGTCCTTCACCGTCTTCTTCGACGACCGTGAAATCGCGTTAGTGCGTCCCGACGTCGAGCCACTGGCCCGTCTCGCCCGGGTCGAAGGGCGCCGGGAAGCCCGGCGACGCCTCGTGGGCCTCGACCTCGGCGACGAGGCGCCGCACGAGGGTCTCGAACGCGTCGTGGGGCACGTCGTCGACGGCGATCTGGATGGACCGCGCGTGGTGGGCGATGGTCGCCTGCATGGCCTTGACGTCCGCCTCCGGGATGCTCCGCAGGTGGTCCACGAGGTCGAAGGCGTCGTCGTTGAGCCGCGCCTCGGGCACGTAGACGCGCGAGGCGTTGCGCCAGGGCCCCCAGTGCCAGGGCGCCGTGATCTCGCTGTACAGCGAGAAGACGACGGGGATGCAGCCGAGGCTCAGCGAGTCCCAGATGGACTTGCGGTAGGGCGAGTCGCCGAGGGGCTCGAGGCAGAAGACGGACTTGGCTTTCGCGAGCTCCATCGTCTCCGGGTGGAAGGACGTCGTGCCGAGACCCAGGAAACACTTGGACCGCTCGCGGTAAGCGATCAAATCGACGTGGCAGAAGTTCTCCGGCGCGGCCTCGCAGATCTGGACGACGCGCGCGCGGACGGCCGCGCCGTAGTGCTTGTCGACGATGAACGTGCCGTTCGTCGCGCCGCGGTGCGACCCGGCCTCGCGCCCCAACTTGCCCTGGAAGGACATGAGCAGGTTCCGGTGGTGGCGCCGGCTCCAGGGCGCGCGCTCGCCGACGTCGCCCGCGGCCGCCGCGCCGTGGACCGAAGTGGCGTAGGGGATCGACACCAAATTCGGCGCGACGAACAGCTCCGCGCGCAGCTCGTCGCCGGCGGGGAGCGTGCGGTCGTAGTAGACGGCGCTCCGGGGCACGTAGGGCAGGTGCGCGGGGCCGTAGCGCGGCTTCGTCCGCGCCGCGTCGAAGTCCGATTTTGGGAGCATGACCTTGGCGCTGTAGGCCACCCGCACGGCGCGCTTCAGCAGCGTCCTGGGCTCGAGGAACCAGTCGCAGGTCTTGGCGCTCGCCAGGCCCTTGGCGACGACCATGACGTGGCGGTGCGCGGTGCGCTCGTTCAGGTGCGGCAGCGCCTTTACCAGACTTCGCTCATCCGCGCCCGTCGCGTTGCAGGCGGCGACCCAGCCGCCGCCGCTCTTCGCCTTCGGGAGCACGGGCACGAGGAAGATGTCGGCCTCGGACGGGTCCAGCGTCCGCGGGCACCGGCCGCTCGTCGCCGCGCGGTACAAAAGCTGCTCCGCCGCGCCCCACTGCTCCGTCGCGTAGAGGCTCTCGAAGGCGTGGTCGTCGAGGCCCTCGCAGGACCGCGACTTCTCGACGTGCTCGCTGCCGAAGACCTCCTCCACGGACGCGAAGGGCGCCAGGCGCTCGCGCGGCGTCGCGCCGGGCGTCGGCGACGGCCGCCACCGGAGGTCGTAGAGGGCCGGCGGCAGGTCATAAATAAAAACCTTGCCGCAGGCCGCCTCGCCGGAGTCGACGCCGCGCAGGGCCCACGCCGCGGCGGCGACGAGCCACGGCGAGCGGCGCGCCACACACATTGGCTCTTAGGCCTCCTCCATGCCAAAATTTATCGGCACCGATCGGTGGGGCTGCTTCTCCTGCCACGCCCATTCGGCGCCCATGGCGCCGTTAACACGAGCTCCAACGTCTTGCCACAAAGAGCTCGCGCGATGAACTACTGTAGCTTCAAATCCGCAGCATGAGCACGCTCGTGTCATCCACAACGACGACGGCCGCAGCCGCGGCGAGCAACGCCGCGACGCTCTACGCCGTGCTGCTCGAGAAATGCGGGCCCGCGGCCGCCGCGGCCGCCGGCTGGGCCCAGGAACGGTACCTGCTGTTCGTCGACGCCGCGGTGCTGCGCTTCGACGACGGCCTGGCGCTGCTCGACCCGGCGCAGGCGAACTACGTGCGCGACGTCGCCGCGGCGAGCCAGGACGTCGTCGCTAGCCTCGCGCGGTTCCTCGCGTCGCTGTGGGCGCTCGCGGGCCTCGTCGTCGTGCCCGCGGCCCGTCGCGCGGTCGCGCTCTTCCGCCGCCAGCCCGAGGAGTGGCAGCTCGCCGAGGTCGGCGTCCTGCTGTTCCTCTACGCGCTCTGGCGCTTCCGGCGCTGGGTGCGCACGAGCGAGACGCTCAGGGCCGTCGCCGCGAAGCTCGGCGCCGCGCGACGGGCCTACGACGCCAGAGTCCTCGAGGCGCGCCGCGCGTACGCGAGCGCGCTCAAGAAGCTCGCGGAGAAGTCGCGCGTGGCCGCCTCGGCGCTGCCCCACGCGCTCTACGTCGCCGCGGTCCTCGGCGGCCGCCGCGCGTTCCCGGAACGGTTCGGCGGCGTCCTCCGGTCGCCGCGGCTCGCGTCGCTGGTCCTCGTCGCGCGGCTCTACGGCGCCGACGCCGCCCTGCGCAAGTGGGCCGCGGCGCAGAGCGACGAGCCCAACCCGGAGCCGCCGCCGCCGTCGCCGCCCGCGTCGCCGCCCGCGTCGCCCGCGCGCGACGAGCCCGAGGGCGCCGCCGCGGTCTACTACCGGACGCGCGAGCAGCTGCGGCAGCGCAAGCCCAAGCCCAAGGTGCGGCGCACGACCATCGCCGGCGCCGCGGACGTCGCGGCGTCGCGGGAGCGGACGCTGACGCTGCGGCGGCGCTTCGCGGCCGACGACGCGCGCCGCGCCGTCGAGGCGCAGCTCAAGTTCTGGGCCGTCGTCGGCGCGTGCTGGTTCTGCCGCGGCGCCGCGCACGCGCTGCCCTTCGCGCCGTCGGACTTCCGGTCCTCGAAGCTCGGGTCCGTCGCCGCGGCCGGCGCCGAGGCGCGCGGCGCGGCGCTCGTCTGGCTGAGCCTCGGCGCGCTCCGCGGGCCCGAGCTCGCCTTCGCCGCGCTCGCCGCGATCGCGGGCCGCTGGGCGCCGCCGGACGACCGGCCGCCGCCGCCGTCGCCGCGGAGCGCGCGGCGCGGCGGCGACGCGGAGTGGTGGCGCCGCGCGACGAACCTCGCGCGCGCGGGCGCGGCGACGCTCGCGCCGGGCACGCTGCTGGAGACGGCGCTCGGCGACCGCTACGCGGGGCTCCGCGACCACGTCGCCGAGGTCGCCTCCGACGCCGACGGCTGGCGCGCGGCGGCCGTCGGCTGCTTCGCGGCCATGACCGTCGGGCCCGTCGCGCGCGCGGGCGCCGTCGCCGTCGGCTTCGGCGTCCCCGTGCTCGCGACGCTGCGCTGCGTGCGCGCGCCGCGCGCGACGGCCCTCGGCGACGCGAAGATGCTCCGCTACCTCGCCTTCTGGGCCGCCGTGGGCCTCCGGGACGCGCTCCTGCTCAACGACTCGATCCACCGGATCCACGCCTGGGTCCCGCTCCGCTCCCACCTCGAGATCTTCCTCTTCCTCTACCTCCAGCTCCCCTACTTCCGCGGCGCCCAGCGGCTCCACGCGCGGGCCCAGGCCAAGCTCGCCGACGTCGCCCGCCGCATGCGCGACTAACCCGCGTTTTTTATGACGCCGCGCCGTCGTCGTCGTCGTCGTCGTCGTAGACGGCCTCGAAGATGTCGTCGCACTCGTAGCAGAAGTCGTCGTCGTGCTCGACCTCGGCGCAGTGCGCCTGGAAGCCCGCGGCGTCGACGAACTTGGCGCCGCAGCCGCCGCACCTGACGCGGTAGATGACCTCCGACGCGTCGCGCTTCGCGGCCTTCGCGCGCGCGGCCTCCGCGACGGCCCTGCACGCGGCCTCGAAGTCGGGCGGCGCGCCGCCGTCGAAGGACCGCGCGCCGCCCGCGCCGAGGAGGCAGTCGTAGTGCCTGGGCAGCAAAAGGGTGCGAAATTCCCAACTTCAAAGGCTCATATCTCGGCCGTTTTCCACTCGTTTTGGCTGATTTTTGGACGAGCGATCATCTCTCGGAACGGCCTCGAAGCGTGGATGCTTTTTTCGGAACGCGCGCGCGCGGAACACTCACATTGAAGCGACGTTGAATCACCCTTTTGCTGCCCTGCGTAGTGCGTCCCCGTGTAGAGCAGGTAGCACGTCGGCCCGGCGTCGCCGTACGTGAGCAGCGCGTCGGCGCTCACGACGGCGACGCGGCGCCCGTAGTGCGCGGCGAGCGCCAGGATCTCGCTCTCGCCGCCCCAGTTGTGGTCGACCATGATCCAGCGCCCGTAGTCCTCGACGGACTGGCCGAGGATGAGCGCGCGCGTCGCGGGGTCCGGGTCCGCCGCCGCCGCGTCGCGGCAGACGCCGCGCAGCTCCGCCGCCTTGGCGGCCGTCGTGGCGGCCGTCTCGTCGAGCGACTCGTCGCAGAGGTAGGCCACGGCGTAGAAGAGGCACGAGTTGTCGTTGGGCACGCGCAGGCGCGTGGGTGCCGTTTCTGGCGTGAAGGGGTAGAGCATGAGGAGGTAACGCACGAAGGCGTCGGCCTCGCCGGCGAGGGACCGCGGGAGGACAAACGTGGCGAGCTAGGCCAGCATAAGACTGGCGTCCATGCTCTGCCTTTGCTTGAAATTTTTTTTTGCTGTGGCAATTCCGTATGGAGAGCCATTTGCAGCGCGTTTACATGCCCTAATTCGACGCGTTTGAAGCCGCGCGCACCCACGATGGCGCTACCAGCGGCCCTCATTCTCCTCTCCTTGCCCTGCGCGTCCTTTGGACCAGCTGCGCAGCGTCGACGAGCCGTGCGGCGGCGCGCGTCGCCGGTCGTCGCGCCGGAGCCGTCCGAGGCCGAGTCGCGCTTCGGCCGGCAGAGCTATTGGGACGGCGTCTACGCGGACGAGGCGGCATTCTCGTGGTACTGCAACTGGGCCGACGTCGAGCCGCTGTGGCTTGAGCTCGTGCCCGACCGCGCCGCGCGCGTGCTCGTGCCCGGCGTGGGCAACGACGACGCCGCGGTGGGCCTCGTCGACGCGGGCTTCACGAGCGTCGCCGCGTCGGACTACGCGCCCGAGGGCGTCGCGCGCGCGCGGGCGCGCCTCGGCGACGAGCGCGCGGATCGCGTGGACCTGCGCGTCGCGGACGCGCGGTCCCTCCCCTACGGCGACGACGCCTTCGACGCCGTCTTCGAGAAGGGCACGCTGGACGCCGTCTTCCTCTCCGGCGGCCGGGACAAGGCCCTGGCCTACGACCAGCTCCGCCTCTGCGCGGCGGAGCTCGCGCGGACCGTGCGCCGCGGGGGCGTCGTGCTGAGCCTCTCCGCGCCCGCGACGGAGCCCATCGACCGGGCCTTCCGCGAGTGCCGGAGCGACGGCGGCGGCCGCTGCTGGAAGCAGCTCATCGACGGCGACAGCTTCGTCACGGACGACGGCTTCGCGAGCATCAACGTCGACGCCACCATCCTCGCCTGGGAGCGGCTGTAACAAAGTACTCGGCTCAATGTGGCAGCTCGCTGCGAAGGTGCTGCACTCGCTCGAGTCCTGGAAGTACGAGCTCCGCAAGTTCAACGTCGTATGTTGCCTCGAGGATGCAGTGCTCGCCATTTCTCCACAGTCAGCCTCGGAGAGCTATGTTGCGCGCCACGGCCGCGCTGCTGCTCGCCGGCGCCTCGGCGCGCGGCATCGATCCGCAGTATGCCGAAAACCTCACGTTGTACCACGTGAACCCGCTCCACGAGGGCGTCATCCCCAGCGACATGGACACGAGCGACCTCAACGGCGACATCTTCTTCGATCTGAAGAGCGCGGTGACGCCCGTCGAGTGCGCGCCAGCGTCCGCAGACACCATGATGATGCTTTCCTCGAAACTTGAAGCACTCCGACGCTGTCGCCCTTGGTAGGTGCGCGTCCGGCCGGGGCTGGAGCGGCGACTGCGAGAACGGCGAGGTCGTCGACGGCGACCTCGTCATCTCCAAGCTCGTCGTCGAGGTCGACTCGCGCTTCGGCGAGTACGGCATGTGCAACATCTGCGTCAACGGCACGGACCCGCTGTCGCGGCTGCCCTGCGCGACGGGTGAGTACATCTGCGCGTGCCCCAAATACGACCGCTTCCGCCGGCGCCCCGTCTTCGAGGTCTGCGAGGGCCCCGCGGTCGGCCGCGAGAACATCTCGCAGACCTTCGGCCGCTACGGCGACTGCACGTGGGACAAGTACGTCGAGGAGCCCTGGGGCTGCTGGTCCGGCAACGTCTGGAAGAAGACGGGCGGCGAGTGGTACTCGACGTTCAAGGGCGCGCGGTGCGGCGACGGCGACGGCGCCTGCACGTGGCGCGTCGCCGAGGTCGTCAAGGTCGTCAACAAGACGTGCTCCGACGACTCCGTCTTCTCCAACATCGAGGCCCACGACGCCGTCGGCTGCTTCGACGGCTGCGGCGGCAAGGGCGCGGCGCGCAACGTCTCGTCGGCGTGCTGGGTCGGCTGCTTCTACCGGACGATCCTGGGCGCCGACGGCATGATGCCCACGGGCGCGGACTTCGCGACGACGGGCGTCTCGCTCGACGACCTCGTCGAGGCCTGGGACGCGCCCTTCAACTCCGACGACGCCGCCAAGGGCGGCTGCCCCGCGATCCCCGTCGCCTAGTTTTGATCTCGCAGTTTTATTTCGATTTTCTTCTCTGTTCCGCCTCGGCCTTGGCGAGCACGCGGAGGACGGCGAGGTGGCCGGCTTCGATCTTGTCGTATTCTTCAAACAACTGCAAGGTGTGCGCTGTGAAGCCGTCCTTGTCGGGTATGCTGGCCAGGCTGGGATCGTGAGATAAGAGGAGCTCTACCGATTCAAGCATTTCATCGCGGTCAAGTTCTTGGTTACAGAGGAGGAAGTGAAGTACCGTATATCCATTCTGCAGCTCGACTTGTCTCGCGTTGACCCCAAGATCGAGCAGGTAACGAAGAGCCTCGGCCACTTCGCCGCTCTTCCGCCATGAAACAGAATGATGCAAGAGCGACTCATTTGAGTTGGTCAGGCAGTGAGGATCAGCTCCGGCGTCAACTAGAAGTCGAATCACGTCGATGCTTTGATATTGACATGCCACGTGGATGATGATATCGTAAATGGCTGGATCGGGATTGTCATTCGGATCCGCACCCTTGGACAGAATTTCGGAGACCCACAATGAAGGCACACGGCCACGGACGGCAGCGCGTAGCGCGCAGCCAGGGGACATTTGATCGAGCAGCTGCTTGAAAGCGTGGGATCTCAGGAGCTCCTCCTCGAGGGGTATTCCACCATGGTCACTTTCCATTAGCAACATAAACCGTCGAAGGTTTGGGGCCGTCCGCAGAGCGCCCGATCGCACCAGCAAATCGCACGACGGCGCGAACGAAGTCGTGTCAGCGCCTTCGTCAAATTCGATCGTCACCCGTTGGAGGTCGCGCATCATCGCCAATGGTAGAATCATGTCGCGAAGCTCGAAAAAACTGCGGGCATCGACCCATAGGACCCGACAGCGCGTCATCTTGTTCATCATGTGTGCGGCGCGTAAACCCTCTTCTACCGTGATACAATTGATCTCAGTCACTGAGCTGACTGCTGTGCGCCAGCTGCGACACGTCTCCGTGAGCCGCAGGAGCTCATGAAACCGGAGATCATCCAGCACGAGGCCACGCAGGGGCGCGTCGAGTCGATTCATCCCGCGAGACATCGGCGCCGGCAGCCCATTCAAACACGCATCAACATCTGCAAGTTTACACCGTCATAATAACAGCGTATGGTGCGATCTGCAGCCCTGCTCGCACTGTCCATGGCCGCCGCACAGCGAGACGACTGGGATTCGCTCTGGTGGCTGCCGACGGAAGGCGAGCCGACGCCGGGAACACAGGTGGCGGTGTCCAGCCGGCTACCGCATCTCCTGTATTTGCCCGACGAGCCGTCGGCCGCTCCCTTGCTCGTGTTCCTCCACGGCCAGGGCGAGTCGAGCCCCGCGCCTTTACCCATGGTCGCGCTGCAGGGTCCGCCCCAGACGGCGGGCCGGAACCCGAAGGCGCTGCCCTTCGCGGTCCTCAGTCCCCAGAAGCCGCGGTCGTCCGAGTTCTTCGACGACGACGTCGCGAGCGAGATCCTCGGCCTCGTCGACAAATACGTGAGCCGCTACGGCTTAATCGACGTCTACCTCACGGGCATCTCCCAAGGCGGCATCGGCACCTGGAATTTGGCCGCGCGACACCCGGGCCGCTTCGCCGCCATCGCGCCCGTCGCCGGCGGCCTGCGCCGACCCAAGGCCGGCGCCGCGGCGCTCGCGGCGACGCCGATCTGGGCCTTCCACGGCGCGAACGACGTCGTGCTGCCCGTGTCCATGTCCGACCGCTCCGTCGAGGCCTGCAACGCGCTCGCCGCGCGCGCGGCCGAGCCCGCCAAGTACACGCGCGTGCCCGAGGCGCCGGGCCGCGACCCGAGCTGGGGCGCCGCGGGCATCCCCGACATGCCGGGCCACGGCGGCATGTGCGAGGTCGCCTACTACCCGCCCGACGGGTCGCCGCCGCCGCTGTACGCGTGGCTCCTGTCGCACCGCCGGGTCGCCTAAATTAGGGAGCCACGAGCGGCCGGCCGATGGCGACGGCGCCCGCGAGGAAGACGCTGTACTCCGACGCCATGAAGAGCACGCGGCTCCAGTAGGGCCCGCCCGCGTCCTCGCCCCCGCCGGCGCTCGACGCGTTGCAGACGCCCAAAGCGAGGGCCAGCGCGAGCGCCGACGCGCAGTAGTGCAGCTTGAGCGCCGCGTGCGTGCTTCGCGGCTGCGCGAAGCCGTAGCCGAGGCCCAGGACGCACGACAGCGCGGAGCCGTAGTGCACGACGGTCCGCGCGGCGCCGAGCCGCGGGCGCCGCTTCGCGTCGGCTTCGTCCGGGATGGACACGACGGCGTGCAGCGCGCCGACGGCGCAGAGCCACCACGTCGTCCGCATGCCCGGCGAGCATCGCCGCGCCGCGAGCGCGCGCAGCGCGACGAGGTAGGCCGCGTAGGACGCCGCGTAGGTGCCCCGCACGACGACGTCCGGGCCCCGGATCGTGTGGGAGAGGCTGCAGGGGTACTTGTAGAGCGGGTCGACCCTGCGACCGTGGTAGAGCAGCCAGGGGCCGACGACGAGGCCGGCGACGGAGCCCGCGGAGATCAGTTGCAACTCCAGCACGTCGCGCTTCGTCAGCGCGGCGACGCCCCACCAGGCGCTCAGCGGCAGGTCGCCGGCGCGCATGTCGTTTGGGCCGCCTCCCACACCTAGGGCTGCCTCCCACGGCTGGTCGTGTTGCGTGCGTCTGGGCCGCCTCCCACACCCACGGCGTGGCCTAGCGAAGGTCGCGCGCGTCCTGCCGCGCCCACCGGGTCGCGCTTGACGTACGATGGCTTCTCGAAGAGAAGCTCGGCGGCGCCGGCGGGCAGCCTCGTTTTAAAGCTCAACATTCAATGTTGATGGAACATCCACTTGGGCGATCAAAGGCCGACGACACGATGGCCGCTCTAGTGGAGGATAAAACCCAGGCGGAGAAGATGGCGAGCTTCGGCTTCTCGGCCGTGGACATCGGCGCCGCCGCGGCGACCGTCGACGCGGCGGACGGCGCGACGGAGAGCGCGGAGATCGACCTCGCGCTGGACAGCATGAACATCATCAAGGACAGCCTCTGCATGGCCTGCGGCGGCTCCGGCGAGACGCGGCTCATGCTGACGAAGATCCCCCTCTTCCGCGAGATCATCCTGAGCAGCTTCCACTGCGACGACTGCGGCGAGCGGAACACGGAGGTCCAGTTCGGCGGCGAGACGCAGGAAAAGGGGTGCCGCTACGAGCTCGAGGTGTCGAGCCGCGCGGACCTGGACCGGCAGGTCGTCAAGTCCGAGAGCGCGCGCATCGTCGTTCCGGCGCTGGAGCTCGAGATCCCCGCGGCGACGCTGCGCGGCGTCGTGACGACCGTCGAGGGCGTGTTGAGCCGCGCGGCGTCGGAACTGATGGCGCTCCAGCCGCAGCGGCTGGCCGCGGACGTCGACGTGGGCCTGAAGGTGCAGCGCGTCATCGACGACCTCATGGACTACGCCGCCGGCGAGGCGCTGCCCTTTTCGTTGATCGTCGAGGACCCCGCGGGCAACTCCTTCGTGCAGCCTTTGCGGGAGAAGGACGAGCAACTGAAAACGAGCCACTACGACCGCTCCGACGCGGACATGGTCGCGCTGGGCTTCCGCGAGGGCGGCGCGGCGCCCGTCGCGGGCGACGTCGACGCCGGCGCCCGGGGCGCGCCCGCGCCGAAGACCATCGACGGCGTCGAGGGCATGCTCGCGGGGGGGGAAGTCATGAACTTCTCCGTGCCCTGCCCCCACTGCGGCGCCGAGGGCGAGGAGCACATGTGCGTGACCAAAATCCCCTACTTCAAGGAGTGCGTCATCATGTCCTTCACCTGCGAGAAATGCGGCTACCGCAACTCCGAGGTCAAGGGCGGCGGCGCCGTGCCGAAGCTCGGCTGCGCGGCGACGCTGACGTGCGTCGACGCGGGCGACCTGAGCCGCGACATCCTCAAGAGCGACACGGCCTACGTCGCCATCCCCGAGCTCGACCTGGAGCTCGCCCACGGCTCGCTGGGCTCCGTGTACACGACGGTCGAGGGCTGTTTGGAGAAGATCGTCGCGTCGCTCCGCCGGGGAAACCCGTTCCAGGGCGGCGACTCCGCGGACGGCGCGAAGAAGGCGCACTTCGACGCCTTCATCGACAAGATCATCGCTTTGAAGGACGGAAAAACCTTCCCCTTCACCATCGTCATGCGCGACCCGCTCGCGAATTCCTTCGTCGGCCCGCGGCGCGACGCCGCGGCGAACCACGGCCCGCTCGACGCCGTCGGCGACGGTGCGCTGCCCGAGGACCCGCAGCTCGTCGTCGCCGACTACGCGCGCTCCTGGGACGAGGACGAGGAGCTGGGGTTGCACGACATCGACACGGGCGACGGCGGCGGCGGCCTCGGCGCGATCCCCGAGGAGGGCGGCGACGACGACCTGCCGGACGTCGACGACGTCGACACCGTCGCCGTGCCGTCGAACCTCGGCACGGACTTCCACGTGAAGCCCAAGCCCCGGCGCACCGTGGACCACCCGAACCCGACGTTCGCCCGGGGCTGCGACGACGGGGCCCCGGCGGCCCAATAGTACATCTTACAGCCCGTGGAACTCGAAGAAGGGCAGCTCCGCGTCCTTGGGGTGCTGGCGCAGGTCCCGCAGGAAGCAGGCGCAGCCCGCGAGCCCCTCGAAGAGGGAGAGGGGGTGGTCCGGCGTGTGGCTCATCGCGATCGTGTCCTCGGCGACGCCCGTCTCCGCGAAGACGCACGCGCGGTGGAGCCACTTGACGTCGCCCGTCGCGCGGAAGGCGGCGAGGAGCGCGTAGCCGTTGCCCGCGATGCCGTGGCAGAGGCCCGGCCCCTTGAAGAGGAGGCCGTACTTCCACGTCGTGTAGGCCGCGTCGAGCGCCGCGGTCTTCAGCGCCGCGTCCTTGAAGACCTTCGCGCCCTCGAAGAAGGCGAAGACCATGCCCGGCGCGCCGTGGCAGAAGTGGACCAGGGGCGCGCGCGCCTCGCCGGCGACCGCGGGCCAGTTGCCGTCGACCGCGAGCGCCGCGAGCGCCTTCAGCGTCGCGCGGACGTACGGGTAGGCCTTGGCCGCGAGCTGCGCGTCGTCGCGCGCCGCGCATAGGAGGAGATAGCAGATGCCGCCCGTGCCGTGGGCCGCGCCGACGTAGGGCGTGCCGTGCCAGGAGTAGCGCAGAATCTCGTCGAGCTCGGACCGGCCGTCGTCGAGGAGCGCGGCCGCGACGCGCGTCGCCGCGACGGCGAGCGCGTCCTCGAGGGCTGCGAGGCGCCGCCGCTTCGCCAGGCGCCGCAGGCCCAACAGGGCCCGCAGGAAGCCCGCCTTGCCGTAGAGCCACTCGTCCGCCGCGAGCTTGTCGCCGCGCGCGAGCTGCGCGCGAGAGAGCACGCGCTTCGCGCGGAAGCGGAACGTCTCGTCGTCCGGCGCCAAAGTCGCGGCGACGACGTCGAGGCCCGTCGCCCCGCAGAGGAGGCTGCAGTCCAGCGCCGTCGGCGGCGCGTCGCCGTTCCTCGTGTGGAAGTCGACGAGCGCGCGCGCCGTCGCCGCGTCGCCGCGGCGGCCGAGGTAGAAGGCGACGCCCGGCTCGCCGACGTAGACCGAGTCCTGGCCGTCGGCCCGCCGCTGCTCCGCGAGCGCCGGCACGGCGAGGCGGATCTCGCAGTTCTCCATGAGCCGCCCGGCGATGTCGTCCTCGAACTCCTCGAGGCGCAGGCTCATGGCCACGGAGACGCGGTCGCCGCGCACGGCGTCGACGAGCCGCGACCCGGCCTCCTTGTCGTAGTCGCGGCTCGACGGGCACTCGAAGCACCGGGCCTCCTTCGTGTCCGAGTGGGCTGCCATGCTGCGACGCTTGAAACCGCAAACTTGAACCACACCTTGAACATTTGAACCAGAGCGAGCTCGAATTTTTTTAGCATGGGCTGCCCGCTCTGCTAGCTAGGCACCAACTCTCTCCAATGTCGAACGTGGCGCTCGCCACCGGCGGCACCTACCGGCCCAAGGGCGGCTCGGCCTTCGACCGGCGGCGGAGCGGCGGCAAGGTCGCCGCGCGGCCGGCGCTGTGCCTCGCCGTCGTCGGCATCGTCGTGCTCGGGTCGAGCCTCTCCTGGTGGCAGTCCGTCGACGCGAGCGACGGCGCGTCCGTCGCGCCGCGGCACCTCGACGTCGACGCCTTCGCGCGCGGCGGCGCGGACTACGGCCGCCACCTGTCGCGGCGCGCGCGCGACTACCTCGCGGCGCAGACCTACGACGACCGCGGCCGCGCGAAGCCGCGGAACGGCGGCCAGTTCTCGTCGCAGGACCGCCGGCTCGCCCTCGCCGTGCTCGGCGAGGCGCCGAAGAACGTCTTAGTCTTCGGAACGCCGCCCGACGGACCCTTCTGGGCCGAGACGAACGGCGAGGGCCGCACGGTCTTCCTCGAGGACAACGCGCCCAAGCTGGACAAGGCGCTCGCGGCGGGCCTGGAGGCGGCGCGCGTCGCGTACCACACGGTGCAGCGGGACTGGCTCGACGTCGACGTGCTGGACCCGGCCGATCCCCGGCTCAAAATCGACGGCGCGGCCGAGGTCCTCGCGTCGGCGGACTTCTGGGACCTCGTCGTCGTCGACGCGCCCGACGGCATGCACAAGTCGTCGACGGGGCGCGCCGCGCCCATCGCCGCGGCCGCGCGGCTCCTCGCGGCGCAGCGCGCCGCGCGGCCCGGGAGGGCGACGGACGTGCTCGTCCACGACGCGCACCGCGCGGGCGAGTTCGCCTGGGCGCTCCACGCCCTCGCGCCCCACGCGCGCTTCGTCAACGCGGCGGCGCTCGCGGCGTCGAGGCGCGCGGGCGACGCCGCGGCGCGCGGCGCGAACGCGTCCGCGACGCCCGTCGTCGAGTTCGCCTGGTTCCACGCGGACTAAGGAGGCGTCAAAAGGGCGGTACTCGGACTGCTCGTGTATTCCTTCGCGACTCGAGTGTGGAACCTAGGACGCTGGGGACACTTGCCACATGCGTCCGTGGTGAAATTTGTTAAAACAGCGAGCGCTGCCACTGCCACTGGATTTGGCCAAAAGACCCGGCCAAACTCCTAACTTTAGAAAAGTCTTTAGAACTTACTTTAGAGTCTTAGACGGGCCCGAGCTTCGCCTTGAGCTGCTTGATGTCGTCGGCGATGTCGTCCGTCAGTTTCACGGCGCCGTCGTCGTCGCCCGGCGCGGGCGCCGCGGCCGCGGGCCGCGGGGAGACGACGTAGGTCTGGATCGTGTGGGGCCCGAGGGACGCGCGGACCACGTCGCCGTCGATGTCGAGGTCGAAGTCCGCGGCGTGGGACGCCTCGTTGAGCGCGACGACGGCGACGTCGCCGGTCGGCCGCGCGAAGGCGACGGCCTGGACGAAGGGCCAGCCCGCCGTGACGCAGCGGCCGTCGGCGTCGCTCACGAGGGCGCCCGAGGGCAGGTGCGTGAAGCGCTGGTGGCGGTTCGCGCCGTCGCAGGGTTGGAGCTCGAGCTGCGCCCCTTCCGCTCCCGGCCGGTCCCGCGAGGGGCCCAGGCAGAGGCCGCCCTTGAGCTCCGCGATGGCGTGGCTGTCCGGGTCGCGCCGGAACTTGCCCACGGCGACGTCGCCGTGCTCCTTGCCGTACTCGCAGTTGACGAGCGCCAAGGACCCGACGCCGGGCGTGTTCGCGTCCGCGGCGCACAAGTCGCCCCACTTGTCGACGAAGCTCCCGTCGGTCATCTCGAGGTAGTCGTGGACGTCGTCGAGGGCCCAGGCCTGGCGCGGCGACGGCCGGTCCGGCGACCCCTGGCACTTGTGGAGCGTCAGCTCGAAGCCGACGGCCGCGCGCGTCGCCGCGCGCGTCGCCGCCCGGTCGTCGAAGAAGACGCCGTCGACGGCTATTTCGACGCGCTCGGAGCCGGGGTGGAGGTGCTTGGAGAAGTGGCCGATGACGTCGTAGTAGGACTGGATCTTGACGCCCGAGAATTTCTCGTCCGTCGCGTGCATCGGCGCGTCGCAGACGTTGCCCAGATGGTTCGGCCCGCCCCGGTGGTCCAACAGCAAATTCCAGTCGACCCAGCCGCAGGCGCCCAACGCGAGGTCGCTGAGGATGTCGTGCGCGTAGCGCTCGGACCGCAATAGGTCCGAGTCGCCGATGCCCGGGCAGTTGCAGCCCTCGGACGGCAGGAGCCGCGCGCCCTTGGGCAGCGCGTCGCGCGCGCGCGCCACGTTCGCGTGGCCCACGGCCCCGTCCAACGTGCGGTCGAGGCCGCCGGCGTACCAGTGGAACGCGACGCCGTCGACGAATTTGGCCGTCTCGGCGTCGCCGTAGACCGCGCGCGCCCAGTCGACCATGTGGTCCCGGTTGTGGTCGAAGACGAAGAGCTTGAGGTGGGGGTGGTCCGACTTCAGGCGCGGGCCGAGGAAGTCGCGCACGAAGGCGCCCGTCGAGTTGGCCGTGTAGCGGCACGCCTCCCACGGCGCGGAGAACTCGGGCTCGTTCTGCACCGTGAAGCCCCAGAGCGGCAGGCCCTGGGCCTCGTAGGCCGACGCGAACTTGGAGAAGTAGAGCGCCCAGGCCGCGTGGGCTTGCTCGTCGTGGGCGAGGCCGTCGGGCTGCGCGCTGCTCAGCATGGACCGGTTCCCGGGGAACTCGATGGACGGGTGGTCCGGGTCGGGCTCGAACTTTTTGCGCGGCGCCTTGAGCCAGGCCGGCGGGCTCCAGGGCGACGCGAAGAGCTTGAAGTCGCCGCCGCGCCGCTCCGTGGCCGCCCTGGCCGCGGCCATGAGCGGGATCATCTCCGCCCGGTCGTGGGTCACGCTATGGTCGAAGTGGTCGAGCGAAAAGTCGCCGTCGACGGGCGCGAAGTCGTAGGACGCGACGCAGAAGTCGCAGGAGTTCATGTGCACGCGCCCGAGGCTGTAGCCGATGCCGTCCTCGCCCCAGTACTTCTCCACGACCTCCGCCCGCGCGTCCGCGGGCATGCGCGCCCACGTCCGCGCGGACGCCTCCGTGAACGCGCCGCCGAAGCCGTCGATGCTCTGGTAGGTCTTCGACGTGTCGACGCTCACGCGCCCGCGCGGCGGCTGGACGTCGCCGGTGAGCAGCGACGACAGGAAGCCGCCCGCGCGCCCTTTCCGCGGCCGCGCGTCGCACGACTCGCGCGGGCCCAACGTCCGCGACGTCGTGCGCCCGCCGCCGGCGCCGCTCTTCATGGCCGTCTCGAAGACCGTGACCGTGCGCCCGCCGCTCGCCGGCGCGGGGCCGCAGCCGTGCGGCGCCGTCAGGTACTCGGGCGTGCTCGCGTTGAGCCGCAGGGCCGTCCAGGACAGCGCCGCGACGACGAACACCGCGGCGGCGACGATGCTCGGCCTCATGGTGCGAGTCGTTGCAGCGGGTACGCGATCGCGGCGCGGGTGGCTGCCCGCGACCCAACGCAGCTGCAGAAACAGCGGTTCTCGGCGAGCGAGCGCGCCGCGATCACCGCCGGCTCCGCAAGCTGCATCTCGAGCGGCTGCTTGCACAAGGCGCGGATCATCATGCTGCGCCTCCTCGCGGCGATCGCTGCGGCGTGCGTGCTCACGCTCACACAAGCGCTCGTCGCGCCGCGGTGCGCGGTCGCCGCGCGGCCGCCGTCGCTGAAGGCGCGCACAGCTCTGATCTTGCGCGGCGGCGAGGACGACGACGAGGAGGACGACGACGACGAGGCCTTCGAGGAGGGGGAGGACGAGGACGAGGAGGACGAGGCCGACGAGGATGACGACGAGGCCGCGGGCGACGACGGCGACGACGGCGACGACGACGACGGCGACGACGACGACGACGACGAGGACGAGGACGCCGTCGAGGAGGCGGACACGGGCCTGGACGTCGCGGCGCTGAAGCGCCTCATCATCATGGGCACGCTGACGGTGGCGATGCACCTCTTCCTGCCCAAGCCGCAGCCGCCGCAGCCGGAGGACGACGAGTCGTCGGCCGCGGTCGCCGTCGACGACGCGCCGGCGGAGGCCGAGGCGTCCGAGGAGCCGGCCGACGAGCCCGAGCTCGAGGCGGCGGCGGAGACCTACGCCGAGGCCGTCGAGGAGGAGGCCTACGCCGAGGCGCCCGCGCCCGAGGCCGACGAGGCGACGGAGGAGGAGATCCTCGAGGCCTACGAGGACACGGACGGCATGACCGACGAGGAGGCCCTCGCGGAGCTCGAGGCCATGGCCCGACAGGAGGCCGCCTAGGCCGCCGACCCCCCTAAGCATCATCGTCGCGTCGCGCGCGTTACCGCCGTCGCGCCGCGGCGAGCGCGAGGAGCGCGCCGGCGCCGAAGGCCGCGGCGAGGGACGCGACGCGCGCGGCTCTGCGCCGCGCCTGGGCGTCGCGGCGCCGCGGCGTCGAGGCGAGCTCGTGGAGGGCGATGGAGCAGGCCGTCGCGACGTTGACGGAGTCGACGGCGTTCGCCATGGGGATCGTGAGGCGGACGTCCGCGAGGCGCTGCGCCTCGTCCGTCAGGCCGGGGCCCTCGGCGCCCATGAGCACGGCGACGCGCTCCGGCCGGTCGTCCGCGCGCCACTCGTTGATGGGCACGGGCGCGCCGACGGCGTCGTCGACGGCCGTCGACCGCGCGGACGTCGGCGGCGTCACGAGCGCGCAGACGACGTGGCCGCTCGCCTTGGCGGCTTGTACGACGTCGGCGATGGACCCCCGGCGCGTGAAGGGGATGGCCAGCGCGTGGCCGCCGGAGACGCGGATCGACTTCCGGTAGTACGGGTCCGCGCTCCGGCCGTCGAAGACGACGGCGCCCGCGCCGAAGGCCGCGCCGTTGCGGAAGACGGCGCCGACGTTGTCGAGGTTGTTCGTCCGCTCGCAGAGGACGACCGTCGACGGGCCCGTCGCCGGCAGCGCGCCGAGGAGTTCCCCGGGCGCGACGCTCGGGAGCTTGCGGCCGCACGCGAGGACGCCGCGGTGGAAGTTGAAGCCCACGAGGCCGCTGTAGTCCTCGTGGGTGAGGGCGTAGACGGGCACGCCCCGGGCGCGCACGGCGGCGATGAGGCTCTTCATCGGCGCGACGCGCCGCTCGCTGACGCACACGCTCTCCAGAGGCATGCGGCCGTGCTGCACGAGGTTGTGCACGCTGTTCTCGCCCTCGAGGATGAAGAGGTCGCCGCGGCCGGCCACATCCCGCTCCTTGAGGTTCTGGTACACGGCGACGCGCGGGTCCGAGGCGTCGAGGTGCAGCACGCCGTCCATGTCCTCCTCGGGCTCGCCGCCGCCGCCGAAGCGGCTCGCCATGACCTTGGCGACGGGCATGTTGTTCTCGAGCGTGCGAGCGAGCGGTGTGGTTTTTTTTAAGGGTGTTGCTAGTTGTGATTGCCGACGCCGTGGTGCTGCTCTCTAGCTCGAGCTTGTGGCAGAGTCGCCGACGGCACCACTGGCTGCACGATGCATACTAACTGTTGCACGAGTTTGCGTTGATCTTGAGCGCATTTAGCCAATGTTTGGGCAGCCCTCGCAACATATTTCTCGTGTCGCGGCAGCCTGTTGCGTCGTCGTGCGCGCCGTCGCACCAGCGTGATCGCGGTCGGTCCCGGTGCATGCCGGAGCCGGCCGCGTCGTCCTTCCTGCAGACGCTGGCGGACGAGCATGGCGTCGACGAGTTGCTCTTCGCCGGCAAGTCGACGGCGGCGCCGACGGAGGCGCGCGTCGAGGCCGGGAGCCCCGGCGCGCCGCTCGGCGCCGCCGTGAGCGACGGCGACGCCGCCGGCGGCAACGGCCGCGTGGAAAAGCCCCTGGAGGAGCTGGAGGCGGCCCACGACGACCTGGCCATGGTCCGCGAGTCGCTGAGCAAGCTCGCGCCCGAGTGGCTGCCGTCGAAGCTCGCGGACGGCAAGGGCCCGCTGTCCCAGGCGGACATCAACCGGCGCCACGGCTACACGGACTTCGACGACCTGGACCTCGGCGGCGAGCTCGGCGTCGGCGGCTTCTCGACCGTGAGGGTCGCGACGAACCGATCGACGGGCGCGCTCTTCGCGGTCAAGTCCGCGCCGCACAAGCCGGGCCACGACCCGACGTCGGCGTCGGGCAAGGACGACGCGGACATGCTCTGCGACGAGGCGCGCGTGCTCCACATGCTCTGCCACGCGTCCGTGATCCACTGCTACGGCATCGCCATCTTCCCCAAGGAGGTGCTCATGGTCCTCGAGCTCATGGAGGGCGGCGAGCTCTTCGAGCGCATCGTCGCCAAGCCGACGCACCACTACACGGAGGCCGGCGCGCGCAAGGCGGCCTACGTGCTCCTCCACGCCGTCGAGTACCTCACGGCCCACGGCATCGTGCACCGCGACCTCAAGCCCGAGAATTTACTATTGCGGAGCGACAGCAGCGACCACGACTTCAAGATCGCCGACTTCGGCCTCGCCGTCGTCCTTTCGCGGCCGGGCGACGTTTCGGGCAAGCGGCTCGTCAAGGAGTACGCGGGCACGCCGGGCTACGTCGCGCCCGAAGTCTACGACGCGTGCGACTACCCGAACCACCCGGGCTACGGCGCGGAGGCCGACGCCTGGTCCTGCGGCGCCATCATCTACGCGCTGCTCGGCGGCTACCTGCCGTGGCCGACGCGCGACATGGAGAAGCACAAGGCGCAGCTCCGGACGAAGACCGTGAGCTTCGCGGACGCGAGCTGGGAGGAGGTGAGCCCCGAGGCCACGGATTTGGTGCGCGGGCTCCTCGACCGGGACCCCTACCGGCGCACGAAATTGGCCAAGGCGTTGGGCGCCAAGTGGTTCGAGATGGACAGCAACGACCTCGGCCGGAACACGCTCTACCGCTGCCACGTGAACTTCGCGCAGTCGCTAGATCAGGTCAATTCCCTGGAGGAGCGGTGCACGTCGGGCTTCGGCCGCCACGTCCACGACGCCGCGGAGAAGGAGGAGGTCGCCGTCGCGTCGTCGCCCGTGCCCCGCAAGGGCGCGCTCCACGCCTGGGATTTGAAGGAGAAGCACGGCTACACGACTTTCGAAGATTTGGACATCGGCGAGAAGCTCGGCGAGGGGGGCTTCGCCGTCGTGCGCCTCGCGACGAATCGGGTGACGTCGGCGACCTTCGCCGTCAAGGAGGCGCCGCACAAGCCGGGCCACGACCCGAACCGGGACCCGGACGACGCGGACATGCTCGCGGACGAGGCGAAGATCCTGCGGAGCCTCTGCCACGACACGGTCATCCACTGCTACGACGTCGTCGTGCGGCCGGAGCAGTGCTTCGTCGTCCTCCAGCTCATGAAGGGCGGCGAGCTCTTCGATAGAATTGTTGGCAAGCCGAACCACCACTACACGGAGAACGAGGCGCGCAAGGCGGCCTACGTTTTGCTCAACGCCGTGGCCTTTCTGTCGGACCACGGCGTCGTCCACCGCGACCTCAAGCCGGAGAATTTACTCCTGGCCGACGACGCCAACGACCACGACTTCAAGATCGCCGACTTTGGCCTCGCGGCGATCCTCACGGACGAGCGGCCGGCGCTCAACGACTTCGCGGGCACGCCGGGCTACGCGGCGCCCGAGGTCTACGACGCGCGCGACTTCTACGACGTCGCGGGCTACGGCGTCGCGTCGGACTGCTGGTCCTGCGGCGCGCTCATCTTCTGCCTGCTCGGGGGCTACCTGCCGTGGTCCGCGCGCGACGAGGAGAAGATGGCCGCGAACATCCGGGCCCAGGACGTCGAGTTCCACGCGGGCTACTGGGACACCGCGTCGCCCGAGGCCAAGGAGTTGATCGCGGGCCTCCTGCGGCGCGACCCGGCGCGGCGGCTCTCCGCCGCGGCCGCGCTCGACTGCGCGTGGTTCGCCATGGACGACACGGTCCTCGAGTACAACAAGCTCCACGACGTCCACGACACGCTGTCCGTGAGCCACGACCACGTCCAGGACACGGGCCACGCGCACCTCCGGGGCGTCCACGTCCACGACGTCATCGAGGCGGAGCGGCTCCGGAAGCGCGCGGACCTGCTGGTCCGCGACATCCCCGACGAGGTCGAGGTCAACCTCATCTTTCGCGGCGACTTCGAGTCCGCGAACCGCGGCGCGCGCCAGCACACCATCGGCGACGCCGTCTTCGGCTGCTGCGCCGCGGGCTGCGGCGACGCGGCCGACGCGGTCTACGACATGCAGGCGCAGGCCCGCGCGCGGCGCTAAGCGCCGTTACTCAAAGCCCGCGCGCGGAGGTCGAGGACCATGGCGTCGAAGGTCGCCGCGGGGAACTCCGTGTGGCCCGCGCCGCGGACGACGCGGAGGTGCGCGTTTCGTAGCCGGGCCGCGTGGTAGCGGCTGCAGTTCGGGTCCGTGAGCGCGTCCCGCTCGCCGTGGTACAACAACACGGGACACGCGATGGACTCGAGGCCGTCGTGCCACGCGGCGGGAAGCCCCTCCATCCACATGTCCGCGACCCAGCCCGGGGTGAGCGTCCTATACCCGCACGTCACGCCGAGCCAGATCTTCGCGGTCCACTCGATGCCCGCGCGGTAGCCCGTCGCCGGCGTGGCTTCGCCGTGGAACCAGTGCGCGTTTCGGGGGTAGCCGCGCCGGTAGTTCGAGTCGCCGCAGTTCACCAAGCACGCCGTCACGCGCCGCGGGAACGCGTGCGCGACGGCTAGAGCGCAGGGCCCGCCCGACGACGCGCCCATGACGGCGAAGCGCGGGGCGCCCAACCAGTCCGCGACGGCGGCCATGTCCGCCGCGAACATCTCGTACGTAAAATTCCAGGGGAAGACGTCCAGCGTGGACTTGCCGTAGCCAGGCCGCGCGACGCAGGCGAACGTTAGCGGTAAGCTGTCAAACTCCGCGCGGGGGTCGTCGCCGTCCGTTAAGCGATTGAAGAGGAGCGCCGCGCTCTGCGGGAAGCCGTCCGGTTCTTCGGGCAGCTCGTAGCGCCCGCAGCAGTGCGCCAGCGCCCGCGACGCGTTCGCGTTGAACATGCCCGGGAACATCAGCACCACCGGGTCCTCCTTGGAGCAGCGGCCGAACATCTGGTACTCGATGCGCCGGCCCGAGGGGCATTTTACCTCATGGCGCACGCCTCGGATGCGGGGGTGCCATCCAGCCATGATGGCCAGGTTTTTTCCTGCGATCCCTGCGGCTTTCATTCCTCGGAGAGCGACGTCGGGTTCCTCGATGGTGGACATCACAGTTCGGGGAGCGGCATCGGTTCCCATATTCTTGAAGTCGTCCCAGGTGTGGAATTGATCCCAGAGCTCGTCATCCGAGTCGTCCTCGGAGGGGCTGCCCATCGCGTGTCAGAAATCGCTTCAAGTTGTGCCACATTTGCCTTTGTATCATAAACCAGTTGCGCGCGTTGGCAGCGTCCACACACCGTTCGCCGCGATGGAGACGAACCGGATTTTCTCCGCGGAGCAGATCGTCGTCCATCCCGACCTGCCGATCATCCTGAAGGACTACTCGAAGGCGCTGATCCGAGCGAACCCCAAAAACATCGACGCCTTCTCCGCGGAGTACTTCCGACAGAAGGCGGGCATCGAGGGCGACCCGGTGCCGGGAAGCGCCGAAAAGAACGAAGAGGCCTAGGCGCCCGCGAGGGCGGCGCAGGCTATATGTGCGTCGAGCCGACGGAATCGACGGCCGCGCGCGCGCGCGCCGCCGGCCCGCCGGGGCTCCCCGGCGGCGGCGGCGGCGGCGCGCGGCGGCCGCCGACGACGACGATGCCGCGGCGCGGATCCACGTCCGCGCGTCCGCGGTGAAAGCATCGCTCCCCCGGGGCCGCCCGTGCTTCTTCGACGTCGGCGCGCCGTCTCCGAAGCGCGGCGCTTCGCGGCGCGCTAATTCGTTTTCGCGACCCTATGGATCGACGACACGCGGCGGGATTCGTTCCGGGATTTTGGCCGCGCGGGGAGGGATAGGTCGGCCTTCATCGCGGAGGTGCGATCGGCGTCGTCCCAGACGCCATTGTTGAAGGCAGCTTGCACCAGCATTTCGCGATGGATGGAGGCGCATAGCTCGAAAGACCAGCGATATGGAGCGCAAGAAGAAGAAGCAGAAAGTGTCTGCAAAGTTCGAAGACGCCTTCGGCTCTGGCGCGAGCAGCGGTGACCGGACGAAGCAGCCGCGCCGCGAGCCGCCGCCGGCGGAGGAGATCCGCGAGGGCTCGGCCGTGTTCCGCCCGTCGGCGCACGTCTTCTTCAACCCGCTGCAGACGCTCCAGCGCGACCTCACCGTCGCCGCCCTCGGCGCGGCGCTCGCCGGGCGCACGGGCGCCACGGTCCTCGACGCGATGTGCGGCGGCGGCGTCCGCGGCGTCCGCTACGCGCTCGAGGTCGCCGAGGTCGGCGCGGTCCTGGCGACGGACACGTCCGAGGCCGCCGTCGCCGCCGCGAACGCGACGGCCGCCGCGAACGGGCTCGGCGCGGCGTACGCGGCCGTGGTCGGCGACGCGAACGCGCGCATGCGCCGCGACTCGTTCGACGCCGTCGACCTCGACCCCTGCGGGTCCGCGGCGCCCTTCGTCGACGCGGGCGTGCGGTCCGTGCGGAGCGGCGGCTTGCTCTGCGTGGCGTCGACGGAGGACGTCGTCGGCTCCGGGCCCCGCGACCGCGGCGGCGACGGCAGGTCCGCGTGCTTCGCCAGGTACGGCGGTTTCGCCTTTTCGGAAAAGGCCGGCAAGGCGCTGGGCAAGGGCGCCGCGGGCGAGGTCGCGCTGCGGCTCCTGGCGGGCCGCGTCTGCCGGGCCGCGCGCGACGCGGGGCGGACGGCGACGCCGCTGCTCTGCGTCAACGTCGACTTCTTCCGCCGGTGCTACTTCCGCGTCGACGACGGCGCGTCTGCGGTCCCGCACGCCGTCGGCGACGCCGACGGGGCGCGCGTGGCGTGGACCGTCGGGGACACCGCGCCCGACGCGCGGGGCGGGACCCGGTGCGGCCCGCTCTACGCCGGCGCGCTCTACGACGGAGCGTTCGCCGCGGCCGTCGCCGCGCGCCTCGACCCGGCGCGGTCGACGACGCGCCGCGCGGCCGCGCTCCTCCGCGACGCGCGGGACCGCGGGGCTGCGCTCGCCGACGGGGTGCGGGCCGCGCGCGCCGAGGCGCCCGCGGCGCGCGCGGCGCCGGCCGGCGCCGGCGGCGCCGGCGGCGCCGGCTGCGACGCCGCGCGGCTCCCGCCCGCGGACGGGCGCGTCTCCGCGCCCCCGCAGCGTCGGCTCCCGGACGACGCCGCGGGCGTGCGCGCGGCCGTCGCGGCGGCGCTGCCGGCCTTCGCCGCGGAGCGCGTCGTCGTCGTCGGCGCGCTGCGACACGCCGCGCCGCGCGCCGCGAGCGACCGCCACGCGCGCTTCGAGGCCGGCGGCGGCGACGGCGACGGCGGCGGCGGCGACGACGACGCCCGCGCGCCGCGGCTCGCCGCCGCGCCGTCGCTCGAGCGGGCCCTCGCGGACGCCAAGGACGGCGACGTCGTCGTCGTCCCGTCCGGCTCGCACGAGGCGGACCGCTTCGTCGTCGAGGACCTGCGCCTCGCGATCCTGGGCGGCGCCGGCGCGACGCTGCGGCTCCGCGGCGACGCCTCGCGGCGCGGGGACCCCGCGGACACGCTCGCCGTCCGCGGTCGACGCGCGGACGTCGCGGTCGCGGGACTGGAGCTCGTGGCGAGCCAGGGCTCGGCCGTCAAGGTCGAGGGCGGCGCGGCCTGCGCCCTCGAGCGCTGCCGCGTCTCGGCGGCCGCCGGCGCGCGGCGCGCGCTCGTCGTCGCGTCCGACGGCTCGCGACTGTCGCTCCGGGGGTGCGATTTGACGGGCGGCGGCGGCGCGGGCCTCCTCGCCGTCGGCAAGGCGTCCGCGGTCCTCGAGGACACGGCCATCTCCGAGACGCCCGGCGCCGCGCTCGACGCGCGCCGCGGCGGCGCCGTCTCCGCGACGCGCTGCGTCCTCGCCGGCTGCGGCGGCCACGCGAAGTTCGGCGGCCACGCGGCTACAGCGACGGCGCACGGCACCCTGACGCTCGCGGGCGTCCACGTCGCCCGCGCGCCCCGGGGCGCGCTCCGCGCGAGCGACCACGGCGCCTGCGCCGCGGCGGACTGCCGCGTCGACGGCGCCTGCGCGGCGGCCGACAGGGCAGCAAAAGGGTGCGAAATTCCCAACTTCAAAGGCTCATATCTCGGCCGTTTTCCACTCGTTTTGGCTGATTTTTGGACGAGCGATCATCTCTCGGAACGGCCTCGAAGCGTGGATGCTTTTCCCGGAACGCGCGCGCGCGGAACACTCACGTTGAAGCGACGTTGAATCACCCTTTTGCTGCCCAGGCGGCGGAAGGCGGCGAGCTCGACCTCGCGCGCTGCCTCGTCGCCGGCGACGTCGCCGCCGACGGCGACGCGAGCCTCGCGACGCTCGCCCGCGTCACGGCGCGGACCTGGGCCGCGACGAACCGCGGCGAGGTCGTCGCGCGCGACTCGAGGACGACGACTAAGACCTAGGTTTTTTTACGAGAGCGGCGCGCGGGCGCCGCGCGCGCGCGCGCGCCGTCGACGCGGCTCGCGCCCGCCGCGCGCAGCGACGGCGCGCCGCCCGCGGCCGCCGCGGGCGGCGCCGCGCCGGGGCGGCCGCGGGTCGAGGACGCGGCCGCCCCGCGGAGCGGGCGGCGCCGCGGCGCCGCATCATGGTTTGAAATTGAACGCCGCGTAGAGCGCCTCCTTTTGCGCCTTGCATTTGTCGAAGGCGTTGTTCGTGTCCGCGAGGCACGCGCGGAAGGCCTCGAACTCCGGCGAGCACGAGCTCTTCAGCTTCGCGATGAGCCCGTCGCCGCAGGCCGTCACGGCGCTGCCCTCCTCGAGGCAGCTCCCGGGGTTCGGCGACGC